CATCGTTTCAAATTCCAATAAGAAAATGACCCAAACATGGTTGAACACAGGAGTATTATATAAACTAACGTAAACTCACGTCATGGATGCTGTTGAGTTCTACGCCTCATGTAAATTTTAGATTTATTAATGGGAAATATGAGGAAAAAGTCAAAGACGAATGCATTGTAAAGAGTCTTGCCTTCTGCACAATGGTTGACCTCGTTGATTTCAAAAGCAATAAGGCCTCAGCGCTTTGATCATTCCTTTGCTTTGATGAAGACACCCAAGATAATGAATAACTATTTACGGGTAGACGGTACTTGAAAAGGGACGAATAACATCAACAGTGGGGACCTAAATCAAGAGTGGACGCACATCAAACCATGACATCTCGTATCTAAGTACGAATGAGAATGAGTGAACACTATTAACGAACGTTTAGATCATCTTCCTCCACGCCGTCAATTGGCCGCGTTCTTGTTGTTCCCTGCGCTGCAATAAACTTGATGGAAAGCAATTGCTCCAAAAGTAGAGGGAGCGTCGCCCATTGCTATGGGCTCCTTCACGAGCCCATCCATCACATGTTGTTGGAGACTTTCTCTTCCTCCCTTCATCTAACAAAACTCTCTCTCTCTCTCTCTCTCTCTCTCTCTCTCTATCTCCATTTATATATGCATATATTTTCTGTCGTACCGTCAATTGACCGAGGTTGAAAAGTCATTGTACATTTATAGGGCCTGCTGTCATTTGGAAAATGGAGTCGTCGAACGATATTTTATTGTGTAATTACTTTTTAACCAATCCATGGACAATCACAGCGTTACGTATCCGCAGCAGTCGATCTTTTTTCACCCTTTTTGAAAGAAGATACCCTCGCTCATGCTCTTCATGGAGGGAAGGCATGCAAGGTCGTCCTTCATGACCACGTCTTTAATACCGTGTGAATCAAATGTGGAAAAATTAAAATGAATTTACCACCGGTGGAGCATGCGATATAATAAAATAATCCGTTTTTATTAATTAAGCAATTATTTTAACGCATACGCGGACGATTGATGGATGATCATGTTGGTTTCGGAAATATACTCATGGTCTTCTTACCCCTTCCACGATGCTATTATCCATCAGAGCTGTGAGGACAGAGACAAGTCTGAAAACTATGAAGAAGTCACCGGCGTGTACGACGACCAGGAGTCCTTCCTAGGGGACGACTGATGCTATTCAATCAAAAGTGAGATCCGTACGATTCTTGCGCGTTCAGAATTCCGAGTGCAACTGCGGCTGACGGCCTGCTCGTCACCTATCGACGGTCTTCTGAGTTCACAATAATAATATACTGGACGATCCTCCTAACGGGCCCCGTCCCGACAAGAACGTCTGAATAGCGATGGAGATTTTGAAACCGACGAACACTCCAGAGGGAGAGGAGAAATTAGAGAGAGAGAGGAGGGGGGTGTGTTTCCGCATTTTAAAAGGCCCCAAGAGCCCCACGAGGGCACTCCTGGACAACCCGAGAGGCGTCATATCGTGCAGCGTATCTCGAGACAAGATAAGATTGCCGACCTGAAATGAAAGAGCTTTGACAGTGGTTATTAAGGCGACCCGAGCGACTGATGTGAGATGCCACCCATACCGTCCACGTCGTGCAACAAGGAGTGGGCCTGCCGGGCCAAAAAAATCTGCATCTGGTGTCGAGACGTTTGCTGTGGCCTTTGACTAAGCTCCAGGAGGTTTTCCGGGGGGACGGGCGAGCAGGTTTCAGCCGTCCATGGCGTAGAGTTCTCCCTCTTCTCCCCCGATCTCTATCTTCCGATCTGTATCTTTATTTCGGGGGAGATATAATCGAAGGATCTCCGCCGAAATGGTTTCGAGGTATCGTTGTAGGCTACTTTGTTCTGAACTACGGGACCAGAAAGGTTTCATGGCCCTTAGGGCCGAGGTTTCGCAGGTTGGAGAAACAGATAAGGTTTCGAAATTCAATGATTTTTATGCCGGGGGGTCTGTTAATGATAAATGATAGAAAAACATACCCATGATGTCCCCTTTCTCCTTTTCTAACTTATACTCTAGTTCGCAAGCACCTGCGATTGATTGAAATGAGGAGATAAAAATAATCCAAGAATGTTCTAGGAGTGAATTACCTTTTCACACTAAAAATCGCGACTTTCAAGGTGTATCTATTTCTAATTTATTAAACCAAATCGCGGAAACTACCGAACGGAGTGCGCTGGCAGTGAATACTAGAAGCTCCGGGAATAATCTTAGTCTGTGACGAACAAAACTGTTAAGCATCGATCAAAATTTTAGATCGGCAATTTTTAATCAAAATGCCTAAGAAGGGATTAAAAAAATAGTAGGGGACGAAAATTTGAAAGGCTTTCTAATCATGTAATTCCTTAGCATAGATTAATGGATAATTAAGCCTACTTTTAGTTATTTTTCAATAAAAAAATTAAGTCAACGTCATTCTTCTCCCAGAATATCCATCAATATCTATGAATGCCTCAGAATATAATCCTAACCACAAAAATAAATAATTCATCATTAGATTATACGACACTACATCTATATGTTTTACATTTTTGATGAATAAAATGCATAATTCGCAGGATCAATGTCCCTAAAAGGTCTTTGACTCATTAAAAGTGCTCCAAGGTTATGTGTCATCATGTTAATTTAGACTAAATAATTTTAGATTGGTACTTGATTGAATTCTATTTTGGATTTTCTACTTGTCAATACTAAAATTGGGAGTAAATTGGGACAGAATTGAGAGCCATATTAAATTGATAAAGGAACTTGAAAAGCTTTAGAAAGTTGCAATTCTTGGAAATTTTACATCTCTAACCGATGGAAGAAAGAAAACGGAAAAGACATAAAATGATTTCAACATCCTGACCATTTATCTCCATCTGATTAGCGTATTTATGCTGGTTTTAAGGTTTGGAACCCAAAGATAAGCGTGAAAACAAATTTCTCAGAGCTTCAATGAGGTTGAATGGTCTCAATCTGTGATTTCCATTATATTTTGTCAAAATGTCACGAAGGTGTTTCTAATGTTGAAGGCGGAAGCAATGCGTTTTCTCCTGTTGTCTTAAATTCAGAGATAAACGGATAGGTGTAAAAGTCCAATTAGATGTGTACTATCGGACTATAGAAAAAAACTACAATCAAATTTTATTCATTGCATAAAGCATCAGGTGAAAGTATTTATTTATTCACATTATTAGAAGTTCACAGAATTACACTGTGAAGGAAGTTACGTTAGCTTCCAGAACTACAAAATAATCATAAAAGTAATAGATCATCTACCACTGTTAAGAGTTTTTTTAAAACTGATGAACAAAAGACATCGATTTAGATTACACAAGTGGCAATCTTTTATATTCATTTGAAGTGGGTAGAAAGGGAAGAACAATGATTTTCGGATGAAGCTCGAAGAAATATTCTTAGTGGTTTCAGTGCATTTTTCATAATACCTCAAGCGAATCAAAGTATATAAAATGATTTCATCTTTCACTTTATATATTGTGAAAGAAAGCTAGAGCAGCCAAAAGGAATTGGAAAGAAATAATGAACGTGGAAGACTTTTTCAACTTTCTAGGTTTCAAAGAATTTCAATTCCATTGTTTTACATGTGTTGTGTATGTTCATTATTGATTAATATTATTTTTCACTGAACATATATGGATTGAAAGAGCTTTCTTGTTTGTCTATTCGTGTTATGCTATCTTTTTTGCTTTCGTTGGTTTTATAAACGCGAAAAGCACAAATATTAATGAATATGAAGGTCGTCATCAAAGTCTTAGTAATATTTGTATGAAGAATATTGTACATTCTAGTTGTATGACAAAAACTTAGTTCAAGAGTTTATGCACTAACTTGCTCTTGGCATTGACCACCATATTCAAACGTTTCTGCAACCTAAGATAACTGTTGTCCATCAAGATTTGTATTTTCCTTGGTGAAGCTCATTGATCATACCATTGATCTATATTTTATATCTTAATGTGAAAATCGCACCAATGACCAAAAATCGAAAACATGCAAATCGTACTATTTTAGACTAAGACCTGAAAATAAACAAACCATTGTTGTGAAAGACGAATATTAACACCATATTTTGAACCTTAGTGTGATTTGTCAATGTGCCACTTGATGACTTTAGGAACCCAAAGCAAAGTTTTCCTTAACTAGGCGATGGCAGAATTACCCATGTGTATCAAGTGGTGTCAAGCTCATTGGCTATGGAGATACCAGGCTCCCGATTGGAGAGGTCAACCCAACTATTCTACACTGAAAAGCTGACACAACTCTTAGGAGACCATTCAATTGGATCCCCAAAATTAGATCAAGCAAAAGGCAATGTTCAAGCTATAAATATGAATATTTAAGAAATTTATACGTAGTGGCATTTGATCGTACAAGCTATAAGTACTGTGGAGTGGGGACAGAAAGACAGAAATACTGAAAAGAAAAAACAAGGCCCATTCAGTCAATTCATCTAAGAACCAATTCCAATGCCTCCAAGACTGACGGGCAAGGAGCATCCAAGACTATTGCCAAATTTGGTAAGTTTCAGTAACCTGTGATGAACCTCTTCAATGGAGGAACTCTAAGGGGAGGGGAGGGGCGTCATCAGATCCGGTCATCCTTCCAAAGACATAACCACATACATGCATGCATGTATACATATGGACATGGTCCACAGGGATGTGGGTGAGAAACAGCTTATAGTTCCCCAGAATCATCAGAGATTTCCCCGGCATTGTATAAGAAATCAGCATTCTCGCAGACTAAATGTGAGATGCTGGGTAGCCTCCAAGGTTCTTGAGTATGCTGATTAACCTGCTAACAACTGGGTGTAAGAAGGGGAGTAAAGAACAAGAGAAAAGAAAGGGTGGTGACCAAAAGACCCTCCCCCCCTCCTTCCCACTCTCTCTCCTTCACACCTTTGGCGAGAGAATCACGATGAACCAAATGATACAAGCCTTTTGACTTCCTTGTTTACCATAATCTTAGCCCCTTTTGACTGGTCTCTGAACGTAGGACTTGTTTGGATCTTCTGTCTTCAGCTTTGGTGGTCGAATCTCCCCCTTCTTACCCTGAGTGAAGAAGAACCAAATCCTGGGTCAGCCTTCTTTTTTTTTTCTTCTTTTTTTTTTAAGAACCCTGTAAATAAGCTTTCTGCAAGAGTAATCACCTTCTTGCCTGCCTTCATGAAATCCCTCCAGCTAGAAACCTAAGAAAATTATAGGGATGCAAACATCAGGATCTGGCATTTCGATTTCCAGATACAGATCAAAATAATAAATAATTTCAGAATATTTGTCTCAAGGAAATCGGTCGCTTTTAGAAGGAAAAAAACTCTAAGAAGGCACTGTTCAAAGTTTATGTGCGAGTAAAAACTAAAGAATCTTGTGTGTGAAGAAAAAATTGCAGATCTTTGCACGCTCAAAATTATACCAGAGAATCTATCTGATCGAGTTATATCGTTACCTAATTTGATAAATGGAACGTAGCTCACAATCTAAGTTCACTATAGGGAAGTATGTTTCCTCCTCGAAAAAGGTTCAATAATGGTTGACTGGAATCCAACATACACAGAGCAGAGCAGAGCTCAGACAAACTCTGAACAAATGGACAAGGATCAGGGTATATGATGGGTGGTCAACAATATGCCATCCGTATACTCTGAGTCCTCATTGAAGAAGTACCTTGAAACTATAGGGAACTATGGTGAGGAACAGGTCAAAAGAAGAATTTCTGAGCTTATCGATTTTTCATTGAATGCTTTCAAACAAGGAGAGTTTTTCTCACTAAATATCTCATGTATCCGGCACACAGAAGGATTTATGCATACAACCACCGCGGATTGAAGGGTATGCGCCAAACTTGAGCTTCTAGTTTATGTTAGCAAGATCTTGATTGGAAAAAACTGAATATCTGGGCGTCAAAAGCTTTCTATTCGGAGAGTACCCTGATGAGATACGCAAATCAGAAATTAACTGATAACGAGGAAAAGAAATCATCCAGTATGGCTGTTTCGGGTTTTTTCTTAATACATCAATTATGTTATAAAGCAAGGGGTTAGTTAGCAAAGGGACACAGGTTTAACAACTTGCCAGATTGCAAAAATTATTTCCGTCAAATATCTCCAATGTCAGAATCAAGCCCACTATAAACACATCTACCACAGAGAGTTTCGATTAGGGGGAGAGATTTCGACAACAGAAGTGAAGATTAGAGTACTGGGTCAGCTTCTTCCATGCCTTCTTCTGAGGGGCCAACGTAACAACGTAAAATTATGTTAACATAATTTTCACATGTCTAAAAATAAAATTTAAATATTACCCAGATATGAATATTAAGCACATTTACATAATAATCAATATATAATATGATAGAAAGCAGCACGGTAAATATTTCTGATTTAGAGAAAGATCTACAAAGTTGTGAAGCGTAGAGTGGAATAAGATGAAACTGAACAAACCCGTTCCTCTCTGGTTCCTTCCCATTGCTCCTCATGCTCACGCTTTCTTTTCCACATTTCCTTGGTTTCTTCTTCGTCCTTCTTTAATCTTCCTTCTTCCTCTGAAATCTGCGGATCGAACAATGAAATGTGCACATAAATAAAAACTATTAATTATTATCCAATAGACAATCAAGTTGTATGTTATGTCACCCTCATTTGCATTTTTCTCCGACGCCATTCTTGATCTGTTAATAGCTCACGAACTTTCTGTTTTAACAAGAGCAGGAATTCTTCTGATTGCTCGTACTGTTGCTCATATTTTCCCTGAAACAACAGGCAAATTTATCAGTTAATTAAACTAAAACGATATATTGTGCATACCTACAGTAGAAAGTCAAATAAAACCAATAAGAATGCAACTGTAAAATACATAAGAAAATTTACACCCTTGCCATACAGGATGCCACCACATGAGTAAAGACATTTGCTACAGGCACAGAATAATAAGTCCAATCAGTCTGATACAAGTATCAATATCTGCCAAGAGATGCCAAAATATTACCATTTATCATCTATTCAACAAAAAGAATGCTCAATTCAGTTGATATTGAGTTGGCTATGATTTTGATGACACAGTATAGAAATTTTCACCCATCTTCGATGACCAATAGATCATGATCTCATGAAGAACCGAGTTCCTTCATCAACGTTTGATAGAATTCTTGTTCTGACAATAAATTGTAAGGCGTGGAGAATGAGGCCCCTCCTCTGGAAGCTGACGAATCGCTGCTCCTCTTTCATTATGCCATCCAAAAATTAGCATAATTCCAACCGTATCTGATTAAAAATGTGTCCTATCGTCTCATAAAAATCAAACAACTATATAACCTATGAAATCATATAATAGAAGCACAATCTTCACAATACCAAACAAGTTCCTCCCACTAAGAACGAGTTATGTCTATCTTTACAATATGCATTCCTCCACATTAGGCCCAAGTGTTTGAGATACCTAGGTTTCATCAACCATACATCCTCCAGATCAACAAGGCCACGAGCTGACATGCTGAAGCCACTTCCCTGACCATCTATCTTGCACCTACTTCCTTCTTGTGCCCAACCATCTACTGTGCACCGAGATCACCAAGATACTCGCTACTCTGCACAGCCTTCAAAAAGAATTAATGTTCTCAAATCGCATTGTTTTGCAATATAGTTTCAACCATCCCCATCAGCAAGATTATTTAACATTTGGATGCAATCTTATCTCCGAGTAGATGAAGATGTGATACATCAGAAGAGAACTTCATTATCACATCCATTCCAATGCCATGTGTCACTATTGACAACCAAAGTTTTATCACTCTTAAGCGAGGAGGTGACGACTTCGTCAAATTCATTGGCATGAGAAGATGCATCAAACATTTAAAATTCCACACACTAGTAATATGGAAGCTATAATCTTTGACATAAACATGTCCTCTGAGAGCAACCACAAGGACTGAGAATTTCCAATTAATCTTGAAAGCCAATCCAAGAAACATAATGTAACACAACCTAACTGTCCAGAAAATGAAAGATCAGCATGAAACTAATACCCATTAGAAACTATCTCAATGTAGGGAAACTAATGTCTGAAGAATTACATTCTCTTCTCACATTTATTTCGCTCGTGAAGCCATATTATAGGCTATAATATAAGTCTCACCTTCCCACACAAGTCAAACAGCTCCAAATACATTTTCCCCCTTACCTTAAAATATGCAAACTGCAAACCGTTCCTAAAAGTTGCAAATACTTGATGAGATCTACCTTAAACGTATTCTGAAATGAACTTCTCAGAGTGTTATGGAGAATAGTAATGCTGGATAGGTTCGTAAGGTAGATTTCACAGCAAATATTTCCTTTCATACATGCACACCAAAGACTGTTGAAGTGAAACAAATTTCACCAGAAGATAGCTAAGATACAGGCTGGTTGATCCCTTCAGAGTCATGCAACATAGATGCAACTCAATAACAGTGATTATGCTGGCAAAATCAGCGTTCAGTTCCAGAAGCATTCAAGTAACGGATATCCGTCTTTGATTCACCATCTACAAACATAACGACCCCACAAAACTACAAACCTGAAACGAGACAAGTGCATGACATAAACTCAAAAAATCAAGTTAAACTCACACCCTGAACCAGAAGAAAAGGAGGACAGCAAAAAAGAATCGTTTGTCAATCCAACAGAGTTTAACAGAGAATAGAACTGGTCATGCTTCAGTTTGATGGTTTAACCAGTTCCTACAAACCCCAGACTTATTGAAGGATAGTGAATAAGTCCAGCTGAGATTTGGAGAAGGATAACAATGGGAAGAAGGGAATAGAGAGTTACACCCAGGTGAAAAAAATCATAATGGGAGATTTAGCGCCAATGATGTTAACATATATAAGGGAAACATTGAATAAATGAGAGAGAAAAAAAAGAACGAAGTTAATTTCTGAGAAAAGGTAAAGAGAAAACAGGGGAAAACAATAATTACAGAAAAGAGGTTAACATCAGATATTTGGAAAAGAATCATTAGCTGAGGAAGTTTGCAGATCTATCACCCGGAGGGTATTGACGGTAGGAGTTGGGCATATATAGCAAGAGAGGGAATGCAAAGAAGATGTCCTCGAACCCCTTTAAATATGATAACCTCTCCACTGGTAAACAAATTGATCCAGGTTTGATCCTGTTTGATAGGTAGGAAATTACATGACCATAAAGCGGGTTAGATGATCTAAACACCTAACATAACTGCTACTTTCTGCACATGGTGTCAGTGCCTCATTCATATATAGAAGATGGATTGAGCCAACATTGGTAAACGCCGAGAAGGTCAAGCCATAAAATACAAGAGAACAACAGGGAAATCTGACAATCAAATAATTCTCTTGGAGGTAGAAGAGGAAGATCAACTGATATGGGATACATACATTCACAAGACAGCTTAACTGGACCAAGGAAAACCAGAAATCGAGCATATACCAAGAAACTTTGGAACTTGTGGACAAAGTTAAATGAGAATAAAAGTTTACAAAACTTGAATCAAAGTTAAATGAGAATAAAAGTTTACAAAACTTGAATCAAAGTTAAATGAGAATAAAAGTTTACAAAACTTGAATCAAAGTAAAAATAATTTTTTGAGTTGATCACAAATTAAAGTAATTGATTCATATGAAAAGATCTTCGAAATATGAATCCAAATATTCCTATTCGCAAGAAAGCAAACCAGGGAGACAACTTATGAGCAATAATTGTCAGGTGTATACAAATCTTACCTCATCAACCAATGATTTTATTTTAGAGGCATTGTCTTTTTTCAACTGCCTCTTTCTCTTTACTCGTAGTTCTTCTGCATTATAAAAAATCAACCATTATGTCCAGGTAGAAGAATTTCATTAATAAAATGACACAAGAATAGTCAAAACGTCGATTCTTCACACAGGTTAAACGTACTGTGGTACGAAAAATAAATAATAAGACTCTTACATGGACGAAGATAGAATACTTGATAATATGCAAATAATTTTGTGACTCTGGGACGAAGAGAACATATATCTTCCCCAGGCACTTAAATATATAGATAGGTAAATATATATACAGATAATACATGGAGAATAGGAGAGTACTACAACATGGCTGCTTCTAGAAGGATGAAGGAAACAACATGCGTGAGCTCTGTGGAGAGAGAGATGATAGGACAAGCTATGAAAATGAGGGCTAATTGACGAGAGGGGGAAGATGGGGCTCTTTCACCTCCTTAGCCCCTACCTTTCCTCCATAGACGTCAGCAATCATGCAAGACAGAGAGTAAGATGCAGACAGCCAACATTGGTGAGCCATCTCCTTGATCACATATTTTTTTCAACTTTTTCTCCAACTGTGCTCTCATGGATAAGGAAGAGCTCCGTTTCTTAACTTTCTGTCAAACCAGGATCTTGATCTTCTTGATCAAGTCTTCACCCTCCCTTCCCACTAGAGCCGCCTAGAAAATCCCATTAGAATAGATTCACGAAAGGTCTTAATTCAAATCACCTCTACACCAGTTTAAACACCAGTTACATCTATAGTGGGCCAAGCCCTCTTATTTTGAAGAAAGAAAGGGAGAACCCATTAAGTAGTCCATAATTAACTCACTTAAGGGTCCAAATAGAAGAGAGACACTACAATAATGAGATCCTAGCTTGTCTAACACCACCCTAAAAGTTGGGTGTGGATGTTAGACATGCCCAACTTGAATACAAGCTTCTGTAGAGTTGGTCCTGGCAGCCCCTTTGATGAATATATCTGCCACTTGATTAAAAGAATTGATAAACAACAAGTTTATCATCCCTTCTTTAATATTTTCCTTGATAAAATGGTGATCTAATTCAATATGCTTTGTCCTATCATGCTGGACTGGATTAGGGGCAATGGCGATAGCTGATTGATTGTCATGGTACAACTTGATACAACCTTGAGAATACAGATGTAGATCTTCAATTAGTATTTTTATCTCTATTGCTTTACATATACCTTGAGCCATAACTCTAAACTTAGCTCCTGCACTAGATCTAGACACCACATTTTTCTTCTTACTTCTCCATGAGACTAGATTTCCACCGATGAAGGAACAACATCCAGATGTCGACCTCTTGTCACTTACTGATCCTACATAACCTGTGTCTGTATATATACAGTACTATCACCACCTCGTGAAAATAATAGGCCTTGTCCTACAGCATTCTTCAAATATTCTAGAATACGATATGCTGCCTATAAGTGAATTTCTCTTGGGTCATTTATGAATTGACTCAAGGAACTCACAACATGCCACATCTTGTCTGGTATGATTCAGATAAATCAATTTTTTAATCAACCTTTGGAAGGAACCCTCATTTATTGGAGGACTGTCACCTCCTGCTCCAAGTTTCACATTTATATCCACTAGTGTGACTGTTGGTTTACAAGCAAGTTGTCCAGTTTCTTGAAGGAGATTAACAGTATATTTATGTTGAGAAATAAAGATACCTTCTTTCAAGTGTGCCACCTCAATACCAAGAAAATACCTTAATCTCCCAAGAGACTTAATATCAAACTCTTGTAAGAGGTTTTAACTCAAATTTTGGATTTCATTTTTGTCATCACCTGTGAACAATATATCATTGACATATATAATTAATATAGTCATACATCCACACGAATTATGTTTGATGAACAAAGTATGATCTGCATTATTCTGTTTATATCCTTGACTTTTCATTGTCTTGGTGAACCTCTCAAACCAAGCTCGAGGAGACTGTTTGAGACCATAGAGGGCTTTATTTAGTCTACAAGCCACTCCTGATTGATTGAATAGTAGATATCCTGGGGGTATAGTCATGTAGACTTCTTCCAGTTCTCCATGTAGAAATGTATTTTTGATATCAAATTGATGTATTTCCCAATTCAACTTAGCTGCCAGAGAAATCAATATTCTCACGATGTTAACCTTAAAAACTGGAGCAAAGGTCTCGAGATAGTCAATCCCATATGATTGAGTATAGCCTTTTGCGACCAATCATGCCTTATATCTTTCAAGCGACCCATCTATATTGAATTTCGGGGTATATACCCATTTACACCCCACAGCCTTCTTACCAACTGTAAGGACCTTATGTGACCTATTTATCATTAAATAATTAATGAATCTGGAGATATTTGGTATCATGTGATCTGTGGCACCAATATCAATAATCCAATGTATTCTAATAGCATTATTGAAAAATACTTTGTTTTCACCTGAGCATGCAAATGAAGTAGAACTCAACATGTTTTTGAGTCAATCTAGTTCTTCCGTTATCTCCATAAGTTCCCCCCCACATTCATGAGCAGGCTCTCCTGTTTGCTCCTTCAACTACCCTTGTTCTCCACCTTCATGACTTTGCGAAGTGGCAACATATACCTTTCGATTTTGTTAGGGCTTACCGTGCAACTTCCAACAGGTTTTTCTAGTATGTCTTTTGCATTTGCAAAAAGAACACCAAAGACTATCCTTATAGTCATTTGCGGCCCTCTATCCTTGATTAGTTGAATTCTTCTTATCTTGCTAAACTTCTTGGCTTAATTTTTTTTCAGTTTTCTTGGTGAAAAACGCAATTGGGCTAGGCCTTGATGGATCTGAGAGTAGACACAGTCTCTTCCTCCATAAAAATACCGATGGCTTCATCCAAATTTGGTGCCCTCTCTCTAGGATCTAACTCCAAAGACTCTCATATTTTGGATTGAAAGTCATTGGGAAGGTAAACATTCTCTGCTTCAATATGTAATTTCTTTCTTCAAAGTGAGGATTCGTCATAGGCCAATAATGATCAATCTCACGCCATATACCCTTCAACTCACATGATAACTCCATGATTGTCTTCTCCCCTTGTATTACCCTCACTATTTTGGAATTCAGCCTATAGATCTTTCAATCATTCTGCTGTTTAGAGCAATTCTTGTGGACTTCACTCCACAATTCTTTCACAGTAACCATATAAAGAAAGTTATCACACATATTTGTTGTCATGGTTCCAGGAAGCCATGAATGAATAAGGGCTTCCTCGTATTTCCAAATTTTGTAATTCAGATCATTCATACCAATAGGATCATCAATTAGATGCTCCGAAAAACCTCTCCCAAGGAAAGTTAACTCCACAAATTTCTCCCATTTGTACAGATTGATACGATTAAATTTCAAGCGCTCATGCATACCTAGCAGCGCATACATTGTCTTGTCTCAGCCACCAACAATTGCTGTCATGACTGAGTTGGAGGCAGAAGTTTCTTGCCCCATTGACATCTCCTGTTTCTTGATTCTTGAAATCAAGAATTGCTCTCAACTGACCTCCCGAATGCTTGCTTCCAATTGCTGGAAGGCATGTCCTTGTCCTTGCGATGCTTCACACCTTGACCAGCTCTAATACCATGTCAAACCAGGATCTTGATCTTCTTGATCAGGTCTTCGCCCTCCCTTCTCACTGGAGTCGCCTAGAAAATCCCATTGGAGTAGATTCACGAAAAGTCTTACTTCAATTCACCTCTACACCGGTTTAAAATACTAGTTACATCTATAGTGGGCCAAGCCCTTTTATTTTGAAGAAAGAAAGGGAAAGCCCATTAAGTAGTCCATAATTGATTCACTTAAGGGCCCAAATAGAAGAAGATACTACAATAACGAAATCCTAGCTTGTATGACACTTTTGTACTTCAAAACATCCCTTTTTACTTACAAGGTTGTCTGATACTCTCTGATTTAGTGGAACAGGCAATAGTGACTTGCTCCATGAGTATGCCTCTAATTTCAAAATGATGCACGAGTCCACTCGATTTTAAGATCAAATCAAAACAGACCCTTCAGGCACATTGACTACACCTAGACCTTCAGCTATAGAATATAAGTCCAGCTGTAATGGACCTTTACAGGTCAACTCTAAAGTGATAATATAATTGATCATAAATCTAGCCCCAAACATTTCTATGATTGTAAAGATGGTCCTAGGAAAGGCCTTATTAGTAGCATCTCAACAACAATTACACATTCCATTTTAGATATGCTCTTACTGTCCCTTAAATTGTAGACATGGCCCAACAAAGACCATTACAGAAGTTTTAATTATCAGTATAGTCCTCAGAAGATCTTACCACATCCTTACGATACTAATGTCTTCCATTGGCAAAATATTCTTAATTGACGCATTTTGGGTACATTATTAATGTCCGTAATGTCTGGGAAACTTTAATGCACTTCAAAAAGAAGATTGAGGCATCATAGAATGAAGTTATTAAGATATTTTAAAAGGACATAATAAAAATTGCAATTCTTACAAATAATTGGTGGAACAAAGAGCATTAAAGTTACAATTTGTGTTACCTTTTGCAGAATTGACTTGGCTTATAAGATATTCTCTTTCCTGGGAATCCAGTAGCAACTGCTGAGCTTTAGCCAAAGCTGACACATATATAATTGGTAATCAAGAACTATCATTGGTTAAAATAAACAAGAAAAAAGTTGGTTAAGGTGAAATACAAACTTATTTTTAATAAAAAACAAAAAAGAGCTTTAAATTAATAAAATAATTGTACAAAGAGCATCAATTGGGCTAAAGCTGACAGTCTACAATGAAAGATTTTCCCCTAAAGCTGCCACACACACAGCTTTCAATCAACATATATCATTACTAAACATATACAAGAAAGAAGACGCTTCAGATGGAACACAAAATGATTTATTAAAAAATAAAGCACAAAAGGCTTATAATTATAAAAAAAATCATAAAAAAGCATAATTATTTATTGGGCTGCAATAATGGTGACAGAACGTAATAGAAGATTTTATATTCCCCCAAAAAGTTGTCAAAAACTTCAACAATTGAATAAGTTAAGGAAAGCAAACTCTCAAAGGCTGAGAAGAATTCTCTCTATTTCATTTAAAGAATATGGAATTGAAGTTTGATGGAAATGGACTCTAAGATAGACATCTTGGAAAAATATTCCTCTCTGGAAAAAGGTCAATGTATTGGACGATTCCATTACCTGGCTTAGTCAAGAAACTACATGCAGAAAAGAAACTACATGGAAAAAGGTCAATGTATTGGTCTCATGTTTTTCACAGAATGCAAAATCCTACTTCCCAATGATCCATACATCAGGTAATGACATCCTATTTTTGGATGAGCTGCTTTTTTTATCGCCCTTGAATTTTGTAATAAATCTACTAGATTTCTGCAAATCAGTTGAAATGATATGTCGTTTGGAAAATGATATTTACATTTGATCACTCATAAGAATCTCTGTAACAGTTAGACACAATACCTCCGAAGGCCTCCTTAGCTTGTGGATGCTTGCATTTATCAGGGTGAACAAGCAATGACAACTGCAAGTTTTAATATTTTAACCATAAGGTAATATGAGCAGGAAAAAGTACACAATTACGTTCAACATCAGTACACAATGATGGAAAGAAAAGAAAAAGTTACTTGACCTTTCGGTATTGCCTCTTCACATCATCCAATGAGGAATCAAATGACAGGTTTAGATGCTCAAAAGGATTTAATTTAAAGCATGAAAGTATCCTGCAGTTTCCAAAGAAAATCTGTTAAACAATCCTAATTTATTGACAAGATAGGTATGTGATAACGAGCTCAAGTATGCATGCTACAATGGCTAGGACTTATTTCAAATTTATAACAATTCCATTGCTCAAAAACTTTTAGGTGAAGACGAGGCCTATGTCTGGAACCAGGGTGAGAATTTTGCGATAGTAATAGAGAATAGAAAGACCATCATCTAGCAAGATAGTTCTCAGCTACTTTTGTCAGACATTGGGATGTGAAGAATAATTTCTCATTCATCCACACTTAAAAAGCGTTTTCCAAGTTTTTATTGCACTTACTGGTGAAGGAGAAATCCAAGAATAGGCTTGATCCATTTATTAACGACCAAAACTTCCGTGAATTAATAATTAGTTCCTCATAAAGGTCAGCAGCAGACATTTCCCAACAGGTTTTCCAACATCCATGGAGAAAGGCTACATTCACCACAGGCGTCAGAAACATATTCTCATCACCGAAATGGGTACTGTTTCATATAATCAGTTTCCCAAAAAGCAACACCAAGGGGAAACTTACGTGCATTTTCAAGGTTTCTGTAATAAATGTGATAGAAGTAGCTAAAAATTGTGATTCCATCGAACAATGTGCATCTGGTCGCCTGGGTATTAAACAATAGTTACAAGCCTATCCTCACAGCAGAATAGAGCTCCAACAAAAGAAAAAAAGGATTCTCCAAAATGCCTGCCATAGAATTTCAAGGCAATTTGTCGTTGAGATTTTCCAAGAGGACCGATGGCCGACGCAGTGAAAATCACCGGGAAATTACGGGTACAACTCAATATTTTTTCCATCGTTACACAACCAACGCATATATCGAACCCAAAAACAAAAGGAGAACTCAAAGCACACGGCACCAAGACGAAGGAAGACGAGAAGCAAAATCGAGAGTAAAATCAGTTACGTCGGAGAGATTAGACGAAATGGACGGCATCCGTTCAGCAAAGAAACAAAAAGGAGGGCAGCTCACACCTGATGACCTCGTTATCCCTCTCAACCTCGCTGACCTCGGCAAGGAAGCCCTTCAGCAGCAAATCCTCCTCCTGCTTCTGCTTCAGATTCCTATCACTCTCCGCTCTGGACGCCGCCAACGCGTCCGCTGCGGTGGTGCTCCCTGCCGCAGCCATCCCCGTCGCCGACCACACGCACACGCAGAGAATGCAGGGCCTCCAACAACGGGCAGTCGCCGACGCCGGGAGGATCCAGCACCGGAGCCAGTCGATTATATACAGGCAAATCGAAAACCGATAAGAATCCGACGCTTTGGATCCATAACCAAGGCCGAAATGCAATCAGGCAAATTAGGAACCGCTACGGGATCCGAAAAGTGCGATGCTGTAATTGGGCCGGCTGGTTTCCGCCCACATCCACATAAAATCGGATTTTGGAAGCCGGATCTATCCAGATTCCAGCAAATTATATTACACTTAATTGCAAAAATCGATTTCCCTAAAATCACTTTAAAATATTCTTTATTCCAACTGGGCCCCGTTGTACGTGGGCCCTAAATCGATGGCCAGGCCAAGGTCAAGGCCTAAACTTGAGATATTACCTCTCTCTCTCTCTCTCTCATATCACCACCCTGCCGCCCTTCTCTCTCTACCTTCTAGAGCAACCCATCTGGCAATAGATGGTGTGGAGAACTAAACATATAAAGATTTTCGAGGGAGAAGGAGAGAGAGAGAGAGATGGAGCTTTGATTGCATCAAAGACTGCGCATAAGCAGTACAGGTGCTGAGTGATAGGATCTGGCGGCGAAGCAGAGAGAGAGAGAGAGAGAGAGAGAGAGAGAGAGAGAGAGAGAGAGGGGGGGTAGAAAAATTGGTCCACAATCAGCTGCCAGACTAAGCATGAGCTACCCGTCCCCATCTGAGCTGTCATCACTGGGGCCCAGCTCCATGGAGGGCAAGGCTGCGCAGCAGAAGGAATCTCGGTCTCGGAGATGAAGGCAGCTGCCATCTGGGCTCCACCGGAGGTCGGAGACGAGAAAATTACTGAGGGGGACGGTGACGGAGCAGGCCCCCCGCAGGCCCCACATGTACACGTGGCGAGTCCCGGTACACAGGACGACACGCGGCCCTGATGGGTCCCACACGGCGGCCCTGATGGGTTCCTTCTGCACCAGGACGGCGACTAGCTCTAGGTGGCAGATGTCCCAGATCCAGAGGACCGCCGGCATGCTGTCGTTCCGGGTGAAGAGATACTGGCTGTCGTGGCTCCATGACAGGAGACCTGGAAAAGAGGTCGGAAAGTCAACCCCCATGCACAGTCTAAAAAAAGCATATTTGTTATTTTTCATCTCTCTAAAATCTCCCTGAAACCCATTAATGGAAAGAGCAAAAAAGAACAGCAGCTGTCTGAAAGCGGAGGGAAACTCACCAACCTACATCCATGAAGGATCTTAGATAGGACAAAGGGCACGTGAAGAGTCAACGAGTAAGACACAGAACGTACGATTTGAGGGGAGAGAGAGAGAGAGAGAGAGAGAGAGAGAGAGAGAGAGAGAGACTGACCGATTCCTTGTTTTGGGTTGGGCTTGTCCAGGGGAGGCTTCTGAGAAGGCAAGCTGGTGGGGAAATCCATCACCTTGTACTTGACGCGGGAATGGCTTTCAGCAATGTTTTCTAGGACGGAAGCAAGCAGGGGCATGGTGTAAATGACTCGAAATAGAAATCATCAGAACAAATGAAATGAAAAAAAATTAAACGCATTGACTTACTGAATGAGGAAGTCGTCGAGTAGAATGATACTATTTATAAAAAAAACAAATAAAAAAGGTACTTTAATCTCATTTATGAATCTTCAGAGAGTTGACTAAGATTCATAACATATTGTCCCCTTCATGAATGAGCAAATCTAATCTCCAAAGGTCAGGGAGAACAGCTGGGTTCAGCTCACTCCAATGAGAATCAGAATACTGAATCACACCGATGAGAAGAACATGATTTTCAACTGAAAAAATAATCATAATCCACCCAACCCCATCACTGCTCTTGATCCAATTTCGGCAATCAAAACCAATCGGACCATAGTTTCTACAACACTAATTCATTACTTAAACAATGTTCAAGATCAAGGCTAGAAATCTACAAGGTAGCACAAGAACATAGCAATTGGTTCGCACATAAATCCCATGGATCTCAAAAAAAAAAAAACAAAAAAACAAAATCAGCCAATAACATCCCATTATGAATAGCAGGTTATTCCAGAGCTCACTCACCAGGACAACTCCCCTGCACCGTATTCGAAAGCTCATTGCTCAATTGCAAGCCCGACATATCAAGTTGCAGAGCCTCATCCACTTCCTGAAAAGGGAAGAAGGTCCTTCGAGAACCACGACGGCAGGCAATCTCGTGGTGGAAAAGGGTGACGAAGTGGGGAATTCCTTGCCTTGAAGATGACAGCCCTAGAGGGGCCACGAATGGCAGGCACGTGCATAAACTCAGCGAAGATCTTCCAGGTGAGGCGGTTCAGCACACGCAGCATCTGATCAAAGCTGCCGACAGCTAGAAACTGCCCACATGGTGACCACGCAATGGATTTTACACCCAGGCCGCTCTCATATGCACTGTACTTGAAGAGGCACCTCCCATCAGGAGAATAAATGAGCACCTGGGTGAAAGAGGGCAGTAATCAAGCACCTCATGTTGATGAAAAATTAAGGCAAGCAACAATTTAGAGATGATCAATGGATAGAGGAATCCATGCTTTTGACATAGCAAGGATAGATCTGAGTGCTGAAGACATCTGCACCAAAGTGTGCGAGGGATTGAACTACCATGCAGTAAAAACCATGGAAGCAACATTAATGTGGTGTGCCAGCTGATCAAATGTTAAAAAGGGGAAAGAAAGGAGAATGTTTGATGGAATTTGACTGTGTCAGATGTAAACTAGATATGGGACAGCTTCAATTATCTGTTCACTAATGAATCACTGATGGGCAAGGAGGAACAAAGCAAAGCCATGGTCAAAGAAAATCTAAATCAATAGAAACCGACGTGGAAAAAACTTATGCCCTTTGCTATTTCTGGCTATTCATTTCATGGTATAGAGATTCAATCGTTGTATTCAACACATTCTCTAATATAGATTCTATATTCTTATTTTTTATCTTGGTTCTTCTGAACATTAAATGACCAGTAAATATTTTAGATTCTATCAATGAGGAGCTATACTTGCTTTCTATCAAAAAGCTGGATTTTCTTGCCATCCCGATAACCTCATTCTCAAGAAATTGAGAATTCGGGTTTGACTGCTGGAAGCTTTGAGAAGTAAACGTAAGCAGCAATCACCGCTGGACATGCGGCATGAACTCATAACACAGCATGTTTACACGATAGTATCTCAGACTAACGCAAAGTTGGCCAACCAGAGGAGAACATCAGAGAAACATTCACCATCAGCAATGATCAGCCATGAAAGCGAAACACTAAGACACTGGCAGAGGTTGACCTTGAAACGCAGAGCAGGGATCAATAAGATTGGCATATGTAAGCAGTTTCACACGTCAAACCATCCGAGAAAGGTCTTGGGATCCTTGCCCAGGTATTTTGATGAGAAATCATCAGCCAAGCTTCTCCCACAGCTGATTTCCACCCCAGGAAAACAATGTGAAACAAATAAAATTGCATGACAAGTGATTAATTATCAATAGTATTCTAGTCCACTGCCCCATATGTTTTTTCTTGAAAGAGTGAAAATGAAATGTGCTACGTATAACTTTCAACTACTCTCACAATCTTCAGCAATGCCAAATTTATTTTTTATCCATATATTGGGAATTTAAAAGGAATTTTATTCTGATATTAGTTTAAATTATATTCTTACTTTCAGGAGTCACATAGATTCATCCATCCCGGTTAGTAGAATGCTCTTCTACAAGAACAAATACAATATTCTGATAGTCTTCCCCAATAATGGCCGGCCTAATGCGTTTCTTCCACATAGAAAATAGGAGCTGTGGAAAGACAAAGAACAACTAATGAAAACGGAACGGAAATGGTGGTGATAGTGTACATCAGACAAAAGCAACTTATTCCCCCTTTTATCTTCTTTTATCTCATGCTTCCCTTCTCCTCCCTTTAGTTCACCTTTGCCTTCTTTTATTTCCTTAGTTTTCCTTTGCCTTTGATAGACTGAATAAAGAGTAAGAACAGATTCAATAGGTTAGCCACTAAATATCAATAATCTATCAACTAATCCTTAATATGATTTCTTTTGACACAATAATTGACTAGGATCATAACTGACGTATCTTAAAAAGGTTAGATAAAAAAATGTCAGACAAGCTAGGATCTTGTTATTGTAGTGTCTCTCTTCTATTTAGGCCCTTAAGTGAGTCAGTTATGGACTACTTAATGGGATCTCCCTTTCTTTCTTCAAAATAAGAGGGGTTGGCCACTATAGATGTAATCGGTATTTAAACCGGTGTAGAGGTGAATTGAAGTAAGACTTTTCGTGAATCTACTCCAATGGGATTTTCTAGGCAGCTCCAGTGAGAAGGGAGGGTGAAGACCTGATCAAGAAGATCAAGACCCTGGTTTGACACAAAACATGTCAACAATAATTCGTTTTTCCAAACAACAGTGAAAGATGGTCAATCTAGCCAAGGCTTTGCCGTTAACTTGACAAAAAGCAAGACATTAGCAGGTTTCTTCAAGAAAATCATCACTCGCCCTTCAGGAGCAATAGATATGGCCCAATGGAGAAACATAAAGCAGAATCAGGCCTCTAAGATAACAATGCAGCGAATTGATGTCAGCCATAAATTCACACGTTGTTAAACACATTTACTCTGATTAATCATTAGGAAAAAAAAATTGAGAAACTTTGTCTCTTCTTCCATTCGCCAACTACTTACACATCTGATTTATCTCATGCAGTTTATCTAACCACTGAAGAATTCAGTTTCGTCAATAATGATAAAAGATGCATATTAGCCCTGGCACAAGAACCAAAAAAGACTGGACCTTTCTCTACAATGATGACGAAAAAATACACATACCCACTGGAATATATAAAGTATGAAGGGAATTTAAAGTTGATGCTGAGCCCAAAGCTAGGTACCTTGTATTCCAAAGGTGAATCCCAGATCACTATTGCACTGTCATCTGGTGACCATTCAATACCTGCTAAATCCATGGTATCGACAGCAAAGGAGCCCATGATCTCCCATGTCTGGCAGGAGAGAAGAATTATATGATCCTTGCACTCGCGTCTTGTGCAAACAGCAGCAAACTTTCCATCCTGAGTGAAGGAAACGACTTTCGAAATCTGCTTTGGCCATTGTACATGAACGCAGGCAGTATTCACCAGGGACCAAACAGTTAGACGCAGCTGGAAATCGGACGTTGTGAGAATATGTCGGCTGTCAGGGCTCCACCTGGCATTAGAAATGCCAGCTGGGCCTTCATCTATCTTGCAAGTCCACTCTGGCTGGGTCAGCGACCACACCTGAACCATTGGCCTCTTGTACAGGCCGCAAAGTATGTATTCAGAATCGAGGGCCCATTCGACATAGTTTATCTTGTCAACACAGGAGTACAACTGCACAACCTACAAGCAGAATCAGAGACAAGTGGGGGACAATGAGGATGGAAGTCAAAGGAATCGAAGATCAAACCACGAAGGATTCAAAATAAACGCCCACAGGCTGATGCATGCCTCCACCACTGGGCAACATGAACATTAAGATTGGGTCTATAACCATTTCCTTGGAATGAAGTAGACTAACACACCAATCAGGAACCTTTTTGGCATACAAAGTTGTATCTTCAAAAAAAACAAATCAATGCCATCAATATATAAATACATATATCCAGTTGCTTTGCACCGAAAAACTCAAAGATAGTAAGACGGCAGAGCAGTAGAATCATTCTGAAAGAACTAAATAGTTTAAGGGCTCAGTGTCCCTTCGGAAACAGTTACCTGAAGGGTACTGTATGATAGATAAAGTATTCAATCATGCCATCCTAAAAACGCAGAAAACTTTTTGGGTGGTGAGCAGTAATTGTAATATCTAATGTGGACCTCAGCATGCTCACTGCTCCCAACCCCAAATATCATGACAGAACTAATTTAACAGCCACGGCAGCATGTTTTCATCAAAAATCCGAATCATAGCAGGATGATCCACAAAGCTTACGCCAATCAGAAAATGTCCTACATCTCAACTTAAGCATTTTTTATATCCAAGCATTCTATAGGAAATAGAATAGGCAGTGCTCAAATCCAGTTTATCAGTAAAACAGCCTTTCGAATAAAACCATGTTGGTCGTGGCCCCCTGACACTCCATTGGAGACAAATAAAGAAAAACCCTAAAAAAAAGTTGCTCATGCCCATGGAAGAAAGCACAATGAACAAGGGGATAGAAGGAATTCATCTTTTCTGATCTCTCTCCTTGATCATTACTCAACGAATCGATCTCATCTAAGCCGAATCAATATTTTCGAATTACTGAATTCAAAGGCCAAGTTGGTATCTCATTATCAGTTAAAAAAAACGGCTGTTTTTCTTCTCCATTGATCGTACCATCAATCCCAACTCTGGGAAAAGGAAGAAAGTTTCTATCAAAAGCAGCACTTGGTAATGCATACGTCAAGGTATCGTTCACAGTCATGGTTTCCAACTTCAAACCGTTGGGCCCTAAAATCAGTTTTTTGACGAAAAAGATTCCAGACTTTCATTCACGCGCCTTGTATCTCTAAAAGAGAAATGAACGGCACTCCATCATCTACATTTATCAGCTTAAGCTTCAGTCCCGCATTTCGCTTCAAGACACCTCGTTGCAAATGAGGTTGCAGTATGCTAGGTGCTACATCCCTGACGAAAAGGATAAGCTACCTTCATCTTTGTGTTCGTTTTGTATTGCTACAGCTCTCACTTCCTTCCCACACACTAAAACCACAAGCGGAACCAAACAAAACACCCACGCGCAGACAAAAGGGCAGGCGCGAAGGCTGACGACGCAGGGAAGAGAGAGTAGGCAGAGGAGGTTCGGTGGAGAGATAAAGAGGGAGAGAGGCGACGGAGGGCACTCGGCTGCCTACCTTGAGAGAAGCAACGTCACGGATGACAAGGCGGTAGTCGACGGCAATGGCAAGGAAGCGGGAGTTGGGGGAGAAGCAGCAGGGCCCCGTCTGCTTGTAGGCTTCCGTGAAATCCATCACCTGGGGCAGACAGTGCAGTGGAGCGAAATGCCTGCTACATAGAGTGTTCGATCATCTCTACGGACAGGAGACGCCGCCACTCCGACCTCCACTGCCACTCTGACCCTGATCCTACGAGCGGCCGGAGCGGTAGATTGCCGTGCAAAAGTAGACACTACTGTAGAGAGAGAGAGAGAGTGAGAGAGCTAGAGAGCGAGAGAGGTTTATTCAGGCGAATCATTTTTGTTCTAAAATACGTATAATAATATAGTAAAACACGTGATATTAATTAGAGGGTTATTTAGCTTAAAACCCCTATAAAATAAGTAAATTAGTACAAAGTACACGTCGGAACTTGATTAGAGAGTATTAAAGCTGTATATTTTTAAAAACAAGTCCTTCCAAGTATGGCCCGTTACCCCAATCTTCATCAAATGTAAATTCTTGTGGTTATCCTTTATTTCAATAAAGATGGGAGCATTTATTAAATTCAGATATTTTAAGGAACTTAAACCAGATTACCCTTAACCTTTCTTTCTTTTGGTTTGCATGGCCTAGCCTAGATGCAGGTAAAGCCTCCCTCCCTCCCCTCTCTCCTCTCTCTCTCCCCTCTCCCCTCTCTCTCTCCCCTCTCCCCTCTCTCTCCCCTCTCCCCTCTCTCCTCTCTCCCCTCTCTCTCTCCCCTCTCCCCGCTCCCCTCTCCCTCTCTCCTCTCTCTCAACACACAATTTTCCCTCGCCTTATGTTAGTAAGGTTTTACTAGCCTCAACTCACACTACAAGTAGGTGGGTGGTGATAGAGTTCATCAAACCACAAGCAATCAACATCCCTAAATTATTTCACCACCCCATTGAAACTGGTTCAATTATTTTTTCAAAATATCTGAATAATTATATATATTGTTGTCCTCAAATAGTGAAGCTACAAGATGAGAGGAAGATGAGAATGATTCCCAAGTGGATCCATTGAATGAGATTAATATGATTCAGATGAAGAGAGGGGGGGGGATGTTTGCCCACAACTCAAGAGTTCCCCATGGTCATGAGAAGGGTTTTAATGGGGGCTACTTTGACTTTACTTTTTATATTTCAATTTTATGCCTTTAAAATTGAAATAAATATAGATTATTTTTACAAAAATTCAAAACAATCTATAACATAACTAGATCAAGTTGTTTCAATGGTTTAAAAATCATTAAACATAAAGGCTTTCCACAAAGTTAATCACCATGGTAGATATTAGTGGTCATACTATCATGCACAAAATTTCCATTAATACTACATATTATCTCGAAATAAACACTTCGTGATGTTAATCCTAAAGATTTATACGGGTTTGATCATTTTGAAGATTTTTGGCCATATTTTTAACATTTCTACCTGGAAAACTCAAAAGAGAACACTAGTCAACTGAGAGGTCTCATTATAGGACACTAGCAAGTCTCATTATTCTTTTGTCATGAAGAGTTTAAAACTTAATTAAAAAACTTCATAAAGTGAAGAAGAAAACATATCACCTAACATTGTAACATCAGTGCCTCTTAATCAAGAAATAATTTCTTACAATGAGATCCTTGTAAGGGAGCAAATCAATGGACATTTGTGTTGTTGATGTTTAGCTATCAATCTTAGAATAAGATTAAAAGGAGAAAATTTACTTGAAAACCCAAATGTGGTAACTGAACTTATATGCCAAATATGTTTAAATTAAAATGGTCCCATTCAAAGCTTATGATACTACAATTAGTTTGTGGGAATTGCTGGTCCTTGGAAAAAAAATAAAAATTATTCACTACTAATCCTAGAAAACTAAGGTCTATTGTCGAAGTTGTCAGTCCTCTGAAAATCTTGCTTTGTACACTTTTGTAGTTGTGAAAACTGTGGCATGTGAGAGCAGGATAGATTCGATGACCTTAGTGGGTCTTTTGGGCTTTGGTCCCATAATATGTTCTATAAAATTAGGGGATAAGATTAATACCCATCTAGCCATTAGGGGTATGAACTGTTAAGTGTAGGGGGCTGGTCCCTTGTGGTATGGCCATTAGGGTGGAACAAGATGAGGGGATAACCTACCTTCATCATCCCAAAGTGTAAAGGGTGATTAGGGTTTACTACTTACTCATCACTAGTCCTCACCCACTCCTTCCCATCTCCTCCTCCAATGAGTACCCTATCCTTTATTTCTTTTCACAGTCAAGTTTCTTTTTAGCAAACTTTTTGTGACCTTGTTTTCTTTCCTTGTCATTGGTGAACCATCATCTCCTTTAGAGTCAATGTCAAAGTCTATCTTGAGGATGTAAATTAACATGATGCCCTCTTTACACAAGCTCACTCCTTCCAAGCCTTTCCACTTTTTCTAAGTTATAATTTAACCTTATACTATTTAACTTTTTCCCCAAAATATTAGGAATCACTAACTATTGAGAAAAATTTCTTATTATGAAAATAAAAATAACTTTGTCTAGATATTATTTTCCCACTTGATGAAAAACTAAGCATTTACAAGGTCTATGCTTATAGAATGATGACATTGACATTTTAATAACTTGGGATTAAAAATTATTATTTTGAGTTGACTTTCTATTGATTCATTGATTATTTTTATTTTTTCTTACCTAAGAGCATGGTCATTGATGAATTCCACTTTCATGTTGTATAGTATCAAACATATTTGAAATAGCAATGCCTCATAATAGACTCATGTATGAGGCTTTTGGTATTTGTATAACTATTACCATTTATTTTTTGGAAAGCACAAAAACATCAGCTTTTAGCATGATAGTTGGTGTCATGTGCAGGTTTTAGAGATTGTTTGTGTGAGATGAGGCAAAATATTCAACTAACTATGGAATTTGGGTCTCCAAGTAGGAGGTTACTAATGTGAATTGGAGTTTAAATGTGCTAAAATAAATATTATATAACTTCCATGTCTATGTCTATTAATAAATTGATTATGAGTAAAGATATGGTATGGCCCTTTGATTACTATTTTACCATTATTTTATCAATGACTTTACCACTATTTACCAAATATTTATTAGCATAAATTTTTGATAGGATTCAATGCCTCTATTCTTCTTTCTTCACATGTTCAAAGAAAGGAATGGGTTTGTGTTCTTCCCTTGCAAGGCCAGACATGTTATGAACTAAATTCATATGGATATTAGGTTGCATTCCTAAATTAGCACATTTGCTTATAATCCTTCAAAGTAAATTTGAAACCTTGTGACTGAAACGCTTTAAATTTAGCTTTGTTTGGAGCTCAAAATGTAAAGGCATAATGAATCCAACAATAAGCAAATATGCAATCACATTCATTACCCATCAAGAACTTTCATATTCTCCTAAAACTAATGCACATTTTTTGTATATGGGGGGAGATTTATAGAATATACATTGCTTATATTCTCAAATATGCAATTGTAGAGTTCAAAAATTCCATCTTCTTCTTAAATGTGTTGTCAACTTTCTCTTTTAGTTTTCCATATGCCATGCATAGGAATGCAATATATTGGCAACTAATTGAGATTTTCAAATGATCATGCCAACTAATTGGCCATTGATAATAGGATGAACTAAGGGTTACTAAGTTCCTAGCAATCTTGCTAACCATGCAATAATTGTAAGATTGATAAATAGAAATATATTCTACATTAAAATTGTTTCACAATGGGGCACAATTTACAATTGACAGGCTTTATTCATGCAAAAATAAAATTATAATTTCATTGTTCCTTTGAAAAAATAAGTGAAAATAAGAAATAAATCATAAAATGCTTCTCATTATTACTTAGTAGTTAATTCTTATCAATACAATGTATCCTTATGCACTACATTTATTTTGGATGCTAGTAGATTATGTGTGTTCTATTAGGTTGTAAACCTTGCTTCTTACCTTGCCAGCCCAGCTAGAACAAGTAACAATCATTCTTCATATCAGGAATATACTTTCAATGAATCTAGGCATCAATAATATGCTTCACTAAATATACTATCATGATCTTCAAGCATACAATTACCATTGTACTCTTCCATCATATTGGAATCTTACACTAGAGTGCTCATAATTTAATGAATGAGGATATTGGTGGGCAGCAAGGACCGAATTGAGATGAGATATACGCATGTGGATTATGTATCTAAATGTTCACTATTAATATGAAAAATTAAGCTAATGTCTTGTACTATGAACTGAGATAAAATTCTCCTTTGATCATCATCTTCATACATTCCACTATATTAAGCTCATTGTTTAATGTGTATATGCAGATGATCACTATATATTGACCAATAACTCATCTTTGGAACATCTACCTCCACATAATTCATGTTCTTGATTGAATTCTTAGTGGGTGGAGCTGATCCTCTAACCTTTTGATTAGAATAAACTTCTCCTTCATACATTCCACTATATTAAGCTCATTGTTTAATGTGTACATGCAGATGATCACCATACATTGACCAATAACTCATCTTTGGAACATTTCAGTCCACATCATTCATGTTCTTGATTGAATGCTCTAACCTTTCAATTAGAATATAGTTCTCCTTCATAGTATCTTCATAGGGTCGGCTTGGTCTTAGTATTCATGCAACAGTATTTCAAGGTGGCATTGCAAGGAAGCAATTTTTTCTTGAACCATCCAGCCCATGGCATAGTAAAAGCCCTTCAATATCCCAAGAAGTAGAAAGAAGTTGTAATGGCACCAAGAGCTCATTCTGTAGGAATCATGATCTTGGGGCATCGCTCACAAATGCGGCCCGGAGCAACTCCCAATTACCCCTCCCAAACATAATTAGAGGGGCTGATTACCCCCCTCGGACCGATCCTTATAAGCCATCTCTCCCTTCACGTCTTCTCCTCAGTTCTGTTGCCGGGTAGGGGGCGGGAGTAGATCCATCGCAGAAAGGGATCCAGGGTTTTCCGCCGGAGTCCCTCGCCCACCTCCGTCTGCCCTGGTCTCCCCCTTCCTGCCGCTGCTTGACCCCTGGGGGGTCTTAATTTGGGGAGTAATGGCGGTGATTCCAGTCGCCTCCGGGTCCCTCTCCTCTTCGCTTCTCCGCTCTGCCTTCTTGTAGGGTTAGTGTCGGGGACGTGAGGGGAGGCGAGGTGAGAGCTTCTTCAGGTGCGTAGAACCTCCCCCTCTTGGTCCAACCATTGGAATCCATTCGGACGGGAAAGGAGTTGTTTCTTTCCGGGAAATTTCGCTACGCATTGCAGCCATTGCCCTGTCAATCCCCTCCTACTCTTACGTGTGTAGAGGATAGGGAGAGTTGAGGAATTTGATGCGCCGATTACGAGGGCTTCTGCTTCCTTTCGGGCATTGACGGAATTCTCTGACGCCTTCCCAATCTACACCTTATTCCTCCTTAAAGTTCTTGTTTTTCTTCAATTTGTGACCCAGATTCATTTGGATGATGATTTGTGGTTAATTTCTGTCGCAGAGATGAGTCGGAGGCTGAGGAGGAAGGGTCTCCAATCCAGAGATAACGAGAAAGGCCTCGCCATCTACCAAGCTGTCCCATGCTGTTCTGATGGCGTCTCAGAGGTGTATGAGGTGGTCAACTTTCCCCCCTCTGTGGCCGCCATGAACGCTGATCCCGACATTCAGCCCAGGAAGAGGGCCGCAGCCACCTGCCATGGTTCTGTCACCTCATCCTCTGGGCTTGGCTCTGTGTCTTCTCAAGCGGTCCCTGTGGACTGGACCAGCCTTCCCGATGACACAGTCATCCAGATCTTTTCTCGCCTCAACTATCGGGACCGTGCCAGTCTTGCCTCCACCTGCCGTGCTTGGCGCATCATTGGTTGTCTGCCATTCCTGTGGCAAGCTCTTGACCTCCGAGCCCACCGGTGTGATGCAGCCACAGCCCTATCACTTGCTTCCCGCTGCTCAACCAACCTTCGAAGCCTCCACTTTCGTGGGTCTGAGGCAGCTGCCTCTGTCATGAACCTCCAGGCCCGGGGCCTCCGTGAGATCAGCGGTGATTTCTGTCGAGACATCACTGATGCTATTCTATCTGTGATGGCTGCACGGCATGAACTCTTGGAAAGCCTTCAGATTGGCCCCGACCCATGTGAGAAGATCAGTAGCGATGCCATCAGGGCAATTGCTCTCTGCTGCCCCAAGCTTAGGTGCCTGCGTCTCTCGGGGGTGCACCAAGTCGACGAAGAAGCTCTCAATGCCCTTGGCAGGCACTGCAAGTCCTTGGAGGAAGTTGCCTTCATGGACTGTGGGAACATCAATGAGGCTGCACTTGGGAGTCTGGCATCTATGCGGTTCCTCTCAGTTGCGGGCACAAAGAACATGAGTTGGGCTGCCGCTTCACTCACATGGAGCAACCAGCTCTGCAATTTGGTTGGGTTGGATGTTTCAAGGACTGATATCTCCCCTACTGCAATGTCGAGGCTCCTCACATCTTCAAAGAGCCTGAAAGTCTTGTGCACGCTCAATTGCCCATTTATCGATGAGGAAGGCTCCAATGGGACCTCTGTGTTAACCAGCACGAAGGGCAAGGTGTTGCTTAATTTCTCCTCGGACATATTCAAGGGGGTAGCTGCATTATTGCATGATGCCCCTGCTGCCGAGGCCTCTGCAATAAAGGACTTTAGGAATGTGTTTAGAGAGTGGAGGACTTGGAAACACAAGAATGGTGGTGGCAAGTATGTTGAGGAAGTCATGAATTGGCTGGAATGGATTCTCTCTCACACCCTCCTGCGTATTGCCGAGACAAACCCCCCAAGGATGGACGAATTCTGGTTAAGGCAAGGGTCAAGCCTGCTGCTCAGCTTGGTGAAAAGCTCACAAGAGGATGTCCAGGAAAGGGCAGCAACTGGACTTGCCACGTTTGTAGTCATTGATGATGAGAATGCTACAGTGGATCCTGCCAGGGCAGAGGCAGTTATGAGGGATGGAGGGATACCTCTACTTTTGGATCTTGCAAGGTCTTTCAGGGAGGGTATTCAATCAGAAGCTGCGAAGGTAACGGGTCTAACTAAGATGACATCTTACTTCTTATTTGATACGCGATTCATTTTTGTGCTTTTTATTTCTTGGTTCATACATTATTCTCAATTGGTTGTGCAGGCCATCGCTAATTTGTCTGTGAATACGAAAGTGGCTAAAACAGTTGCTGATGAAGGAGGAATTGGGATACTATCTGATCTAGCGAGATCCATGAATAGACTGGTTGCTGAAGAGGCTGCCGGAGGGTTGTGGAACCTTTCTGTTGGTGAAGAGCACAAGGTTTGCAACGATCTTCAACTTGATTTTTTATTATTATTATTGTTATTTTATTTATTTATTTTGGTATGTGTGGAAGTGTTGATGTTTATGGCTTCATTTTTTTTTTCTAGGGTGCCATTGCTGAAGCTGGTGGGATTAAAGCTCTTGTTGATCTTATCTTCAAGTGGCCATCTGGCATTGATGGAGTTCTTGTATGAATAATTTTTACTCCTCTGAACCTTTTACAATGTTTCTTTTTCTTCAACAAATACTAAGCTTTGTTTCCAAATTGTTTATTTATTAAAACAGGAGCGTGCTGCTGGCGCACTTGCAAACTTAGCTGCTGACGACAAGTGCAGCATGGAGGTTGCCATGGCCGGTGGTGTCCATGCATTAGTGATGCTTGCTCGTACTTGCAAGGTTGAAGGAGTACAGGAGCAGGTATTTCTGTCTGTAATATCTGTCCGAGTTTTGTATGATCAATTGCACCTTGCTCTGGTCCATATGAAAATCTTCTGTGAATTAGATTCGATATGCATACAATAGCACTGTCCATAGTTGCCAGTTAATGTTGGCATTGCATACGGCCTACTGTTAGCATCTGGATCTCGAATGCGCTTGCTCTCTTCATTGTTCTTAGTTTATCTCCACTTAGTTTATACCATGCCAGAAAGTATTCCAAGCTACCTTTATATTCTCTCCATTACTCTTTATTCGGTTTCTTTTAATGACATAGTTGCATTCTCCTGTACATCAATGTTTAGTGTTGTGCACCACAATGTTGTGACTTAGGCCGTAATGATATGCTGTGGGATGTCCATAGTGCTAAAATTGAATATGGATTTCACATGTTTTATGACGTGAAGAAATTAGCTCTGCACCGCTGGAAACCAGTGGAGGATAATGATAATTGCACATGGTTTTTTCTTTCCCTCATCTTTTTATTAATTCGAGCTTTTGATTAATGGATTTGCTTCTTCTTCATCCTTTACAGGCTGCTCGAGCTTTAGCAAATTTGGCTGCTCATGGTGATAGTAATAGCAATAATGCTGCCGTTGGTCAAGAAACAGGTGCACTAGAGGCTCTAGTTCAACTAACTTGTTCCCAAAATGAAGGTGTAAGGTACTACATTTTCTCAATATGAAAATGTATTTGATATTTGGTGATCTACCAGATTTGTCCTTGTTATTTGTTTTCTTGTCTTTTCTGGTAATGTTCATATCATCACAAATTAGTTAGGCACGTCCACACAAATCTAGCTAAGCGTGCTGTTTTCATCTTTCTTTCTTTATTTGAAGCAAATCATAGTTTCACAGTGTAAATGTTCTTTTCTTTGTTAGATAGTTTTTTTAGGTGAGATCCTGTATCTATTGCAGAATTATGCACATGAATATCTCTGCATCCCTTGTAAGGCCGTTTCTTGTCAAGTTTTCAAGTTTTATTTCATGGTTTAGATCATGCTCCAGGAAATCTGATTTGCGGCCAGCTTTTGACCTGCTCTTGATTTGGGTAGTTTTGTCTCACTTGTGATATTATATTTCCTGGTCTTTAACATGTTCGTTCTGTCTCGTGCATCTACAAAATAGACAAGAAGCTGCGGGTGCCTTGTGGAACCTATCATTCGATGACAGAAATCGGGAGGCAATTGCTGCAGCTGGTGGTGTGGAAGCGTTGGTATTTCTCTTCTTCTTTCTTGAAAGTGGATACTATTTTCAACCTCTTTCCTGGAATTATTATCGCTATTTGAGTTCGTTATATTTCTTTCTTTATTTGTAAATTGTGCAGAGATCCTAATAAGCAGTTTTACTCGTTTAAATTGACCATAAAAGATCAAGGTGTTTTTAATGGTATAATAGAAAAGAGGGATGTAGTTAAATTTGAAGCGATATTAATGTAGAATATAATCGTGGGAAATGAGGAGGCCCAAAAGAGTGTGGCTCAAAGAGCTAGAACGAGTGAAGCTTGGACATCTCAAGTGCTGCAGCATCTTCTCTACACCAGATGCTTCATTCTAGACTATTTTGAATGTATTTTTCTTTTTTCTAGGGGAGCATTTCTTTCTTTTGTTAGTTGATTCTATTTTTTGGGGGATCTAGAACTAGTTTGTAACTATCTAGGACTGTTATGGTTTCCCGACCCAAATCATTATTTTTCTCTATTTCTATCCTTTGGTATTCAAGCATACTCTTTTTATTCCTCTTGGAACCAAAAGGCCCCGTCTTTTATACAAATTGGAAGTCCTTTCATATGCAGATGCTCGATTGTCAATAGGTCTAATCTATTTTATTTGTGTGTGTGTGTGTGTGTGTGTGTTCTTTACCAGACACAATTTAACGAATCGCTACAAGTGTATTTTGATGTACAGTGTCCCAATCTAATTAGACTGTAAAAGTTGTAGTTTTGGACATTCAAAAAGTTGTATTTCTTGATGATGGATTTGGGTGAATCATAGATTACCATATTTTCAGATCTCTTCAGGTTCTAATTTCCCATGTGCCCTAAACATGAAATTTATTTCGAGACCAAGATGCAGAAGTGGAGTGGCGAAGAATAGGAAGATAGAGGAATAGGCCAGGGATAGGCGATGTTTGAGTGATAATGCTTGTAAATAGGGCCAGGGATTTTGCTGTGTTTTCTTACTGGCAGATTAGATTTTGGTTGAGAGTTAAGTTCATTAGCTATAACTTGTGCTCAGGTAAAGGCAAGAGTGTCTAATTTTTCAGACCTGATTTATTCTATCTAGACGCATAGGAACTTTATGACAATAAATTGGAAGTTCTCATCTTCAACGAGACTATGAAGATGTGAGGGAAAATGGTTCTTGCTGAGACTACTTGCAGTTTTCTTGAAGATATTTCCTCAAGTGACAAGATGAAGAACTTTAATTGCTTTGGTCAACTTCTTTGATTATTTTTTATTACCATTTATTAGTCAGTTGTGCACTATATGTTCAATATTACACTACGGAGTCATTTAGACTAGCATTCTCGAAATGGGCCTGAAATGGCAGAGGCAATTGTTTTCTTTTCTTATATGGTGGGGCCATAAATTTAACCTGGTGGTTCTTGCTACTATGCTGCTATGGTACTACAAACTGTGTGCGGTACGAGAAAAGTTGAAGAAAGTTTCAGATGTCTATACAACACCAACAGGGGTGTTGACTGGTATTGTCAGTGTTTCCAGGGGAGCCGTGTATATCGAGAGAGACACTAGGGTAGAAGTCTTTCAGCTAATTATCTTTCAGCGGGAACATTAACATCCTCATTTATAACCAAGTGATGGCGGTTGTTTCTCTGCTTCCTGTGCCCTAATTTTGTGTTTGCTTTTGTTGGGGGGAGGATTGGGTGGGTTGGGGTGCATAATGATATTGTTTGCAGAAGAGCTCGTTCGTTTTATTGCAGAAATTAATTGTCGCTGTAAATCTGCAAATTCCTCTTGTGCTGAGACGGAGCCTTGGTTTGGAATCATATCTTTCAATGGACCTTAAATTTTCCACTGTCTATTCCTTGATGCTTTGTGTCCTTTTCTGTTCTGAGTCTTTTGGGCTGTTATTTTGTTTCTTTTTCCTCCAAGGGGTTGCATTCATCTAATCCTGGAGCTTATTTTGCCTGTATTTTGGCCTTACTTTTTATAACCCTGTCAAAAGTGCATCTCAAGACCTGAATCACAAGTTATTTCTTTGAATTTATGTATTAATTGGTGTGAATTTATTAGGTGGCTCTTGCTCAGTCGTGCTCAAATGCTTCTCAAGGCCTTCAAGAGAGGGCTGCTGGAGCTTTGTGGGGATTGTCGGTGTCAGAAGCTAATAGGTATCTAGTTTTTAAAAATTGATTTCATTGGTAACATGCTACTTTACTTTCTCTCTCCTATTTTTTTCTGCACAACTGTGGTCGTATCTTCAAAGTATCATCAGGAGCTTGAATGAGTCTAAGTATTAGTTTTGTCTCGGTTATCTGTTTTTGTCGCTGTCAATCTCCTGGTATATTATCTGTTCATGTGCCTCTGCAAAAGGTATCTTGCAGATGATTGGGTTTTTCATAACTCAGTTATGAGAGTTGGAGATATGGGTGTAATATGATATTGGATTTACATATATTTCTTATGAAGGGATGGGGGCTCATTGACAAGGAGTTCGTAGAAATGTCTACAGGATCAGTTGAAATAAATCTCCAATCTGGTCGTATCAACATGTGTCTCGCCAGAATCAGCCAGTAATGGAGTGTTTTCTTTCTTCTTCCCACATAATTGGCATATTACTGCAATGACGTTTAGCACATCCCAGCCTAGACGTGGTCAAATATAACAATATTTGAGGTTTAACGCTTTAGTATTATGATCTCCTTCCACCACTTGGCCCTCTATATTTGGCACTTTATTGCTTGGCTCAGGGTAGAGGAGATAAACTAATGGACTCAGCCTTCGTTAGGACGACTTTCTAAGCCATATAGTTGCCAACAGGTCAATGCTTTCACCATCATTTGACAGACTAGCATGATTTTAAAAGACCAAATCGATAACTGGGAGAAGGGAAAGGTACTTCCAGATCTTTGTTTCAATTTTTGAACTAAAATCAGCAGATTCTTGTTGGCATGGCTGTTTCTATTCAATTTTAACAAAAATCCCAAAAAGGTTTAAAAGTAGAAATATAAGTAGAAGGGACAAAGGGGATAAACTGCTAAACAAGTACAGGGGAATTTGTTTTAGGTATTGTTAAAATCTGCGACAACTGATAAGAACTATGACTAGTTTGGCTTCTGAGAACAGATAAAAGAAAGGAAATGAAGACATTGTTAAATGAACAATGCATTGAAGCATCTAATGAGAATCTTAAGGTTTTGTTCTAGATATACCGAGTACAATGAGAGTACTCGGTATTTTAAATGGTGGAAGACAGGTAATTTCTTCGTATAGAAGGTCTTGATTAATAGGGCCCTTCCTGCTTCCTTGATGGTTGATGTCTCATTGAAGGTTTTAGGCATACAAATTAGTGTCTCTGGCTTCAAGATAGTGGAACGGCTACCAATTTCTTTGGAGATAGTGTCCCATCGATGGATGATACTGTATGGACAGTTTTTAGCCACACAACTTACCATGTTTTTGGTGTTGAGGTGGCCCAGACGTCCAAATTGTTGAGGGCAACAAGGAGAGATGTTGGCACTCGAACACCAGTGTGTCCGTGTGATGACACATTTTTGTGCACATATTAACGCATCTGCATGGGATTAATGAGTTCTGGCATGGGTCGTATTTGTGTGGCAATATCCATTATTAATAACAGTACATCTGTTGTATGCACAGCTGAAAGTTGTTTTCAAACACTGGTGTGCTCTTGTGTTTGATCATGTGGTTAGTTGAATTTGCACATATAAGTATCTTATGCCAGTTAATGATTTACATTTTATTACTTGTATTTTAAATACGAGAAGATTGGAAAATACTAGTATTCATTTGATCTTGAGACTAATTCATTTGGAGATTAATAAACTAAGACATTCAGTGGTTCATTTAATATTTTCCAATATTCATCTGTTGATTGGAAAAGGCAAGTTCATGCTCTCGATCGTGAAGCCTATTCATTTGTCAGGGGATTCTCCGCAGGTGCGGAGAGTATTTAGTGATTTAATCAACACAGAATAGTATGAAAGGCTGTAAAATTAGTTACACATGATTAATTGATAAGTATTCCTTTTTTCTACCTTAAATTCTCAAACTCCAAAAATATGAGTAAATCCAGGAAAATATGTCACAGACTTAGTAGGTGTTACAAGAAGAGGATTGCATAAATCAGGTCATTGCTACTGGTATTTCCAATGTCCTAAAAATGAACAAACTTGATCTTGGGTTTAGTTCATACATTCCAGGTTAGTCTTTAATGTTTACTCTGGAAAGAAGCATCATCCCACTTCTTGATGTTCGAGAGACAGCTGTGGTAGTCGCCAAAGAAAACATATAAGTGCTTGTCTGAGTTAATTTTTTAGGAGAAAGCGAATGTCATCATGAGTACATGTTTACTGGGAGATAGTATCCTAGATGCGAAATTGATTGTGTAATTGGGATGCTGGTGAAATGGCCTGATTTTTCTAACTTGGATTGACAAATAGATTGGGGCGGAGGTTGTGCGGAAGTTGGTTGTGTGTGGATAGGAGGGAAGGTGGAAGAAGAGTTGAGGAAGGAAAGAAGAAGGGAGAAACAGATAACTTTGATGACGGCCCATGTGGCTGTTTGTATGTGACGGCAAGTAGGAGGCAAGTAGGAGGACAGTGATGGTGTTTAGGATTTTGAAGTGAAAGAATGGTATTGAGGCATGGAAACTCATTTTGTTGTCCACAATGCGAGCATATATCACCTTATTGTCTTCCGTGTCTCCTGATCATTATGTTATCATTGTCATGATTCATGGAAATCATTCCTGGTTCTTTACTTGCTTTGTTTACTTTTCAGTATTGCCATTGGGCGAGAAGGAGGTGTTGCACCACTGATTGCATTGGCATGCTCAGATGCTGAAGTAAGGATATAAGCTCTATTTTTTATGCCACTCATAGAGATTTCTTATCTCTAACTTTTCTATTGAACCCCTTCTTTACTTTGCTTGTCGTTTGTTGGATATCAGTGTATGTGTTGACTGGGCTCCCGGATTATTTTGTTTTGAATTAATTTGATTTCATGTCCAGTTCAGTTATATAGCTGGTCTCGTGAACATCTCATTGACTCATTAATTTCTTTTCATTTACATGTACCTATTTCAGATTTATTTTTTTTTGTTGTGTATTCCTTGGAGCTTTTTTCTATACACTATTATGCCGTTGTTCAAGCCACAGTTTCTGCCACCCATTGGTAGAAACTGTGCGTCCAATTGACATTGTGCGTCATCTGTCCATTGATTGTCAGAATGTGATCTCTGTTCATTTTATTGCGCTGAAAATTTCCCATCTGTTTTGCTTCCTATTGTTTAGTGAACCATCATGCTGATCTGCTGTGTTACGTGTCATGAGTCTCAATTCTCTCTTCAGAGGAATTTCCCAGAAATTGTAAGATTTTTCTTAAGAAAAATGTCCACATTCATATTTCACAATATCCGGCGTTAGTTAAACCTTATTGACTGGAATTGGGGATTACCTTTTATTCCTACATCACATATAATTGAATATGCCTCTGAAAAACATACATGTGGTGGATCTGAATCAGGTGTTGATTATTTTTGTTTGCCAGTTCTGCCATCAATAGTTTATTTCATTTTCTTGTTGGTTTGTGTATTGAAAGGACTTGAATTCTAGGTTGATTCATCACAGTACCTATATAGTGCATGAATGTGGTTGCCTGTTTTATCTCAAGATGAAATACACGCTTGCAGGACGTTCACGAGACTGCCGCAGGGGCCCTTTGGAATCTGGCCTTCAATCCGGGCAATGCTCGTCGAATTGTGGAAGAAGGGGGAGTGCCTGCCCTTGTTCATCTTTGTTCTTCATCAGGATCAAAAATGGCCCGCTTCATGGCTGCTCTGGCTCTGGCTTACATGTTCGATGGAAGGTTGATCCTTTGCAAATTTTCATAATCTGTTTCCTCAAGTTGGACTCTTGGTGGCATCTCTACTCTTCATTGATGTCCTCATGCATTGCTTTCATGCTCCATTTCAAACACTCTTCAGAATTATGGGTTGTAACCACATTATGGTTTCTTAAATTGCCTTCTTATTTCTCTGGAATATGCTCCTTCCTGGTAAGTTCAACCATGAAACTTGCTAGGTTTTCGTATTCAGGATTCTAATGTACTGTGCTTGCAAGGTAATTGTAGGCATCTTGATTTGCTTGGAGTCTCAAATATAAAGATCAGGCTCCGGACGGGTTGCTATTGTTAATAAGAACAGTTTCAGTAATGCCTTAGAGATTATGCTAGAAGCTGGTTGACAATTTGTTGGAGCCTCTGAGTTTCCTGTAAAAGGATTATTAATTCATATTATTGGAGAAATGATATGATCGAAATTCAGATATGAATATGAATTAGTCAACCTTCGATAAATTCATACGGTTTCTCTTGTCCCTGAAGTGTTTTAGATGATATAATCATTTGATAAATCCCTTTAGTATTCTTTCCTCTAAAATTTATCTTCCTGGTGCATATAGAATGGACGGAGTTGCGTTGGTTGGCCCATCTTCTTCAGAAGGAACTGCGAAGAGCATAAGCTTGGATGGCGCCAAGAGAATGGCCATGAAGCACATTGAAGCCTTTGTCCTTTCGTTTTCTGACCCACAAGTGTTCTCCATGGCTGCTCTCTCCTCGGCTCCTGCTTCCCTGGTCCACATAGCTGAATCAGCACGCATCCAAGAGGCGGGCAACCTACGTTGCAGGTATCTGATTTACTTCTTTAAATTATCTGACCCACAACCTAGCCCTTATTTTCTGACTCAATTACTATGTTGCTGGTGGTATAATGGCTACAACCCATATACCGTAGGAAGCAGAAAAAATAGAATCTAAATAGAATCTTTGGGAAAATCTTTCTTCTTGATCTGTGGTGACTGATGATGACTCCGGTGAATTTTCAGCGGAGCTGAAATCGGGAGATTCGTTCTCATGCTCCGAAATTCCTCCTCGGTTCTTCGGGTCTGTGCAGCTTTTGCTCTTCTTCAGGTAAACTCCGGCATTTCTCGTTCATCTTCTAGATTTGGGTTTCTACTGCAGATGAATGGCAGAAGCTTTCTAATTGTGGGAGCCTTTTTAATGCTGCCCTCAATTTGCGTGTGTGAGTTGGAACTCTCAATCCGCTGGTGCAGAATTTCCATTAAATAAGTGGGTTCGTGCATTGCATAATTATTTCCTGTAGGAATATTTTATATGGTTTTCTTGTGTATATATATATATAGGTATGTGCTCTATATAGTTAGTGGTCTAAATTGGGGAAGAATCCTCATATGTTTCCTGGTTCTTTTGCTTGAAATGTCTTCTGTGAGCAGTTCACCATCCCCGGGGGTCGCCATGCCATGCACCATGCTGGGCTCCTCCAGAAGGCCAGAGCGACTCGAGTCCTCCGTGCGGCAGCAGCGGCGGCGACATCGCCCATGGAGGCGAAGATCTTCGCCAGAATCGTCCTGAGGAATCTCGAGCAGCACCACCAGCTCGAGACTTCCATCTGAACAAGGAGGGACCCACTTGGAAGAAACCCCCCAGGGATGGGTGCTGCTCTCTCCAGGCTTCCAAAGGTGTTTAGAAGAACGTAGCAGATCCAGCCCTCTCTCTCTCTCTCTCTCTCTTTCTCTCTCTCTCTCTCTACTCTATTTTTTCTTACTTGGATTAGTTATTTGTAGAAGGATGAATTGATCTAGGATAAGTTGGTAAGGTGGAAGGTGTGGATGGGCGTCTCCAGTTTTGGATGATGTATTCTAGTATCTGTCGACGAGATCTCTCTCTCTCTTTGCCATGGATTGAGAATTAGTTTGAGACGGGGAATGTAATTCTCGAACATTATATTTTCCAAAGTATGAATAAGCTGTACTTGTACAAATGCTGATCTCATTGAAGTTCCCCTTGTCATCACGCTCTTTCCCGCGGTATTGGCTTCCCTTTATCCATCTATCTCTGGAATCGAGAGAGAGAGAGGGGTACACAGCGATTATCGTTAAAGCACTACGAGTTGGGACGGGCTCTCTCTCTCTCTCTAACCAGAAGCTACTGGGATGATTTTGATATGGTGGAGACTGGGAAGCATTACTCTAGGTCACATGATTGCCATTGGCGGAGCGGGCATTCACTGCAGGTCACGAGAATACCCGCTGCTCTGGCCGTCTCCTCCGCGTAGAGTCCCCCATTAAAGTTGCACCCTCATTGAATGATCATCGAAGTCCTCCCAGGGACCTTCGAGTATACCAGCTCCCTCCCTCCCTCTCGCTTTCTTTCCCTGCGTTCCTCTCTGATCTGATTACGAACCATCTCCGAGAACACATCGAGGCTGCTCAAACCATCCGTGTTATTCTCGTGGTTCCCACTGCCTAAGGCCAGCTCAATCAGCCTCAACCTTAGTGCAGAGAAAGAGGAAGTAGCGAAACGGAGAGAGAGAGATGGGTCTGTAGGTTAGCCATGGGAAGGGAGTGGTGCCGGAGCCGATCCCTGGGGAAGGCGAAGGAGAGAAGAGCAGTGGAGAAGCCACCTGGGTGCATGAAAGGGATCCTGCATCTTCTGCATTTCCGCCGGTCCCTACTCTTCTCATCCCTTAACCTCCATCACCTTGACGATCGACGCACCGGTGGAATAGAGAGGGACTCATCGCCAAACGGTGAGCAGGCCTTCGCCACCCTTCTCTCATCGTCGTCTTCCTCATTCGCCATTGACGGCTATTGGCCCTTCTCTCTCTGCTGACCCCCCCTATGAACTGTTTCAGGCATCAGAGGCGTCCATGGGATCTACCAGTCCTTCGCATCCCTCCTCTCTGAATCAAGAGATGATAATCCGGTGAGTACAGATCTCCAGAGAAGAAGAAGAAGAAGAGCAACGAAATCTGATCTAATATCTTTTGACTCACCTGTTTTTATGTAGACTCACTCGGGAAAAGGATCTAAAAGCCACCTCTCGCAGGAGAAGAACGACGAAAGCCAGAAGGAGAAGGTTATCCCCTCCGACGACAGTACGGACCAGCAAGCGGAGACCCCCAGGACGTCCAACGTCGTCGCCTGTCTCATGGGACTCGAAGCGCTGCCCCTTACTTCACCGGCGCCGGTTCCGTCTCTGCGGCCATCCTCCCTCCACAACCAGAAAGAGAACGACGGCGAGGACAGGCGGCGGCGAGGGAAAGTCACCAACCCAGCGCCGCCGCAGACCAGACGGAAACCCCTAACTGTGAGGAGCACCAACATCCCTGACCTAAAGAGCTCCAAGTCTTTGCCGGAAACGCCGAGGATATCGACTTCTGGTAGGAGGAGGTCCTGCGATGGAGAGACCCCGCGGTTCTCCCTGCAGCTCCATAGGGTGGCCATGGAGGAATTCGACTGCCTCTGTGAAGTAGTCCACGAGGGCTCTCTGATCTCTGTTCCTCGAACGCGTTCTTCTTCTTCTTCCTCCCAGGGTAAACGTGCCCTGCGGCCGCGGCTTCACGGAGAAAATAAAAGTGTAGAGAAAGGACCTCCTGCCACACAAGCTGTAGCCAAGAGAGCCACCGTACGTCGCAGCGATGGTAATGCTGAGAATATCTCCAGTAGGAGAAGACCGATGAACGAGAAGAAGCGCCGGCCAACGGCCACTGAGCTTCCCGGCGAGAGGTTACCAGAGATGAATCAGGCGACATCAGACAAAGTCGATGAGATAGACGGAGGAGACCTCAACAGGTTCTCATCGTCATCCTCGCCATTCCAACTAGATGGAGCTTCTGAGAGGAAGACATCGAAGACGTCGAAGTTGGCGCAGACGAGTTTGGCGAGACTCACGGAGAAACCTAAGAATCCTCCGGCCGCCAAGACCGCGGTCCTCGGCGGCGCTTCAAGAGCTGCAAGCGGTGAACATCCGCCCTTCAATCGTCCAACATGGCGCAGGACCTCTTCATCCTCGGTCAATCAATCAGACCAGAGAGAAAGTAAGCTGCCGTCGCGGCCTTCGTCGCCGTCTCCACCGCAGAAAACCCTAGAGAGTGCTCCCCGCTCGAGGCAAAGTCGAGAGCCGGTACTTCCACTTCATAGTTCTCTCCCCATTGTCTGTTTTACTCGATACCCATTTTCAGTCTTAAAATAAAATTATCAACGCAAGAATTTAAATAAGGAAAATCAAATGACAATACACAAAATTGCATTTTCTTCCGAGCTTCCAATTTTCTAAAATTCCATACTTTTTCTTTTAAATACTTCAATATTTTTGTAAATAAAAAAAAAATGAAATGGTGTTTGATTCGTTCCATTGAAGGTTTCCTGCAGGCCAGGGAATGAGCCGTCGCCCCCCCGCAGCAGCGGCGAGAGCAGAAGCACCCCCAGGGACGGTGAAGACTCGCCAGAGTTTCGTTACCTGAGGATGATCCTGGAGGGCGTGGGCCTCCTCGGCAAGATCCGCAGTGGGCTTCCGGCGACGCTGGCGAGGTGGCACCTGCCATCCCACCCACTCGACCCCGCGGGCTTCCACCGGCTCGAGCTCTCCCTGCTGGAGGAAGAGGACGAGTTGCGAAGTCTCGGCCATCTAAGCCGACGGTGCAACCGCAAGCTGCTCTACGATCTGGTGGACGAGGCCGTGGAGAGAGTCCTCCGGCCGTGCCTCGGTATCAAACCGTGGGAACATTACCGAGCCGGGAATTCAAGAGCGGTGGTGACGATCATGAGGAAGAAGGACGGAGGGGAGGCTCTCCTCTGGCACCTCTGGTCTCGTCTCCGTGGCTTCCAGCAGGAGGGCAAGGGCATGACTCAGCTGGAGACCTTACACCTCGTGGAAGATTTCGAAGACTGGAACGGAGTTCGCTGCTTCGCTTCCCATCCCCCAGTGAGGAAGGAGATGGAGGCTGTAGTGGCCTTCCTCGAGGCTGCCATCGTCGACTCGCTGGTGGAGGAGGAATGTCATGGTCTAGACCTGAATCTGAATAACATGCTGTACAACGAATGGGATCTTTGATGGTCTCGCTGAGTCCAAACAGTCACATGTGTTGGCCAAGTAGCATGAGGGAAGGTGAGATCTAATGGCTCTCACACTAAGTATGAAATCCATCGACACAGAGAGAGAGAGAGAGAGAGAGAGAGAGAATCCGGGGCTGTCTTGAGGGTGGTGTGCTCGTGTGCATTACTAACCTGTGCAGCTGAGGATGGGTGGCCGAGAAAATGGGCGCAGAACCTTGAACAAGTATAGAGATTCAGCTTCTAAATGACTACAAAACTTCTGAGTATCAAGGGTCCAACCTGGAAAAAAGACAGAAAATTGGCTTCAAACAAGATCATCCCTCATGCGAAGCCAAGACCCAACTTTCAAAGCTACCAAAATCATAAGTTCGGGGGGAGGGGCATCTTTCGGAGAAAGCATGCATTGTGGACGAAAATGGGTGCAAAAACTGTACTTTTAGATATGGCCACCAACAAGCGCTTCCTCTCCTGACTTATTGGCCGAAGGTGTGCAATTGGGGGGTGTTTGAGTTGTGGACAGTGATCTACTGGACTCTAGTGAGCTCTAGTGGGCTCTAATGGTCAATGATCCACGGCGAGTACATGGATCCAACTCGATTAGGGCATGTGTGAGGGTCCATTGTGTGAGCAATATGTGCTGCTGCACCGAGGTCTGTAAGATGATTCTCTGCTTTCGAAGGAACAATATTCTTGTGCGACCGTGGATGTAGGAGGATTCTCTAAATCACGTTAAATCTGGTGTGTCCCTTTGTTCTCGCCTCTCTCCTTCTCTTTCTCATGCGATTGGTACTAGTAGCACGATTGTCTTCTCCTAATAGGGTATCATTCATAAGAAAAATCACATAATGAGGTGAGAGGGAATCAGATGATGCTTGAGAGATTTCTAGTGTTGCTGCCACTCTTAGGCCTGCTCAATGGTGGAAGAATTTTATACGCATTACCCATTAAATAAGTTTGAATGGCATGATGTTCTGGCCAAAGGAAATTCAGCTTCTTGGAGCCCACAACCCTTTCACTCCTCCATTAGATGAAATCACATTCCGATGGCTCTATTAAACAATGTAAAGCCCGTCAGATTGCCAGTGGCTGTGTACCCATGTCAAAGACTTTGAACGCGTGGCCTCTCTCTCGCTGCTGTAAAAGACTGGGGCCCCGTCAAGCTCACGATGGCAATACCTCTCCCAAGATGATCCCAACGAGGAGAATTCTGTGAGCCTCAACAATGGCCATTCTCCAAGCTTCGCGGAGCAAGCTGCATGAAGCTATTTCAGACTATCTTTTTACCAATACTAAGATCGTACTTCTGCTCTTGTTGTTCTTGGCACGTCACCTCAAAGTCCAACCAAAGTGGGCGGCGTTTCATTCATTGGGTCAAAGGTTAGCTGTGACGATTTTAGGCTGTCGTTTCCTACTTACTTCCTACACGTTGGAAATGGTTCTCTTCATTTCGTGCAGAGGTCCGAGTTGGTTATCTTTGACATATTCTGCAGCCCTAGAATTTTCTCCATGCCCAACGCCAAGGGTCGGTTCCTTCCTTCAATCTATGGCGACCATTTAGGTTTAACTCCGACCTCCTTGTGCACGTTAGAACGGGGACCCAGGTATCCTCGAGGGCCGCGTGCCAAATAGATGTTGGCTGCTACCGACGACATTTTCCTGGAAATCTCGTGCTGCACAACAGAGTTAGTCGTAAGTAATGTCGACATGGTGTCGGCTGCTCAGAGAGGAAAACTACGGGACGAAATGTGTGCCTTCTATCGCCATCCAGTGACGACCAGAAGACAGCTAGCATACGGTTAAGGCAGAAAGTTCAACCCCCCATCTCTCTCTCTCTCTCTCCCTCTCTCTCTCTCTCCCCCTTTATTCTCTCACTCTCTCTTCCCTTCTCCCTTTCTCCCCCCTTTATTCCCTCTCCTTCTCTCCCTCCCTCCCTACTCTTCCTTGACTCGCGATTGAATACCGTCGAGCCTAGTTCACCCCAAGAATCTGTAGTTGTCACCGACATGACTTTCTCGTACTGCGAGAATCATCTCGATCGGACTCGTTTGACGAAATTTGCTTGGCTGTAGACTTTGCCACTACGCAAAACGGCGGATTCAAGAGATAATATATTATTAAACTCCATGTAAAACATCAGATATTGCTCAAATACTGAGAGCAAGAGTTGGGAAGGGAGTAAAAGTATTTAGCATATGAGAAATAGTGGAAATCAAATCCCTCCAAATTTATTTCATGATAGCCATTCTAGTATATTATCACATAGTGTCAACGCATTGAGATCTTCCCAGCATTGCAATCTAGTCAAAATTTTCTTAGAACGATGGTCAACTGTGGCCGACCCAATTCATCTGAGCTAATCCTTTTACACCATGATAAGATTGAGATTGCTGATAGCCGATTTGAGTCAGCTGGGATCGTCCTGCCCGCCACAATCAGATCGAGATCACTATCCGTCGATTTGATCTCCCCCAGCATCCACCCCACCAGATTAGATGGGAGAAGATGGGGGGTTCCTCCTTAGATCAAGGTCAACTGTAGCTGCCAGGGTTCGGCGGCTCATCCTGCCCAGCTTCAGATTCGATGGACCACCCAACAGTGGTGGATCTAATTCGAGCCAAATCCAGTTCAATCCCCACATTGCCTTGTTCTTGATCGGATGGTCCTACTTATAATTAGGATGGTCCCAAGGGGTCACGTGTCTGCCAATGCGCCATGCACATGGGCGCGTTCCCCCCCGGCCATCGCTCTCCCCCACCGCCTCGCCGGCCGCCGCGTCCGGCGGCGACCGTTCTACTATTAGCTCTTGAGATCCCTTCTGACAAAAGTGTAAGGAAAATGGGGGTTCCTTTTCGGAAACTCCTCTCATCACAGCCACGAGTTTGATATAATAAACGAATTTTGTGAAATAATTGTGTTCGAGGCGTACAAGCTAAGTCCTTTCGACAGCTATGGCTATTGTTACAGATGGAGACCGCCGGCCCCGCCGAACCCGCGGTCGCTCCTCCGCTGCTTTCAGGTTCCCCTTCCATGGCGGTTCCGGCGAGAACACCGCTGCCGCCGCCGGCCACGGCGATTTACATAAGCGGGACCCGCCGCCCATCTACCCTTTCTGTACAGGACGGCGATGACCCAGGAAGATTTCCGCCGCCGTCCGGTGGATCAATCACGCCTGGGGCTGCTGCTGGCCGCCGGCGATGGCCTGCGGCTGCTCGAATTCCTGCGGCCATGGTATCAGGCTTTGGGGAGGGAAGCAGCAGCTGCAGTTAGCCGGACATTTGCGGGGCATGGCCGACGGCGGCGCGCCGGCGGAAGGGGAGGAAGCGGCGGCGGCGGCGGCGGCGGCGGCGGCGGCGGCGGCGGCGGCGGCGGAATGGCCGCCATGGCCGGGGGAGGCAGCTTCATGAAGGGGCCCCCAACACTCGACCTTGTTATATTCGGGGAGGCTGGAGTGGAAGTAGACCCAGACGAGGGCCTCCTCCAGCTCCGGGTGGGCTCTGAACAGCGTCTCGTCCCCGTGGACGAAGGCCTTCAGCACCTGCGCCGAGGGAGGCAAAACCCTAACCCTAATCAGCGCCTGTTCTTGGCCATTTCACGCATAGATAATCAAGAACTCGATCTGTAATTGCGTACCACGGGGAGCTCCTTGGAGAAGATGTAGTAGCGGAGCTTGGCGATGAAGTCGAGCAGGAAGTGGCCGCCGCTGATATGACAGTGGACGTGAAGCGACATGTGGCCCTGCACCTTCTTCCACTCCGCCACCACCTCATCCCGCTGCAGCCGGTTGTACCATCCCTGCAGCTGCAGCCACCGCCCCACAGAAATTAGAAACCCCCTGAACACTATCACCATCGCCGGAGGAGGAGGAAGAAGAAGAAGAAGAAGAAGAAGAAGAAGAAGAAGAAGAAGAAGAAGGGAAGATCGCCCACCTGTGAGCGGTTGATGGTTTGGGAGACGGCGAGGGTGATCTTGGCGGTGATGTCGCTGTGGGTGAGCGTGTACGCCCTTGGGAGATGCCCCGGATGCTTCTCCTGGTCCACCCCAAGGAAGAGGACCTTCAGCTTGGAGGCCTCGAAGATCGCCGGCCCGAACAGCCTCGCCACCACCGCCTAAAACCAACCATCCCACAGATCAGTACTTGCTCCGATAATCTATCTAGATGATCTCTAAAGTCCCGAAGATCCTGGGGAAGAAGATGATGGCACCTACCGGAGAACCCTGCCGGTGGGGCCTCCTCCCCTTCCTTCCGCAAATTAGGGAGCTCCTCCTCTTCAGCTCCGCCGCGGAGGAGCCGCCGATCTGCGTCCCCGGCGGCAGAAACAGCGCCGCCGCTGCATATCCCATGATCCTCAATCTCCTCTCTGAGAGTCACCACACAGAGAGAGAAGAGAGGGAGAGAGAAAGCGGCGGCTTGAGCGGATCTCCTACTGGCTGTTAAATGCCGGCGTCTTCCTCCTTCCAAAGTCTCCTGTCGGCGGCGATGGCGTTGTATACGACGGCACGACTCTTCCTCTGCTTCACGCTCCCCCCCTCCCCCCCCCACCTTCCTTCCTCCGGACATCTTTTATAACAAATACATATAATTAAGTATTTACGATTTATTTCCTGAAAAATATCCCATGACTTGGGAGACGCGCCTTATGATTTATTCCCATCCCAATCACGGTAAGAGCGGCGAAGCGAAGGGGGGTGACGGTATCAACTACGGTCTTACTCGCTCTACGGACATATAAACCGGCGCGTAACGACAATAGGAGGTGGCAGAGGCGTGTGGCAATCGTGTCTGAACGCCGTGGCCAGCCTCTGCGGTGAAACGTGGCGCATTTTGGAAGAGGGGAAGGTAAGATGGGTACGCATGAGTGGTGGGTTACCGCGGCGTGCACGGAAGGCGGTTGAGGTGGGATGCGCACAAGCTGCTTGCTTGTAGACCGAGGAGAGTATTCTTGACCTTTGGGTATCCTAGAAAGTAAAAAATTATTTTTTAATTAATATTATAGATACTAACGATAAAATTCTCTGCTGTATTCATCCCGAAGTTGGTGTCCGCCGTCAAATCATGAACCATGTTTGGTAGATGGTAATTAAGCTTGAAGAATATAAATATATTATAATTAATATAAAACGTGATTTATATTTTGTAAACCTTCCTAAATCTTCTGGTTTATCAAGAAAAATTACCCAATTTTATATTATTGTTTTAAATAATTGGTACATGATCCGATCATAAGAGGGGAAGGGGAGTTAAGAAATGATAATAGCTTGCTTAAGTTTCTGAAATAATACCTTATCCAAATGGATAAATAAACAAAGTTGTGAGTTATTTATCTATATTTAGTATATTTATGGATCAAAAAGTGAGCATCTTCCACATCAAAATAATATGTGTGGATTTTTTATCATGATAATAGAAAACACTAATGATGGCAACATAATTAAATTAATCCAGCCATAAATGGCACACATTAATACATTTTTCTCACCATCATTTAATGTAATCGTGGCTCTTCAAAATTTTATAGATTCCATAACCTTCTATCATACATGTTTTGTAAAATTGGGAAAATAGTTGGTTATATTGCATACAATGATCAGTTTTCTATGAAAAATTTGAGAATTTATTGGGAATAACATGATAAATATAAAATTTAAGAATTAGTTTCATGTGAATCATTGTTGTACATCTTATTATTTGAAAATACATATAATAATGTAATAGGTACGTTTACACTAATAATTGAGTGTATAATTGATATCTAATTATGACACATTTAGTATTTTTTTTTAATCCCGGATGCATTGCCGTTTTTGTGTTTATAAGCTCAAAAACGTTTGGGTTATTACATTATTTATAATCCCACGTATTGGGGTAATTAAGGTCTCATCGTCTTTTGACAAACTATCACGCCTGATATTGTTTAGTCATATGGTTTAATAAACCACAAACGGAAATTTCTAATGATCTTGCGTGTTGTGACAGGGAAATTCAATTAAAATTTATATTTTCATTGAACTGGCCATCTTCTGTAGGGTGAGTAGGTGGTGACGGAGTCGGATAGCACTGCCACGGATGATTGCCACGTGGGGCTCTCTCCTTTGGGTTTGACCAGCAATGATGAGAGAGGACGGATGTAGGGTAATCTTGGAGGGGTCTAATCGATGAGGGTGATATCGTGTCTAATTAATGAGAATGATGAAAGAAGATGGGGATAGCATGCCCCCCCATCTATTAATGATGAAATGGGGCGAAAAGGGGTTGCTCCGTCTCTCTCTCTCTCTCTCTCCTCTTTGTTTTGCGTACGCGCATCCGGCTTACCCACGAAAACTCCTGTTTTCTTACTCTCTCTCTATCTCTCTTATATCTCTGAGCCCACCTTTGCCTCACTCTCCTTTCTTTCGTGTACGCGTATTCCCGCCTGCCCATGACAACGCCGCTTTCTCTCTCTCTCTCTCTCTCTCTCTCTAATAATCAACCTTTCAACTGGCTCCTCTCTCTCTCTCTCTCTCTCTCTAATAATCAACCTTTCAACTGGCTCCTCTCTCTCTCTCTCTCTCTCTCTCTCTCTCTCTCTAACTCTCGTCTCCTGGTCTACGTCAAAGTAGCCCATCTGGCCGAGTCACAGCGAAGTCTACGGCTTCCAATTCCGTCAAGGTCTCCATCGGCATCTCCCGTGCCGGAAGCCACTCCCAGTCAACGCTTCCCCATTAGCTGCCACGCCGCCGCCGGAAACGTGTGCCAACGTCCTCCACCTAAGCCGCCGGCGAATTCGGAGCCCACGTCCGCGCAGGCCGTTCCATCCGCCCCAGCCGTCCGCTCCCCCTTTGCAACGGGCATAATTATTCAAAAAATATAAATGACTAGAATCGAAAAAGCCCGAAAAATATGGAATTCGGCCCGAGGCCCAATTATTCTCGGCCCGGTAAATATGATCCCTCGAAAGCTCACCGGAGACTACTTCGAGAGTCGGGGTTTCGGGCTTTGGACTTGAGCCCGACTTTTGACTTTTTATTTTGCGTTTCGAAAAATGCTCATCAATCAAATAATTTCATGTCACGTGGAAGCCGTCGTATGCTTTTAGGTTGTTTCCCACGTGAGGAAATAGCAGCCAAACATCCCACGTGATCCGGGCCCCACGGGCTCCGGTCGGCTCAAAACATAATGAAGGGCTGAGCTCATCTTCCGCACGTTCTAACTTACTATAATACCTAGTCCACTAAATTATTGGGTCTTTTAAATTCACCCCATTAAAACTTTGTAAGCTAGTAAAAAACCTTCATCTTTCTCGAATTTAATTAAAGGCCTCAAGAACCAGTTGCTTATTGATTAGAAATCCTTGGTACATATACAACTAACATTTTACCCTTCTTAAGTAAACTATTTCTCATCCCACCTCTCTCTCTCTCGCTAAAACTCCCTCGTCCATGAATCTAACGAAGGGCGGTATTTTAAGGGGTTTAAAGCCGGTCCCGCATTATTTGGGTAACAACCTCTCTAAACTTATTATTTACAATTACTCCCTCGATATTCGAAATCTGTCTTACTCCGAGAAATCTCCTCGGGAATTTCGCCCATTCAGTCTTCAGACATTGTCGGTAACGCGTGCCGAAATGAGACATGCCGCCGTTCTCCCCTCTTGCCGGGTTACTCTCACGGGTCCAGTTCGCTCGGTTGTGGGCCACTAAAAGCCCATCTTAGGTTGGGCCTGCAAGGTGGGCTTCTCCCATACTTGCTAGAAAAAAAAAAGAAAAAGTATCGGTGCTCTCTACGTACTAACTCTCTCCAATATTAAATATAATTATTTTATTTATTATTTATTCTCTCCTATTTTATCTTTAAATTTTTTATCTAGTAATTTCCTCTTTTAGATATTACTCTGGTAAAGAAAAAGGGGAAAAATCTTGTAATCATAGTATGAATAAATATGCTACTAATCTCTGAATTTTTCACTTGGTACTCCTCAACTATAAATATCAATCCCTGTGTTATTAGCATCTATAATGTTACACATTATCCCAGAAGAGATTTGTATAAAAATCACTAAATTATTTATAAATATATTTTACAAAAAAATTACCCCCCCCACCACGCAACCTTAAATAAATATATCGAAGCTGTAAATTACCCTGAACATCGATCTTTACATTGCGCAATCTATGAATTTTTTCAGTACCATCCCAGAGCTTAGATATTATTCTTTCTTCCTCACTGTTCTTACCAAAAATGCCTTGATTTCTGCCCACTACCCCCATGATGTTGGTCATATATCTTGCTCATAGGGGCTCCGTTCTATTATAGTCTTTGATTTTTTTCCATAATTAGTAGCAAAGATCCCAATCATAGAAAATATTTTTCTAAAAATATTTTTCTGGGAAACAACTTTGGGTTCCACAGTAATCATTTTTCTGGGCAAATAATCTGTATATTTTTAAAAAAATTGCCAATTATAGAACTGCAAGAGCATTCCATGTGGGCGTACATTTTTCTCAAAACAGACCAATTCTTGATAAATGCACATTTACGGGCATGTTAAAATTATTTATTTTTAGCCCCATAAACCCTTCAGATCCCACGAACTCTATGAACATTCATGCACTATTTCATTTCTGTTCAAACAAAAAATCCCTCGTTGGTGAGAGATGTTGGGCTCACTCACTCACTCCTCACTCACTCACTCACTCACTCACTCACTCACTCACCCTCCCCCTTGTGAACATAAATATCTGTAAATATAAAATTAAATAGACATTTCTGTATCTGTATGCATGCGGACTTGCACGTGCGAGGATGAAAAAAGAAAAGAAAAGAATTGATGAACCTGTATGCTTCTGTACATCATAATCTCGGCTGATCATGGTCCAAATGAGACGCACATCCTTCATTTCTTGAAGGCATAATCACTGCACGGAATGATTTCTTGGTCTTCCATCACTTTAACAGCCCTCCACGCCGAATCTTCCTGTTTAAGAGAGAGAAGAGCCATTAGAGGAAATCATATGGGATTCTGAAAGAGTGCTGCATTCTACGTCTGCAAGCGTGCATCATTGTTTTCGTTTCTCATAATAGAAACAAATGTGGACAGAAAAAAAAAAAAAAACCCTTTTTCGTCAGGGAAAAAATAGTGATATTTGCGGTGAACATCTATATATATATATATATATATATATATATATCTAATAAAGTTTTTTGTGTATGGTTATCACGTATATAACAATGTCCCTGAATTTTGGGTAGATAACATAGTGATGTGATATAATACCTTGATTTTCCTTTGGGCTGGTTCCTCTGGAGGATAAAGAAAACAGTAGGATATCCCTTCCTTTTCAATTGGACAGCTTGCTGTAGTTTGAGAATGCTCCTTTGTATGCTGAAACCTGCAAAATCGTCTGTATTATTAGCTTGGTGAGCAAACCACATTCTTCAGAACATCAGGAACTGCATTATTCCCTCTAGAAATCATAATTCTTCGAACCATAAGATATATATACACATTTGGGGGACGACCCAGAGCGTTGACTTATACATCGAAGGCCATTTCAAACGGCTTTGACAGGTGAACCCGCCCAGAGATGGAGATTTGATTCCAATCGCGTAAAATCAAACGGGCAAGACAAAAATATTCTCATTGGGAGACATGAATAGGCCGAACTTGTCTAGTAAATCAGGTGTGAAGCTCAATTCACTGGAAGAACATCAGCAGCACTTCGTACCTTACAGCATAATTGTAGTCAGAAGGGTCAACTCATGGGGATCCAATGGTTTTTACTTCCTCAAGGAGTTCACAAGATGCTGAGGTGGACTGTCTGACCAGGGATGAAGATTCCTTCGGCCCCAAGAATGTTGGAATAGAAAGGGGCCATGTGGAACTCATCCGTTGCCCCACGGTTTTGTCTCTATAATGTCGCCATCGCCAGGAAGATGCAGAGGATGGAGACAGAAAGAGAGAGAGAGAGAGAGAGAGAGAGAGATGATGCCACGGTTTAAAATGAGAGACATGATAAACAACAGGGAAGCTTGTGATGATGCCACACAGGTGGGGCCAAAGCATGTGGCGAATCTGGTGTGGGTTTACTCAGATTGTCTCAGGGCACTGAACTCACCCTGCTCAAACATTCACGAGCACCAGTCAATATAATCCAGGGAAAACAGTAGAAGGGAGTTTCTGCTGATGCTGCCCAAACTTTCTTCGGGAAGAACTACCTTGCTGTGTTTTCATGGCGTTTCCTGATCCACCAACTGTCTTCATCTTTTCCCGATTAGTATTTTAGGGCAACAACTGAAGGATGACTCCGTGTTTCTTAAGTATGAAAGGTTGATACTCAGTGCGGTTTAAAAATCAGGAACCAGGAACTAGAGTCGGATCGAGCAATGAGACCAGGTGTTTTTGACCGAGGGTAATCGATGCAAGGGGAGTAGGGTTTCGGAAACGTCGTAAAGAACAACTGAATTCTTCTTCATGCGAGATAAAAGAGATCTGAACGAATGAAGGAGGAGGAAAAGAATAGGAAGGAGAAATTTCGAATATTTGAATGAAGTGAGAGAGAGCGCTAATGCGGCTGGATTGTCGAGAGGGATGGATTCTGTAACTTACAGCTTCGAGATCGATCCTGTAGACGACAAGCTTCCGTCTCTCACGGCAATTCGTCCGGTAGGCGACCGCCATATGAGCAACTGCCAGCGCCCACGAGCTCAAGAACAAGGCATCCGAGGCCATCGGCTCCCTCCGCATCAGGTCAACAGCCGAAGCGGACGCGGCGGCGCCTGCACGGTGCCACTGGCCCATCCCGGCGGCTACACAGGCCTTCACAAAGACGAAGGTCGCCGACGACAAGGAGCAGATCACGGTGATCACAAGGTAGGGCCACCGGGACAGAGCAGGCCCTTGAAAAAGGCAATAGACACCTGCGGCAACATAAACCAAAGGATCCCCAAAGATCAAACGATTATCCAATCCGTCTACACACGAATCTCATCCGAACGCAAGGAATAGTCGATGCGCGCACGTACAGATGATGACGAGGGATCGGGCGATGGAGAGCAGCGGCAAGTCAACGAGGGATGCACGGAAGTCGTATGCCCGCAGCTGGGAGGCCAGGGATTCGGGAGAGAGAGGGGCGACGAAGGCGGAGAGAACCGCCGAGGGCAGCAGCATGTCCAGGGCCGCCACGAGGAGCGGAGTCGAGAAGAAGAGGAGCGACGCCACCATCGCCGCCAGGAAGAAGAGCGTCTTCATCCCCCTTCGGATCCGCTGCAGCGGCAGACACGGCGTCGGCTTCGCCTTCGGGGACGTCGTCCTCTTCTCCATCCTCCCAAGATCAATCACAGAGACCACAGAGAAAGAGAGAGAGAGAGAGAGAGAGAGAGAGAGAGCGAGAGAGAGAGAGAGAGTCTGAGTTTCAGGCAGAATCGGCCTTCTGAAGAGAGAAATGTGAAGAGAACCTTATTCCGCCGCCGGCTCTTCGCCAGAGTGGGCCCCAGGAGAAAGCCGTCATGTAGAAACTTCGCAGTGGTCAACGCCAAGTTTCCGCGATGAGAATTTTCCCTTCAGAGGTCACGAGATTTCGCAGCAGCCAATCGCATTGTGCCACGCGAGAAGACATCTAGAAGTGCTTCCAGTCAACGCTGGAGGAAGACCAAACCGTTACCGTCACGGAGACGTTTGCCTCTATCTTCGTTTCCCATCGCCTTCTTCGATTCCGTCGGCAATGACGCGTCCACTCCGCGTGTTTTCCACATGTTTCTGGTCACCTTCGCGTTGCGTGTTGACTAGGTTTTCCTCCTCCGAAGAAAGGTGGAGGATAGATTCTCCTTGCGGTCACCGCCGTCTGGGCTGACTTCGAAAAACTTCCTCCAGTTATCGTAAAAAAATTATAAAATTAGAAATGTCAACGGCTGGAGCCTTATCCTAACCCAGCTCGAGCCCTATCGGCTCTCTAGAAGGCTTTTGACTTGGAGAGAAGGTGAGAAATTGGGCAGCTAGCTCATTTTGATATATTTCTAAAAATGGTCTTTGTGCTCAAGAAAATGGGTGGTTATTGACTAATTGATGAATAAATTATTGGGCTTAATTTTGAGGGAAAAAAAAATTAGGATGAGGCATGTAAGAGGCGTCAATGACATGTTAGAAGATGTTGATATAAATAGTAATTATTCATTAAAACATACGAGTCATCTTGATTCTACAAGATGCCACAATGGGTGCATCACTAGACTCTTTTCTTGATCATAAATGTTCTAAGGAGTTCATAGAGCATATAGTTTTTGTCGTGATTTTGATAAATTGTGTGATCAAATTTATTGATTGCTTTTATCTGCATATAATGGTTTATAATTTAACATTTTAGGAAATATAATTTTTTTCAATTGATTTTATATTTAAATTTCAAAAATATGGAAATGAATTATTTTTTTCTATCTTTTCCGTGACTAGAGTTTTCAATGCCATTAACACGAAGTTATTTCAAAGAAACAGTCATTACACATGTTATCAAGTACTTTGAAGCCCAATTAAAGGGCTTTTGGGAAAAAAAAAATTGAACACTAATTGAGGTTTTGCTAATACAATCATTTGATATTATCCATTCAAATCAATTTAGTTTTATAAATATATTTCACTGATCATATATTATAAGAAGTGTTGGGATAATTCAATGACTATTGTAAAGATTGTACTAATGAGATCCATATCCCAAAAGTATTCCTAAAAAGTGTGAAATTAGTGATTAGTTCAAAAATATGTAGAAGAATGATGAGGAAATGAAGGTAGATATATATATTTTTTATTATTTCCATGTAGTATGCCAGATATTACATTTTGATAAATATCTTATATCCCAAGAAAACCATCATAATCATTGCTTTTTTCACTATAACAATTTTTATAAATATTAGTGATTTCAATAGTAAGATAAAAAAATTCACATGCTGAAATCAACCAAATAAAGCAATTCAACATAATAGGTCATAAATACATTAAATGAGTTAACATTTGGATAGATGACATTATTGTTGAGAATTATTTCTGAATTCACATTCACTTAAATGAATATTCATGTCCAATATCATATATCACATATATTAAAACTTTAGTATGATTCAATCTTTTTAATTCATCTTATATGTGTTTGTCATCATCAAAAGAATATAAATTTAATGCTCCAATAAGTTCCTCATCACCTTCTCCTAGTATGTCAAAATTGAAATGAAAATTGAAAATTGATATAAAAACTCTTTAAAAAGTTTGCTCTTGACAATCATTTACATGGTCTTGAAATGTCTTCACTATTGGTAGATTTTCGATGAAAAGAGTAAAGGAATATTATCTAACATCTCATGAATCTACATTATGTTGGCATGTGCTGGTGGACAATAAAAATAGAATTTAAATTAATTTCAATGGGTAAAGATAATAAAAAAATATGGATCCCCAGTGAGTCAAAAATTAATTGAAGATGGGGCAATTTGAACTTCTGAATAATACTTCTAAATATTACTTCTAAATATAAGTGGTTGACATTATAACAATCCAAGAAGTTTCATGGGCTAAAATCGTAGAAAATGAGGTGAGAACTTGTCTTATACTACTAGATACTAAATAGTAGCTTGTTGATTTAAATTTATAACTCTAAATGATGCATATATTAGGCATAAAGTATTGAGTTGTTCTTCCACACTATTATCAGTTTTATGCACAAATATTTCCTATTTAATTATTATCAGTAACCTTATCATAAGGTGGATGAAGAACTCAATTCTAGTGTCACATCTCTCAACTTATAGCCACCTTTGACCAATAACCCTTATTATCATATCAATATAAGTTGTACAAGATTTATGACTAGAGCTTAAATCATAGCATTTCATATGCTATCTTGAATGTAATCAATTGAAAGTGATCCATCAAATATTTATCATTTTCTTCTTCAACAAATGCCATAATAAATATATGAAAATATTTGTGGAATTAGCCAAATACTAAGTGCTTATGCTGCCATATCCATATGGATATTGACCTCAAGGTTCTGAACTCTTTAATGACCAATAGATGGCTGGTTCATGAGAAAATGCTCAACAGGAAATTATAGAATTTTAGTAGTTGCGTCACATTTGGTATTCATTCATAGATGGTGAGTCAATTTTCTAAGTTCACTCATTTCTTAAAACCATGTGAAGATAAAAGAATAACTATTTTTAAATATCAACATGAAAAGAATTAAACATTTACTCCTACTTTATGCATCAAAGAAGATTTTATATAAGGTAAAAAAAATCACTTCATTATAATTTATCTAAATCATTTAAAATATAATTAACACAAACTAATATATTTAAAAATATATATTTTTTTTTGCTACAAGACTCCATTCGTGTACTCAAGAGTAACAACATCCAAAAAACCTTTCATCTCATCAAGATGGCATCAAAGGACAAAGTGTAAGTAAGAGAACCATGAGGTGAACACCATCAAGCTTCCAGAATTCATATATATATATATATATGATTCTTAGTAAGGATTTTCCTCGTCTGAATTATTGCAAAAGTTTCATTATACATGTGATTTCATTGATAGATGTACTTTACACACATTATACTAATTAATTGATGCCTAATATTTCTCAAAAAATATAATGTGTTATTTCTTATAGTTTAATAAATAATTTAGATATCAAAGAATGGATATTAGATCATTTAACTTTTTAACCTAAATATTTAAAAATTAAGTTGCCACATTGTTCCAATCTAGAGGCACCCATATTCCACCATGAGCCATAGTTCATAATAAATGTTATGAAACGTATTTTATGTTCTAGATCTCACTATATAACTCCTATTAAATGTAATAAAATACTATTTTATCAATTTTTAGGCTTCATTTTTTAGTATATACTCCACCACCTTGTCCTTTTTGAAAAGTGTTTACCACTTGAGGTTATAATAAATAAAGTTTTCCAAAAAACATAAGTATACATTTTTTATGTTTCCCTTAAAATTAGTGAATTTTTTATCTAAGATTGATCAAATTATCATTTGAGGGATCACTTGAAATAATTATGATTACATCAAATTCATCTACTCAATGACAATAATGTTGCAAGGTCTTGAGTGTGAAATTATAGTCATTGAGTATTTGATCCATGACCTCAATTGTTTTATAATGAATTCATTTGACAAAACTTTTACAAAAACCACAGTCCCTCATCATCTTGAAAAACTTGAATAAAACTTGAATATTTGAAAGGATTGAACTCAAACATACTAAGATTGCATGATGATTTAGACCTTGTCCTCCAACATACTAAATCTCATTAATGTTGGATTTTAAATGAGAACATGGTATCAAGAGGGGGTTGAATTGGTCTTTTTATTCCTTTTTATCTTATTTTTTAGGATCTACATGGAAAGATAAATATTCAATTACACTCACTCCACTCTCAAATACAAAGTATGTCATGGAGAAAATTTAAAGATAATATTCCACTAAAATTCTCAATAAATTTCATAAATTATTGTAGATTAATGAAATTATCCCAAACATTTTCAAAGGTCACCAGAATATTCATTTTAGCTTGTAATGTGAAATTATTATTTTACTTTTGATCCTGACTTTATGTAATTAAAGGCTTTCCTCAATAGCAATAATCAAGATCATCAAAATGTTTTATTTTACAAACATAATATTTATCAAATTATTCTTCCATATGTTATGATCAACATCAAAACATGTAGGAATCCTTAAGCAAAAATGAAAATATAGTGAAGTAGAAAATAAAATGCACCACTACACTTTAGAAGTCTAGGAATGATATTTTAAACTACCATCATTTGTCCTTCTATAAATATTTGCCACCTATAAAGTACATTGTTTCTATTATCTCTCTCTCTCTCCATCTATCTAGTTATGTATCATTCTTTCTTCCTTTCTATTTCTTCATCTATCTACTGATTTTTTTCACCCTTAACTTACTCTCCTTGAACTCTGCCCCGCATACATGTATTATTGAGCAAGCTTGTTGGTGATAGTTTGATACATGCATGGTAGATACGACATTAGATCAAAGTATAGTGCCATGAAAGGGTACAATAGTGAGAGTGGGAAGGTCAAATGCACACGATGTAAATGGGTGACCTATAGTAGCATGCTGGTATATGACTATGGGTGTGAGCAAGGTGCATGAAAGCTTAATATAGTGAGTATGAAGGGCATCTAAGTGGCAATCAACATCACCATAGTAATGCATTAGTAGCATCATCCATGAGCACAATAATGGGCATCTGAATTCAAAAGTCTAATGCAAGAAGTATGTTAGTTGGTTTGTGCCTTGGGTATGCACAATTAATGCAATAGTAAGTGTAGCAACGAAGCAATGGTCACAACTTTTGTATAAGCTTCATGCCAGATTATGAGTGCATGAGCACAATGCTAGGCAAGACGAATGAAAAACTATGGCAAAGACCATTTGTGCAACACTACATGGGTCATGCCTCATGTAACATTGATTCATTAGGTATAGTGGTGCTATAATGACCATCTTGATTACAATCAAGACTACAAATTATGCATTTTTTGAGTTTTAAAAAATATCATAAATCACTTTTTGAGCTTTAAGTAAAGGAGTCAATCTGGTAATTCTTAAAAATAAAATCTGAAATGGTGTAATTTTATTTTTTTGAAATTCTTTGAAGTTTCCCTTTGGGTTTCCATTAAACAATGATTTCAAATTCCATTGAATACGGCACCAAGAATGACAACCATAACAAGTAGCATTAGCACAACACATGCATGATTGAAGGTGCAACAATGATCAGAGTGTGGTGAGATACCAGAGAACAACTCAAGCGTGCGCAATGGGCATGGTAAGTTAGCGTTGCTATGGTCTGCATGGAACATGGAAGGGAGTGAGAGAAAGTAATTTAGATGAGTCGTGAGAAATTGGACCCAGCTTTTTTCTTGTTGACATTCTCCTAGAAGAAGGGTTTTTTGCTCGGAACCTGGGTTCGAATAAAAATTAGAGCTTTTGGAAAAATGAAATTACCCACGAATAGTTCCTTCTCGTGGAGAATCCGCATTCATTAGGTGACTGAGAAAGCCAGCCGATTAACTTTTACATTATTTTTTTGGTCAATTGCGACTCGTTCCCTTCCGCGTCTCTCTCTCTCTCTCTCTCTCTCTATTTGTGTATCTGTCAATTTGTCTTCTTTCTCTTCTTGCGGGGTGACAGTAGAAGGGTTGGACCGCTTGGCTCATTCGTCTTGTTCCTGGTTTCTTCTTCTCCTCCGGTTCACGGGAGCTGCAGGCTGGGGCGATGGCGTCAAAGGAGAGCCTGGAGAAGATGAAAGGACGGCAGGAGTACCGGAATCTCTGGCACACCGACCTGCTCAGTACCGCCTCTGCCGACTTCCCCTGTAAGATTCTCGACACTGTCTTCTTCTTCGGTGAATGACGGGATCGCTGATTCAAGTGTCCTCTTTCTTCATCCTCTCTGCCGCAGTCTGCTGCCTCTCCTTCTGGTGGTGAGTGTTCTACTCCGATTTGGTCGAATGTTTCGTTTCTTTAAATGTGTAAATAGATGGGCGAGCGCCTAGATCTTCGTCTGTCGTCTCATGGTTATTGTGATCGGGGTGCTCAGCACGTTTGCTGGCGTTGGTTCTACATTAAAGCTCCTTGAAATCGTGTACAGATTTACTGATTTTCCCTCATTCTGCTTAGATGCATATCGAGTGGTAGCGTGTGATCCCGGATATGTTTGCTATTTTTCCGTGTTGTTATCAGTTCTCTTTGCTCGGAAATCGAAATTTATAAGCATAAGACAGAAATTTTATTTTGGGTGTCTCCATGTGAGTTTGATCTCTTTAATTCTTGTAGCCCTCAGTGGCCAAGTTATGGCTCATCTTGTTCATAAAGCCTTCCGTTCGCTCATCATTCTACTGTTCACTGGAATCCCCAATTGTTCTATAAGAAACAAAAAACTCCCAATAATTGGTGTTGGCGAAAGCAAAGAATAAAAAGCCCGATTCCTATTCGATAATTAGCTATTTTTTTGAGATACTTTTCGAAATGTAATCTCAGTGAAATTTATCTGACGATTCTCAATTAATCCAGCGACAGATGATCTATACGACTATGAGAGATCTATGCACTTATCATTTGTTTCTTCCTTGTCCCATCTGTGGAATTAAGCGTTTCTTTGATTTTCGTTTCATCAATTTTTAAGATTTGGCAGAAGATGTGTTTTGATGCATGCCTTCTTGATGAGACTACCTCAAAGAGTTTTGAAGTGTTGAAGAACAGTACCTGCGAACTCAACATGAGAAAATGCACTCGAACTGTTTATTATGCTTTTTGTGCTTGATGCTGGATATTTTTGACATCTTTTATATCTTTATCCTCGGACTATATTTTATCTGTTTGATATATTTTTTAAAAGTTTGCATATTTTTTATTTTTCTTTAGCATATAAGTTTTATTAGTTGTGCGCTTGTTTTATTGTAGCGGACCGTGCATCTCATACCACCTACGGAAAAGGGCTCTTTACAATGATATGTCTAGGTAGTGTCTTTTTCTTCCCCAGTTTTACCCGTTGTGCTATGACTTGAACTTTTCTTTGTAAATTCATTCAACATGCTGGTATGTCTGCCCATGTAGGTATGTTTGCTGTGCTGGGTATATTCCATGCAGTGGCAAGTGTGGAGAACGCAAATGTCCCGAGTTGTGCCTTTGCACAGAGGTTACTGTGATTTTCCGAATTCTTTTTCTTTGGCATTATTGTGCGCATGAAGCCGAGAGACATTACCTTCAACCCATTGAGTTCCTTGGTGGCCCATATTTATAAGTTTCGTTGGAAATTTTTTGCTTCCGAGGATGTTGCATAGAAAACCATACTTTAGATGATAGGCCATTTTTATACTCTTGGCTTTTTTCAAGATTAGGTTCATTCACTGCAAATGCGTGGTCAGCTTCTTGAATTTATGTTCTTTTGGGTAATTTTCAGTTTTAAAAAAATAACATTAAATAGAAAGATTTGGAACATAGATTACACTTACGTTATTTACTTCTGTGCACAGTAGAACAGCATGAAGTAGAAAGTAGTTCGCCATTTTCCTATTTTCAGAACTGTGATCAGTACACTTTGTTCCTATTTCCTGTCACTATTTATTGGTGGAAAAATAAATGTGGGGGGCTCTTCCCTGAATCTATGTTGTAGTTCGCCATTTACTTAATAGGAGCCATATGAATGAGGCACATGGTTCGTACAGCATGTAATGATGAGTTCACAGGACAAAACCAGTACGTGATTCAGTAACCTTTCACAAGTCAAACCCGGATACTGTCAATTGACTTTATCCATTCGGATACTATTTGCCGTTGCCACTGATGATTCGCCATCCATTCCCCTCACCACCCCTACTTTCTTTTATGTCACTAGGCATTGCAGGCCGAGCATAGTCCCTCTTTCAACTTGTAACTGGTTCTAAGAGGAACCCAGGTTGAGTCACTTAAACAAATTCTCAATCCACTGAATGCAGGACAGTCCAGAATTTCCTAGAATTTGGTAATCAATCGCTTCTCATAACGTGTAACCAAATCTGTGAAGAGTCCTTATGATATCTCTTCAGTTTCTCTAAATCACTGGTGGCCTACCAAATTTCCCTATATAAGGGAAGCCTTCCGACTTGCATGTTCCAAGTGACAAGTGGAGCATGTCGTGCTCAGTCTCTTACATTGTTTCTACTGCTCAGATTTTACCATTGGTTGTTTTCATCATATGAGGATCGAGTGGCTGAAAAGGAACTATGTTAGAGAAATTGAATATGGCAGTATTCAGCTTCCTTGTATAGTAAATTGGATGCGGATGTCTTAATCGCATCACTTCACAGTCTGAGTTGCAAAATAACGAGCAAGAATGATGTCTGAGGATGGTTTAATGTTTGGTCTTCCTAATTTAGTTGAGCCTACAACATCACCTCTGCCAGTGTAGCCATAATTCATCAACTGGAGCCACCAGTTCATATCCATTTCTAATTGCAATGTAAACTCGTCTGAGGTAATGCTGAAAATTTATGGAATCATTGGCAATCATGGATACTAGTTTAATAAACCTTTTGTCTTATAATTTATTGTAAAAATTAACCATATTTCGTTCATATCATTTCCTTAGTCAATTTTAAATGTTTTTGCAAATCCGTTTTCTAGCATATGGGAAATAATGCCGCTTGCAACTCTATCATATCAGATGAGGAACAGGAATAAAGTAAGTTTAGTAAGTGTGTGATTTTGCCACTGAGGAGTCTAGTTTGGCTAATCATGGAATGCACGCTTCTGCCATTCATGAGAGGAAAGAAATGCAATATCACGTGAGAACAAACATAGAGATGTAAATTTGTTTCTTGACATCTTTTATACAAGTGTAGAAGAACTTGTTTTACTGGCTGAATGAAACGCTACTGAAACTAAAAAAATTACTGAAGGAGACACCATTGTAGAATGGGACAAGAGAAGCCTTCAAAAGAAAAAATATTTCTGCAAAATCCCAGTGAATGAAGTCAATACGTCAGTGATAAAATACGATGAATAGAATATGTACATTAGAAAATCACCATTATGTTATTCTTAGTTTTAGAATGATGTCAGCAGCAAGTTAATGAGCGATACCATGAAGCTTTGGGTAAGAAGACTTGAAAATGGCAATGGTGTTGGATAATCAGTCTTTCTTTTAAGCCGTGAAGCTTGTGTTTTTTGTTGATTTCCTGTTTGGATAATGCTTCCAGTAATTCCAGGGATAGATGATATCGGTATCGCTTTTACGAAATTTAGAACGTTCTGGCCTTAATTATCAACGAAATTACCCAGTTATTCTTTCTTCTTACCACAAGAAACTTCTTGGTTTTTTTGTCCATACAGTTAACTGTCGTGTTGCAAAACCAAAACACCCAATTTTATTAGTTGCTCATTCTCAGGCAATCCTGAAGGTCTTGGTGAATCCCTTCAGAATAAAATTGAGTCTTCCCCTTCCCTTGAGATAATTTGGATTTAGGGAATACACTTGCATGCTCTGAATGTAAAGGTTGATAAAATCAATTCGGTTAATGTACCATTAAACTTTCCATATATAGTTTGTCAAAATATGGAAGTCTCAAATATAGTTCTTGGAATGGAATAGTCGCTGTTCGCCATTAGTTAGACCAAGATAGAACTGCTCTGAACATATGAAGAGTGGTTGCGTACTAGATTCTTGTGATCTAATCAGATGGCTGAACCAATTATTTGTCTACTAGATTGTAGTAATGGCTTGCTTTATTTTGGATTCTAAGTCAGCATTATTGTTGAAAATAGAGAAAAAACCTCGTCACAAAGGACAGAGCAGAGAATGGCAGAAACCGTCTCAAGATTCATTCAACTGTAACCCCCATTATATAGGGAGTAACGATACCCAACTTTTACCCAAAAACCCTCAACTAATTACACTATTTTCCCTACGACCTAGAACTTCCAACAATTATGCTTAGTTCTCCCAGAATCAAATTTGTCAAAATATGCACTTTATTATCAACCATTACTAAAAATTTCAAGGCGTATTTCAGTTTTCAAGAAATTGCTTCATTCTAGTCCATGCAAAGTTCCTTTGATTGTAACTTTTGAAATCTTCCTCTTTCCAGATCTCTTTGACTATGTTGAAGCCTATCTGATTTGAGAACTGACGGGAGAAAAGGATAGCAAATGTGCATTCGTTTATCGCTAGAAAGGCATTCTTGACCCATGTCTTTCTTTCATTCTTCTTCTCTCCTCTTCTTTTTCAAAGAGATAGAGTCTTAGTTATTTTAAGAACCTGTGAGTTGTTGTACAATGTGATCAAGATGATATTCGTTTGATGGAAGTCCATTCAATGGGGATCCTCATATCTGAAGAAGTCCTTCAAAGATCTCATTCTTATGCCCCTTTTCTGAAACATATTCATATCACCCTTTAGAATTAGTATGATGCGTGTGCCCTTGATTATTTTGTAAGAGTTATTAGGCTGGATGAGTGATTGTCCCAAGTGATTCTAATTTAAGGTTAGGGGTATCAATCTTTGTAAGCATCAAGTTGGTTCTCGATATCGAAAGGGTAAAGTGTGGCTAAAACTTCACTTTAGGTATAAAACTGTACCCTTTCATCTCAGCAATTGGTTATAACTCACTATAATTCATTTATTTTCACTTTTGTTTACATTTATGGGATGAACTTTTCCTTAAGAAGTAAAGTTTCTTCGTAGAATATTAATTGAAAAGCCCTTTGACGATTCAAGCTGCTACTAAGGCTAGTCAAACTCCTGCCATTATCAATGTTTCATACGGTTTTCGGTGTCCACTGAACTTGTCATTGCCTTGTTGATCCTGCGTGATAGGTGGTCCTCTGCTTTGGAAATTCAGTTGCTTCCACCCGGTGGTTGCTGCAAGATGAGTTCAACATTCAGACTACAAAATGCGACAACTGCATCATTGTGAGTCCCCTACCCTCTCTCTCTCTCTCTCTCTCTCTCTCTCTCTCTCTCTCTCTCTCTCTCTCTCTCTCTCTCTCTCTGAAACCACCTGGAATCTCCTTTCCAATGATTTTAATCTAGCTTTATTTCTGCTCGGATTATTGGGCTACTCCAGACACTAACTGGCTTCTTCACATGTTTTAGTGTTGCATGATCGGTCTCCAACAACTGGCCTGCATTTTCTCTATCGTTGCCATGTGTGTCGGAGGCGATGAGCTGGGAGATGCTGCCCAGATCCTGAACTGTTTAGCTGATGCTGTATACTTGACGTACGTTCATCTCTCCCATCCTCTTGCTCTCGTAGGGGATATTTTGTCCCACATTCACCTAAAAATTAACGTTTTTTTCTTGATTTTTATTGCAGTGTGTGCGCCTGCATGCAGGTAATGGCAACCAGCTCGGATCCCCTTCTTGAAAATTATCTCTGACTTGATTTTTTTTTTTTTCCTCTTATTTACCGCACAAGTTGGATGGATTCATCATCCCCAATTGCAGACCCAACATAAGATTGAAATGGACAAGAGGGACGGTAAATTCGGGCAGCCTTCCGTGATGGCTGTGCCGGCAGTCCAGCAGATGTCACGCATAAACCAGCCGATCCCTCCTGCTGCTGGGTATCCTCCGCCGGCGTATGGGCAGGCCTATGCATATGGACCTCCTCAGGGTGCTAACCCGCCACCAGGTTACCCTCCTCAGGGCGCCTACCCGCCGCCAGGTTACCCTCCTCAGGGTGCCTACCCGCCACCGGGTTACCCACCGCGGAGTTAAGGTCAGACTCCTGCACCCTTCTATTCCTGGTCATTTGTGGCATCTGAAGGTGAGAATGGTTCTTGCTGATGAACCATGTGCTTGTTGATATTAGACCTGTAAGATTGTGAACTGGGGTTTCTGCAATTACCCTCTGCCATCTGGATCATCAGTTTCTTGTGTGGTCATCAGAGAGATGATTGAAGCCTGGACTCGATGTGTTGTTACTTTTGTGGAGGATCAATGCTTGTTGTTTGTGTTTGGCGATGAATCGTGTGCATTTTCTCCTAAGTTATGTAGACAACTATCATTTATGTGGCCATTATGGAGTTCAATTCTCTCAGTTGTTGTTGTTGTCATCTGTTTCCCAAATCATAGTTAGAGAGAGAGAGAATGAATGTGAATCTGATATTTCCTGTTTTAGGATGGGCTGAAGAACCTGGCCATCCCCCTTTCATTTATTTTCTAAAGTGCTTGCTGCAGAATCTGTTTTCCATGTCTTGATTATGATCTTATCTTTGCTCTGTGACTTTGAACTTTTTATGACCGACCCATTTTTATTTTTCATATCCTGTCAAAAAAATATATTTTTTTTCAATTGCCCACAAAAAAAATAAAAATGTTCAGGGTTGATCAATACGGCTTATGCAGTGGTGATGGAGGTCGCCCCAAACCCTGGGTTCTTTAGGGTTCATGGCCCCATTTTTCCAGACTTGGCAAATTTCTGCATGATCCCCGATGAAATAGAACAATGAGATTCATCAACTGCCAATCCCTAATTAGTAAAGATGGGTCCAAACGAGGGGGATAATCTAAGTGTTTGCCCCTTTTTCTTCTCTTTTTTTTGGTTAAATCTCGTCATTTTTGAGGCCTATATCTCAAGGTTAAAGAAGCCCATCTCTCTCTCTCTCTCTCTCTCTCTCTCTCTCTGTCTGTCTCTCTTCATATCTTAGAATTGTTGGGTATGGTATCTTGGCATATCGTGCCTTTATTGCAAAGTGGTGACGGTGCATTTTTGGTAAATGAGCCAGAAAAGGCATTAAATCACTTCGGATTATATGCTTAATAGAAAATTTTGAGGCAATTATGTTGATCATTACGATGGAGACGCCTTCAAAATTGGCTCCATGCACATCTCACCATGAATCAAGGGTAAAATAGACTTTTCCGGTAAAAATATTTGTTATTTCTTGAATAAAAATAATAAAGACAACGGATCATAATCATGAAATTAGCTGATTATGATGACGACGGTATTTGGGAATTTAATTTTTTATTTACTTAAATATATTTAAAAAATAATATATTTCCCACCTCTTTTTTGACTTAGTCCGGGGCTTTCATTTTATCTCCATCTTATTTTGAAGGCTAAATCAAGTAACTGTATTGTAGAAAATACCTTCAACTAATTATATTGTGGTAATGTACAAGCGCCCAAAGGATAGTTTATCCCTTTAATAAAGAGCTTGACTGATGAAAAAATTATGAATTTTATTTTAAATAATAAAATAATCCTCAGCTTTCAGATATAGAATTATTTAAAAATAATCAACTACCCAAAAAGGAAAAAAAATCGATTTATCATTGATGGGAACTGGTTATCGGGAAGAACGGAATTATATTCCAATATATAAAAGATTCGGGTATTATTGCAAATCTTCCTGGTTTCCTCTTCCCGTTCTTCGTCTTCTTTCTTCGTCCCCGTGGTCTCGTCCTTCCCCGCTCTCCTCCACCTGTCTCTGCCACTTCTGGTCGCCCATACAGAGCCCGGCCTCTGGATGCGCGGCAATGGAGGACCGTCAAAGGGCCGCGGCATCCTCCTCTTCTCCTTCTTCCCTCGCTTCCCCCGCCCCCTCGTCTTCGCAGCTCAATCTGCCGTCGTCCTCAATGTCGCGAGGACGCCTCCTCCAGGAGAGCTCGCCGGCGCCGTCGTTTCTGCCGTCTTCATCCTCCACTCCTCGGATAATTTACAGTGACAGGTTTATTCCTAGCCGGACAGGGTCGAACTTCGCCCTATTCGATCTCTGCCCCCCTCCGCGCCCTTCACCGTCCACATCTACTTCGTCCCCCCACCACTCGCCTGCTGCAGCGGGGGAGGGGAGAGGCGGCGGAAGGGAGGACGTTTCTGGGGCCTATTCCGCTCTGCTCCGATCCGTCCTCTTTGGCCCCGATCACGGCGGCATTGTCCCCCCCGCTACTCCAGACAGGGCTATGGCCGGAAGGGTGTCTGTCTTGGCGTCTCCTCCCTCCGGGAGCGCCGGTGACTCGTCCTCCTCAGCTTCCTCCTCTTCGCCGATGAGTCCGTTTGGGAGGAACATCTTCAGGTTCAAGACTGAAGTGCGCAGGGTATCCCTATTCCCTGATGGTCAAGATGGAGGATTATCGGGCGCCATCGCAAGTCCTCCCAAGGCCCCCAGGAAGGTCCCCCGTTCTCCTTACAAGGCGAGTTTACTCGGAATCTCTTCCGTCCACTGCTTGACACCGCGTTCTCGTTCAGTTTTGAGAGCTCTCGCGTTGCAATGACTGATCTATTCTGCTCATTCCTATACAGGTGCTGGATGCGCCTGCTTTACAAGACGACTTCTACTTGAACCTCGTGGACTGGTCGCCGAACAATATGTTGGCCGTGGGGTTGGGAAACTGTGTGTATCTCTGGAATGCTTACAGCAGCAAGGCGAGACTTTCTACCATGAATTTCTTTATTTTCAGCGGCTCGAACCCCTTGCATTGTGGCATTTGCATAGTCTTAACGGGTTTCTGCAAAATTTGTCCAGGTGACGACACTGTGCGACCTGGGCATCGATGACAGCGTCTGTTCTGTGGCCTGGGCTCAGCGTGGCACTCACTTGGCAGTGGGGACGAGCTTGGGAAAAGTGCAGGTTTGGGACCCACCCATGCTTGAACTTCTCTCTCTGTTTGGGGTTGCAATAATGCCAGGAGAGTAGTTTGCGTAATTGCTGTGAGCACTTCTGTCTATAAAGCTTTGGCATCTGAAGCAATGGCTTGGGTAGAAGACGGTTTTAATATACGTGAACGTTTTGAAGAAACATGGTGCAGAGAATACTTTTCGAAGATGGAGAGATGCAAATTCTAGAGATTTTCCCTTAGTTTCTCGCAGATTTTCTCGAGTAGTGAAGGAGTGTAGTTAATGTTGGACCTGAAACGTCCTTAAGATTGAGTCATGAGTGGTGAATGCAAGTTGAACAGAAAAAGTCATTTGAAGACGACTGAGCATGATTGCCATTGTCTGTCTGGCAATTAATGTTTGCTTATCGTTGTCTGCCTGCTGGACTCTGTGATCATTTTTTTTTTTTCTAAACTTAATAATTTCTAGCAACCTTCCACTTTTGTAGATTTGGGATGTATCTCCATGTCGGAGGATAAGGATAATGGAGGGCCATCGCCTACGTGTTGGTGCCCTGGCATGGAGTTCCTCGACCTTATCATCTGGGAGCAGAGACAAGATAATTCTTCAACGTGATATTCGCGCTCAAGAAGATTTCGTCAGCAAACTCACTGGGCACAAATCAGAGGTCAGAATAATCTACATTTCGAATGGGCTACCGGGCACATATCCCTTTGTTCCATTGGGCTCTCTGTTCCTTATGATTTGCAGCATATCTTGTCAGGAATCATTTCTCCATCATTTATTGTTATTTTGGTTCCGTTCGATTATCTCTTCCTTATCCTGGGAAATTTACATTATCAGGCATCATTTCTCTGTCACTAATTTAAGCACTGAACATTTTGTGTGTTTCTGTTGCATATTTGCATTTGTTTAGGTTTGTGGGTTGAAGTGGTCTTATGACAATCGTGAATTGGCATCTGGAGGGAACGACAACAGAGTAAGCTGGAACTGGTCCTATGTTTCCTATTTATCTTCAGCAGTTTGTTCTCGTGAACAAATTGGAAGGTTGGTCTTTCGTTTTTCTTATTGCGGCTGCTGCCTTCATTTGTCTGGACATAGCTTTTCGTATGGAATCAACACTCGACACAGCCTGTGCTGAAGTACTGTGAGCACACCGCAGCTGTAAAAGCCATCGCCTGGTCCCCTCATTTGCATGGTCTGCTTGCATCTGGAGGGGGAACAGCAGACCGTTGCATTCGTTTCTGGAATACAACTACCAACACTCACTTAAGCTGTGTGGACACCGGCAGTCAGGTATTTTGCCATTTTTTCTTCGGTCCTTTTTCTAGGTTTATCTTCTCCAAAAGCTTCCAGGGCTTATACTATCTGTCAAGGTTATGACAATGTAAAGTAATTTAGAATGTCTCCATTTTGGGGTATTATTCAGACCCAAACTCGCAAGGAATCTTTATGGGAAAATATATACTTTCAATTATGAAGTATAAATCATTAGTAAAACGTTGTCATCAAGTTGTTCAGTGAACTTAACCTGGCTTATTATTTGCTGGCCCAAATTGCGGAATATTTGTTCTTGCACTTCTGTAAGCTGCGTTCTCTGCCATAAAAGAGGCTTTTGTTGTGCTACTGGAATAGGTCGCCTTGCATCTGTGTTTATTTCTAGAAACATTTCTGAGTTTAAGACTTGAACTGGTGATGAGCCCTCATTGCAGACTTTATTTGCCAAACATCAGACGAGGTCTTTGGATACTTGGGCAGGAGGTGTTTCGTTCTCCAGAGATATGCCAACACTAAAGAAGGTTAACTAGGAGATTATTTTATTAACCTAGAGGGAAACTGAGAGAGATGGGACCTGTTTAGAAAGGTTCTTTGGAACATCAATCAATAATGCACAGTGAAATGTTTTAGAAAAGGTCCTTTGATCTCTCTTGCTTCTGACAGTGAAGTCTGAGTGAGAATTTAGCAACCCGAAAGGGATAATGTAAAACAGAAGAACAAATGGCCTGGTGTCATGGAACAATCATATTTGGATATAGGGGATGAGTAAAATATGCATGCTCCTGAAAGTTTCCTGGTAGCCAGAATGGTATCTGCGGAAATTCCAATGAGGCATTTTTAGTTGAATATTATGAAGAAGGCGAAGCTAGCTAGTTTGTACAATGGTTTATCCATGGGTTTATCCTAATCACAGGTTGTATGATCTCCGATCAAGGGATTCCTAAAACCTCTTGCTGACAGTGGACCGGTGTTCTTAGGATAGTGATGACACAAATAGGGATGATGTTTGGACAAAAGTTGGTGATGAGGATTTTACTTGGGATCAGGTGTACAGGTTGCAGCAACAAGAGCTGGAGGTTTGAGTCGGATATGGGATGTAAGAATGGAACTGCCGTACTGCCCCCGTGCAGTTTGATTCTAAAGGGAACGAACTGAAGAAAGTACCTTACAGGGAAAACGAAGATTGGCTTAGAAGTATTCTTGGAAAAATGAACCATTTAGACGTTTTACATTAGAGTACGAAAGGGCAGGGATTAGAATTAAATAAAGGGAGCTCAATTTTATCTAGAGAACACAATGTTTAATTGCCAAAGGGGGAAAATTAACCTATAGAAAAGGTAATATGGAGTTGTTTGAAAACAAGGGGACTTATCACGTCTGCGTATAGACCCTCACTCAGTTAACCAACTTAATTTCAGTTTTTTTTATGTTTTTTGGACTTCTGACTTGATATTCTCTTACGTTTGCTGTGTACTGTTGATCTACCGACCTGAATAAAATATCCATGCACAACATTTCAAACATTTTATGTGAACATGAGATGTCTATTAGGGCTATACCGTTCTGTTTTAAGCACATTTTGGATGATATAGGAAATCTCTTAGACTGTTGGGATATTTGAGTTGAGGGAACAGCGATGTTCCATCTCCTAGCCAACCATCAGGAACATACATCCTTCTTGCACCAGTTTGGATATCCATGAAACCATATAATCGTGGCAAATGATCAACCAGTTCCATATCCAAGTGGTGATGATGGCGACAAGATTTGTAGTTTAAATGGCCGCATCCCTTTTTCTCTGGCATTTCGAGTGTCATGGAGATTCATTCCTTTTGCCATCAGGTTTCTTAACAAAAGTTGGAACTGTTGCTTTTACATAATGTTACTAAAGTTGGTTTTTTTGTCATCATGGTGGCTGACTGATGTGCATTTGATGTTTACTATGTTGAACTTAACATCCATAAGAAGGGGGATTTGCCGCTGACAGAGCATGCCTTTATGCATCAAGTGCTGCCCTTGTGCATGCATTTGCGATCGATTACCCCTTGTAGTTATGAAATGCAAGATGAAAGCTTTAACCGATTAGTTCTGAGGTGTTAATGGCTAGTGAAAACTAAAAGCAACTTGGGCTAAGAGAGGACAATTAATTTTTCTTGAAACTTTCTCCATTAGTCATCAGTCTGTGACTGAATCCATTTGATTCCCTCTCAGCCTGTGACTGCTGGATTTTCTTTTCCACGAATAGTTTGGCTCTTCTGATGTTTACCTTCTTCATGTATACCGTGTTTGGTTCTTGTGGCAGCACTATGACCTATGGTACTCGTATTCTCACTGCCACAGATTTGCTAAGAAGGATATGTATTTAACTGAAATTTATAAACTAATTTCCTTATCTGGTGATGCATTTCATAGTTGGTGTGTTTTTAAGTTTAAATTTAATGGTAACATTTTACCATGTGAGTTCTCATGAAATATTTCTGGACATTCTTGGGAAACTAGTTGACAAATCTCTTCTCTTGACTCACGTAGGTGTGCAATCTAGTCTGGTCAAAGAATGTCAATGAACTAGTTAGCACCCATGGCTACTCTCAGAATCAGATAATTGTTTGGCGATATCCTTCCATGTCGAAGGTATTATACCACTTGATCATGTTAATTGTTAAAACATAAGCACTTTAGATGGGTCCAGGAACTTCTTGCTGACTCTTGCTATGCTACAGCTTGCAACACTCATCGGCCATACAATGCGAGTCCTATACCTTGCTATATCTCCTGATGGACAAGTAAACAGCTCCCTCCCACAGTTTTTTTCTTTTTTGGTGTTTTTTTTTTTTTTTTTTTTTTTGGAGGGGAAGCAATCTTTAATGGGATTTTTTGCTTAATAATTTTCCTTTTATTTCAGACAATTGTGACGGGAGCTGGTGATGAAACACTGAGATTCTGGAATGTCTTTCCTTCGCCTAAATTTCAGGTATGGGATACATTCAGACCCTTTGATATCTCGTAATGTCTGTAGCACCCCTTCTCCTTATGAACTTAAACCTTTTTTTCTTCGTCTTTGAAACTGCTTCAACCTTGATGGTATGCTCACAAGTCATAGGATCGCTCTTGAATGTGTTTCTGAGAACCATCTTGCAATGCTTAATCCTTGATTCTTCAATCTGGGTTCAATGTTCTTTGGGTTTCTTTAATAGCGCTAGAAAAATCTGATTTCAGCTTTTTGATCAATCTTTTTCCATAAAACCATGGTGATTACAGAGCAATGAAAGTGATATTGGGTCGACATCTCTTGGAAGAACGCAGATTCGATAACGTGCGATTCCCAGAGGTACAAAGAATCTAAAACCCTCATGTCCACTGGAAGCATCAAATTTTCCGATATTCTACAAAATCAAAGCTCTCAGAATCCCACGGGCCCGAAAACACTCGAAAACCAGAAAGATTGAACAGAACAGGAGAGGAGCTTACCCCCACCTGCCTCAAATTCTGCGTATCTTTCTCTTCGGGTGGGCATTCCTGTGTATATTGTTATTCTATATGGGGCTGATCCGTGCTAAAGCTGGCAGTTCCCTCCGTCTCATCATAGAAAGAGGCCGATTGAACAGAAACTGCAATGTCTTGCTCTTCTTTTATTATAGCAGTTTATCATTCTCCTCTCACAACATTCGGTCACAGAATGTGAATTTTGGTCATAGATAGTTAAAAATATGGAATTCGCGAAAATTCCAAATTACAGGTTTCTAAATCGGGGAACTTATCTTGTTTAATTTCTTGTACTTTTTATTCTGTTTTATTGGATGAATTCCCATTTTTTTTAATTTATTGGCTTTCTCAGTTCAAAGTTAGTACCAATATTACCACATTGAGAGGTGAACCATTTGCTTGCCTCATCTGATTTCCTCCTGGATCAGCCAATATGTTAAAAGCTGTATTCAAAAGTTTTTGATCTCATCTCCAAAACTTGATTCATTACATAGGTGAGAAATAAATTTAATAAATGATAATTGTGTGAAGGGCATATGCGTTCATTATGGTGTTAAATAGCTAATAATTGGCAAAGATATTTAATGATCATTAGATGTCTCCATGTGAGGGCATCCAATGCTCTTCAAATATACTAAAATAAAAATAAAAATCGTTCAATATCTCTTAAGTTATGAGTGGGGCCCCTTCAGGAATAGTATTTTTCATCAATGGGAATGAATGAGGACGTGACCCTAAATATATCAAACTTGAGTAAAACATGGAAATTAAGAAGCCCATGTTCCTATTACATGATTTCTTCATTTTATTGTAGCTTCTTCTTATTTTTATTTGCCTCATTCTATTTGCTTAGTTTTTAGTTATCTCCTTGTGTGGTTTAGTTTAGCTAATGCTGACTTTCTCGATTACCATCACTATTACCGCTTCATTTTCTTTCATTTTTTATGTATCTTCCTTTGTTCATGATCATCATTATCTTCAATGTTCATGTTCATCTTGTCTTTGCCATTATAATTAAGTACTATTTTCTCTCTACGTTGATAAAACACTAAGGAAAAATAATTACCATTCTATATTGTTATTATAGCCTACCTTATTGTTTAATTGACAATCATCCATAATTATGGACGTTCATATCATGATATTCGTATTCCCATTCTTTTATTCTAAACTAATTTGTTGAAAATTCTCAATGCCCTTGAAATATTATGTGGGTTTGTTCTACATATTAAAAAGGAAAACATACCAAAATAACTAAATGGATGCTCAATTCTATTATATATGTATTGGATATAAAATGAAAGTTATATCAGCATCAGCTTATATAGCTTTTGTAATAAAATTAGAAATTAGTTCTTAAATAGTAAAGTTAAATGTTTGTCCTAAAAGACGGAGCCTTTAGCCAATTTTATATATTACTTGTGATGTCAATCGATTAAACAAATGACATCAATAGATGGCCCTACTAAAATCATATTATCAATATTTAGATATTTCGTACATCAATTCAACTACAATTTTACATGGAAGTAAAAATCTACAGTTCAAATTTTTCTCCAATTAATAGTTCCAATTTAGAAAAAAAATTTCTAGTGCTATGTACTATTGCCATGTTGCTCAATTAATAATGAAATTATCTTTGATAATTAATGTGATGATTATGCTTTATGATTTTTTATGAAGCCCACGTTTGTGGCTCAATGTTATGTAAATATAAGGGATTAGGTGAGAAAAAAGAAAGAGATATCTCAGGTGATATAAATTAAATAAAAATAGTTAATGGTGATCAAGTACATGTTAAATCGCATATTATATCACAGGATTAGTGCAAAATATCCTCAATAACGATACAAAGTTTAGCTAGCAAAGTAAATATAAATCCTAAATAATAAAATATTTCAATCTTATTCTTTGCTTCAGAAAACATCATATACATCCCCTGATTAGGACATAAACTCTTGACAAAGAGTAATGAAGGGAATATAAATTTAATGGCACAATGTCCTCATCCCTTGTGAATGACCATAGTTGGAAACCTATGAACAGTGTAAATTGTGCATGTCATATAGAATGATAGCATCTATATAGTCACAATAACTATTTTTGCTTTCTTATTTAGAACTATAAATAGTCCTTGTTGTTGATTTCAATCATTCTATTAATAAAGGAATAACTTTTATGTTTTATTTAAAATGAATATGGAACCTCTCTTGGTATCTTTTGATTGAATGATGGTACAAACCTAGTGAACCCACCTTCTCCCTGTAACCAAAAGGGGCACACATTTTTTATGGCTTCATATTATCATGGTTTTCTTTTTTAAAATTTAAATGTATAAATTATATTTTTTATGCTTAAATTAACAAGATGTTACATTACAAATGCCCATGTTTTAAGTACCAATCATGTAGTAGAATTCCAATAAAGATAGACATAAAGTCAATTAAGTGACATAAGTTTTTGTCTATTCTATTTGGATGATCAATAAGAGCAAACATAATCAACCAAAGGAATAAACATTACAAAAAAACACATAAAAAATGAGGTTCTATAGAAAAGCTAATGATAGAAAATGATAGAAAATAATGGAAAATGACTTCAATCATGTCTAGTATTTTATGAAGTTTTGAAAGATGCAAATAGTTCCCATGCCTAGTTTTTGCATTTTAATGACTTATGAAAAAAACATGCATACTTTCCTATTGAGTTGATGAAAAATGATTGTGATGTGCTCATCTATGCATGTGCTCATCAAAAGCATATGGTAAGATGTTAATCCACACAATTTTATTTTTTAAAGTGATAATATTAAGTAATAGTGGTCCTTCCACTTCTATGAGTTTACACTATTATTTTATGTGAGCCCAATTTTCCACATACCAAACTTTAAGATTATTTGACAGGGAAAATATTGCACCCAATAGAAATCGTTCACCATCAAATACATAGAAAACTTCATGCAGTAAATCATAGCTATGTCTGTACAAGTTAATTTAACCTTAGTTGCAAGTTAAGATCATTGAATATTTTAGTGGCAAAAAACAATACTATCTTAGATTTAGAGGCGTCTTAGAGTGTAGCCGCATCTCAAATCATAGCTATGTCTCATTAACATAAGGTGAGTTGGATAGGCATCTCATTGGAGAGACTAAAAATTATTCAATGGTAGATATCAACATATAGTCTGACCATAATTAACTTTGACTTGTCAAATATGAATGCACAATAACTAAATTGATTACAACTCTTAAAGTACTAATTTGGATTATCTTCACTAAATTAATTATGTTGGACCGTTTCCATAATCATTGGTTAATTCTAACTTAAATGACCAGATTATGCACAATCAGCAACTATTCACAATTTTCAGATCCGTTGACTTTTGGGTGACATTTGGCATGAGATGATACACACCTCTACCATTGGATGAGACCCATTACCAAAAGATTTCAAGTGATGTTTGCTACTAAGATTATATTGTTCCTCACCGTTCAAGACTTTCCCATTTAAAATAGACATCTCTATAGGGGGACACAGCACCTTGACTCCTAAGGAATTGTGCTGGCCGACAATGTCAATCAGTGGCCTATAATTGGGTCAACCCATCATCAGTCTTGATATCCTAATTGGGTCAACGTTTGAGTCTGGCCGGCCAGGGATCTTGATCTAATAAGGCTGGGTGGTTCCTCAAAAGACGAGTCTTGATCATGAAGTCTTACCTTCAAAGCACGCGTCAGCAGGAATCTTCATCATCTGCGAAGCTTCCTCCGGAGAAAGCCGCCAGCGGGAACTGGGGCCCACAAGAGTCTTGGTCACGTGAGGCCCACAGTTATGGGCACGGCAAGCCACCAAGGGACACGCACCCCATCGGGGACTCCTGGGCCCGGCTAATCATTGGGCGGAAAGAGCCCCCCGGCCCCACCTCGTCCGCTCTTTACGCCCACATGCTTTAATTCCTGGAGCGAATTTAGAACTTTTTTATTTATTATTGTCCACAAACCATGACTATTGCGTATGAGCCCCCCGGAATTATTAAAGGAATAGAAGGTACTCAATCGTGGAAGGCTATAAATTATATTTATATCCCTTCTGACCAGGCGTGACGCTTCGTAGAGTACATCGTTAATCATTATGGAATTTTACAAAATAGCCCAAATATGCTAAATTTTCAGGATTTCGTTTTAGTCGAAAGTGGGTACATACATAGGGAAAAAATGAAAAATTCTAGACATTTTTCACTCATATCCCCACATTTTCTCAGAAATTTTAGCTCATGAATTACGTAAATATATCGTTTACATGAATCCCTTATGGGCTAATGACAAATGGCATTAACGTACTGTTTACTGGGCATTAACTAACTGCTAATTTCTCACACGAGGGCGTAAGCAAAATAATTAAACAAGTGAGGCTTTCCTGTCCCCTCCTCCTTCCACTTTAATAGCGAGAAGGCTGTCTAGGGTCGGTGTGGCCATTCGGGTCCACGAAAACCCGATTGGATCCGACTTTATATACCGGCGGTTAAGGCTACCGACTAGTCGGATCGTTGACCCCACCCGGATGTGACCGCATTCGACGAATCTGACCCGTGCCACGTGTATATAGTGAGTCCGTTACGCCGTCATGTCATGTCTCAAAGCGGGGCCCGCTCCGGTAATCCTCACCGTTCACCGGCCGCGGGCCCGATCAATCTAGGGTGAAGATTCATCTATCGGACACGTCGGGGCCAGAGAGCCAGAACGTGGCACGTGGCGACAACTTCGACAGCTGTGTCCATTTGACAGTAACGGCAGCCCGTTTGAGCCCTCCTGATGTGAGGGAACACGTAATCGACGGCGAAGATCTGGAGAAATTTAAATATTATATCGGGGAAAGTTGGGAATTAAGATAAAGGAAAATTATATTTTATTATTATTATTGTGGTGGGGATTATTGCACAGGTTCACCCATCTAACCACCTGTTGGTGGGCCACCAAGGATTTATTAGACCGGAGACAACTCCCGGCGGTGCTGCACCGCCACCAAGCGCCAACTGGTCCCGTCGCCGTCATCACCACCGTCATCGCTCTCTCCCTCCCTCCCTCTCTCTCTCTCCCTCCCTCCCTCTCTCTCTCTCTCTCTCTCTCTCTCTCGCTCTCTCTTTCTCTGTCTATCAATCTCTTTCTTCATCTTCCTCTCTCTCTCTATCTCTCTCTTTCTCTCTCTCTCCCTCTTGCTGTGTTGGGGGGATTTATCAACAGTGAAGGGTGTACGATAAAGGGTACGAGCTGATCTCCAGGGAGGGGGTTGATCCGAAGGGAGAATTGGGGAATTGGTGGGTGGGGGGGGGGGGAAGGGGATGGAGATCGGCGGCGGCGGCGGCGGTGGCGGCGGCGGCGGGGGGGGGGAGACGGGGGAGGAGCAGCAGCGGCAGCTTCTGAAGGCGGAGATCGCCGTACACCCGCTGTACGAGCAGCTGCTGGCGGCGCACGTCGGGTGCCTGCGGGTGGCAACGCCGATCGACCACCTGCCGCTCATCGACGCGCAGCTGGCTCAGTCCCACGGTCTGCTCCGCTCCTACGCCGCCCAGCACCGCCCCGTTCTCTCCCCTCACGAGAAGCACGACCTTGATAACTTCCTGGTCAGCTCCCCATCTCTCTCTACTCTCCTCTCTCTCTCCTCTCTCTCTCTCTCTCTATTCTCTCTCTTCTGTTTTCTCCCTAATGAAAGGGGGTTTGGTGGGGATGGCAGACGCAGTACTTGCTGGTGCTATGCTCTTTCAAGGAGCAGCTGCAGCAGCACGTCCGAGTGCACGCCGTGGAGGCGGTGATGGCCTGCCGGGAGATCGAGCAGACCCTGCAAGACCTCACAGGTACCATATTCCGCGCAAGCTTTCCAATTCTGACCTTCTCCATCTTCATGCACGCATCCGACTGCAGATTATCTCCGAAGCTATGTTCGTTGGTTGAATTATTGCTCCGTTGACTTCTTTTCTTTCGAAACTCTTTCCGCTATGGTTCATGTCAGACATATATAAATATATAGGTATATATATATATCTAGCGAGAGAGAGAGAGAGAGAGAGGGAGGGAGGGAGGGAGGGAGGTAGTCTGAGAGAGAGCGAGAGGGAGGTAGTCTGAGGGAGAGAGAGAGGGAGGCAGTCTGAGGGAGAGAGAGAGGGAGGTAGTCGGAGAAAGAAAGAGAGGGAGGGTTAGAGAGAAGAAGGAAGAGAGGCAAGGAGAGATGCTGGTGGGGAGTGGGTGGGTATGGTAGTTGAGTTAGGTAGGGGAAGGTGACAGCAGCCCTCTAGAGGGTGCAGCCTCACATAGTCACATGTGGGGACTCTCAATCTCTCCTGGCATCGTCGCTTGTTACCATCCACTTCTTCACTTACCCGTCAATCCTAGCCCTCAGAATTTGCTGGCTTTCCACGCCATCAATAATTACATGAGGACCCTCTCTCTCTCTCTCTCTCTCTCTCTCCCTCCCCCCCCCTTCTCCCCCCCTCCCTCCCTCTCTCTCTTTCTGTCATTTGTTCTTGTACATCCTTTTATTTACCAAGGCTAGGTTTTTCTTGGGTTGCATTTCAAGTTTTCGAATAAAGTCAATGAAACTCTTGGGAAATAATTAAATGTGAAATGTAGAATGAGAAAACGGAGGAAGGAGGATGGGATGTTAGAAGGTTAGGCATGCTGTTGATTTTAAACCAGAAGAAATTCATGGGGAGGACTATTGAAGAGTCTTGTGTAGAAATTATTAATGAGCTCCACATTAAATTAATCAAGAATTGGTAAAGCTTGAAATTATGGAGGAAGCTGCGTTTGTGGACAAATAATGTTGAATATGAAGAAGAAGACTTCTGTAACTGTTTTGTTTGGACGAGGGACATGATACTCAATTATTAGCGGCCCAAGAAGTTGACTCGTAAATAGTATTTTAGAATTTGACTATCATATCACTTGAGCAAACCTTTAATGTGGTCAACTCATCAATATTTTATTATTTTTGAAAAATCATACATTCAAAGAATATCAATGGCACGCTCTACTTGAATACCCAAATTAAAACACTTTTATTGGAACATTTAATATATGAATGAGATTTATCATATTCTTAAAATTTTAGAAAGCAAGTTCATTTCTACTAAGAATGACTTAAATTGTTAGATACTAGAGCACAATATTAGATTATTCACGAGGGTTCTTGAGATGATCTGTATGTTAGGTTATGTGCTTCACAATTTGAATGTTTTGGATGAGAAATCAATTAAAGATCTGAAATAAGTGGTAAACACTTCACAAATAAATGTTATTTTTCTAGTATAGATGTTAAAATACTGATATATCAAACCAAATATTGATCTTTATGGAGAAATTTTCATCATAAAGCTAACTTGAGTATTGAAGAAACAAATTGTTGTCACTACCTTTTTCCTTACGATTGCCATGCTGATTTAACACCGTTTACACTATCTTGTAATTTTATAATATCTTGATATACTCAATTTTTGTTTTATAGATGCATATTAGTTCTTGAAATGTCTAGTTAATCAATTCGTAATGGAATTTGTGTGGCCTTAGTTGTGTGAAATGACTTTGTTTTCTGAGATCATAAAAGATGAAGTCTTCAAGAAAATAGTAAGAAATGATGACATGACATCTAGAATAATTCATATTAGAGAAATATAAAACCTGTAAGATTAAGATTTAGATATCTAATCTTCATTAAGTTTTATTTATCAAGTAATTTAATGTGAAATTTAGAATATTAAAAGCATAAGTTTACACTCTAAATTCTTGAAGTGTGAATGAAGGGTAGACTAAAGTATCAAAAAGAATGAGATTTTTTTCAAGAATTTATTGTAGCTTTTTTTGGGTGAAAAAATTGAAATATGTACTGATAAAATAAGAATTAAATATCATATAAAAAATATGAAGGTAAATTTTTATAAACCTTTGAATGAGTGGATTACTTCTATACTTCCTTAGTGGCCAAGGATTAAAAACTTAGAGATGAAATGGGCACATGAAAGGTGTGCATTGAATTCCTTAGAGGCACTAGAAAATTGAATTTTTATTATGTTTTGTGTAAGGTTTAATCATTAAGTACCAATATATTATTCTAACATTGTAGAAGGCTCTTGATAATTTTGGGGCATTGATATATCATAATGATTAAATTATAACATAAATAAAAATCATGTTAGATTACAATATTATCTCAATTTGTATCTTTTAAAGTTTTTTTAAAAAGTTTTAGTTTTTTTAGTAACCAATTGATACAATTGCCATTAAACTCAACCACATGTTGTTCTTTTCAACTTTTATTTTATTAAAAATTAAAGTGTATCAAAGCATATGCGTGTGGTAAACTAAAAGTCTTGATGATCAATACACAATAGAATTTATATTTTTATAGATTATGAATGATAAATATTATGGAAATAGAATATATTTTTTGTATCTTTAGTGAGATGGAAGGGTTATAAATATGGTGTAGATATGTTGTACCTTCTCCATTGAAATAAATAATTCATCATGAATGGAATGCTCTACGTTGGTTTTGTAATAAAAACAAGCATCTAGTAGTGTATTTTTCATGGCTGGTTACGATGCTTGTGTCCCTTACAATAAAGCTTGAATCGAATAATATTTTGATGTTGTATTCTATATGTGAGAAAACTGAAAATTATTGAGAGAAAAGGTAGCCTATTTACAATAAAGTGTAATCCTTTTGTATGATCTTGTAGGTGTGACCCTTGAAGAAGGAATAGGAGCAACAATGTCAGATGATGAAGATGAACTACAACTAGATTATGGCCTTGATGGTGATAATGAAATACATGACATGACAGGATTTGGTCCACTAATGCCAACGGAGTCTGAAAGAACTTTAATGGAAAGAGTTCGTCAAGAATTAAAGACTGAGCTAAAACAAGTAAATTGTTTTGCTATAATTACTTGATTCTCTTTACTTATCTTAAATTATTCATGTTAACCACATGAGGTCTTTTTCTCAATTTAATATTCAAGGGTTTTAGATCAAGAATTGAAGATGTGAGAGAGGAAATTCTAAGGAAGAGAAGAGCAGGAAAACTCCCTGGGGATACAACTTCTATATTGAAGCAATGGTGGCAACAACATTCCAAGTGGCCCTATCCAACTGTAAGTTTTTTGTTTCATTCTCAATTCTCATTGTGGATGGAAGCGAAAAATAGGACTTTTGACATAATTTTATGATTTTATTTTGAAAACCTTTTCAACTTTCTACGATTAAAATATTTTTTCCTTTATAATAAAATTTCAATATCTAATATGTGCATGAAATAGTGCACAATCTCACGTTCCATGTTATTTAACAACGAAATGATATTTTGGAAATATTTTTTTATGAAATGGTTTATACTTTATTGCCAAGCCATGATAACACAAAGGTCTAAGTATAATATTCACAATTTTGAATGCTTATTTATCTTTCAATAAGCATTGTAGCTTGTAAAATTATGTTTCAATGACTGATTTATGATTTTATAATATATTTGATAGAAGATGTTTAGATTACTCTTCCCATCAAAGGTATTTTCAAACATTCAATAAATATTAGATAGTGATCCAATCATTGGTCGTTTGTAAAAATTCCTATTCAATCGTTTTATATAGATATTAGATGATGAAATATTATAGTAAGGTCATCATTTTTATATCCTTATTTCTAGATGTAACTATTCAATGAACTTTGATTTGAATTTCATTACAACATGAATTTATGTAATAGATATATAACTTCATATGTGATATGAGATTCAAATCATAGCTTCTCATTGCAATATTCTATGTAAGAAGATAATCCTATAATTGCACTTGCCATTTCTAATTCATCATCATGTCTCATATTTTTTATGAATCCTTGAAACAAATAGATGTTTACTCTAATTTTATGTTGTGTAGGAAGATGATAAGGCAAAATTAGTTGAGGAAACAGGCCTTCAATTGAAGCAAATCAACAATTGGTTCATCAACCAGCGAAAGCGTAATTGGCATAGTAACTCTCAATCTGCAACAACACTGAAGTCAAAACGAAAAAGGTAAATACAAACATTGCAACTATGTAAAAAAATTTGCAAAATAAATGACACAGTTTTGTTTCAGGTGAAAAACATCAGAGTCAAGAACAATATTCGATTCAATCTAGCAAAACAACTTAATGTGGAAGGTGACAATGGATGTGTCATAGAAATCAGGATAAATAGTAAATATATTGTGTACTGATTTAAATGACAAACAATCTATAATTTAACTTGTGTAATTGAATTCTATTTTGTATTAACATTTGTTATACATATATATATATGTTGTCTTGTGGAAAGCTTCCTAGAATAATTTTATCAGACTTTGTATGTGCATGAAACTGAAATCAAGATGGGGTCTTTCTTTCTAAAGGAAGATCATAAGCTTATCTTTATCTAATGTGCTGATAACAAGACATTGAATTGGAGGTTTTGTTGTATATCCTCTTAAAATCACCCATGATTTAAATTATCTTTCTAAGGTTTTATTGAATTTTTAAGTGTTTAACACTTAAGAACTTAAAATTTTTTTATAAATCAAAATAAATAAAACTTATAAACGAAAGTTCTAGCATGTGAATGCATGTGCATTGTTGGCTTTGAACCAACAAATGGTGCATTTTTTCCCTGAATAACTAAGATGGCCAAGCATTCACTTTTACCTAAGTTTCATGGGAAGCATTGACTGAATAATTAGATAGCAGCAAGTTGACAATCTCCAATGACAAGATTCCCAATTCTTGAGGTAGATATTTGGTTACCCTTTACTGCATTATTTTATTTAGTCTACTATCCAAATATTAGGTGACCAAATGGGTGAATATCAATTTAGACTCCAACTATTAACAAAAATATGAAAGAAATAGTAGAGCAAGTGATGTGAATCACATAAAGAAATACAAGAAAAACATGGCAAGATCTCCAAGTATAGAACATAACTACGAGTGGTTACTAAAGTAGTAACAGTCCAAAATGTTCCTCATATTTTATCTTTATAAAACACTTAATTATGGCCCTCCGATATCATTTAAGGACCAAACATTGGTCACGTAGTTTCATAAATATTAACTCACATGGCTTCTGAAAGGTATAATAGGGTAAGTAGAACAAAAAAATAGATCATGTCTGAAGCATAGCTAGTTATTTCTCTAATTTAGTCATTTTTCCTTGGCACACTAAGTATTTAATAACAATGTTGGTTGGTAATGAAAAGCAGGCCTTGTGGATACACCTAATATAGTACGTCCTGAAGATGACTGATCCAATTTACTTTGGCTAATACTTATCTGCAGCAGTTGCTATCAAACTGTAATGCTCATGATAAAATTTAAATAAACAGTTGATCACAGCGTTTTATAAATATTTTAGATTCACGTCCCTCAAGAGACATGAAAACTATGAGAATTATTTCGAAGGGAAGGCTAGGGGAATCTGAATAGTTAATTTCAACTTCATAAGTTACTAGCAAACTAAAGGAATGTACGTATCTAAACTTACATATTTTAATCTATTAGTGCTAATCTGGAAAAGGAGGTGAAGTGTTCTTATAGAGCAACAATGCTGGGGAAAGAACATTGGGGATCAAAGAAACAATCACATAATGAAAATAAAAGTTATATAATGGCTGTTAATCGTAACTTGACTCTAATCCTAAAAGCCTCTCTGAAATCGGATGGGCAGTCCTTAAGGAAAGTCTTGTGAAAATTCACTGGTTTCAACTATCATTAGAAAGTCACGGAATTTATAGATTCTTGAAGTAAGTATATACAAAAATGTAGTATTATTTCCACTTCAATTTGCTAAGCATATCACACCATCCACATCGAGGTAGTGCTGAGGCTCGTGTTCTATTCAAGACTCTTGCTATTCGCAGAACCATCTCTCTTCCATGGTACGAGCTACCCCCAGCTGTCGAAGGAAAATAACCTTAATCGACGCTAGATTCATGGCAGGTCTGCGGAGGCGGGGACCTACACAGTTCGGCTGCAGTTTCATCTACTCCGACGACGAGGGTTGCAGCCTGTTCACGCCTCTCCCATTGCGCATCGTCGGCAGAGGACCGGCGGCTCTGGCAGGATTTTAATAGCGGACGCTGGTACAGCGCGGATGGATTCGCCAGACTAGAACAAAACCTGGCCGCGTTTCGATGGCCGCGATGACGTCTCGTCGGAAGAGTCGACGGCGGCGCCGCAAGCCAAGTAACGGGAGCGATGTAGTCCCCGTTGCGCAGATGACGTAGGACTTGGTGAATTCCAACGGGAACGCTGCCGCCTGATGGTCGGTTGAGGCAGGATCTAGTGGCGGATCATATCGGAAAGCGGCGATGGTGCTCCCTGCTGAAGTTCGGTTAGACCCCGGACACTGCAACACTGCGTCTGTGAGCAGCGGCGAGAACATTGTCGTCGTGAGGTCGACGGGGGGCCGCCGACCGACTGAAGGGTATCCTGCTGGAGAATGAGATTGCTCGTACAAGAAGTACGAGCACCTGATAGAGGACTTTCCCTAACGGGAAGAACCGCTACATGCAGGTTGAGTGGGTCTCTCACCGCCTCAACCCCTACCGTAAGTATCAACCCTTGACACACATTACACAGATGCGCATAGATACTATCGACCCAAAGGTCAAGGCATTCTGGAGAAATGTTGACTAAGACTCATTTATTCAACGCTTTACACCTTACGTACTAGGATGTCTCCAATTAAGTCCGACTCAATGGTCGATACTATTTGTGGAAGTATTTGACTGAAACTCAGACTCCGCGAGAGAAACTGTGCGCTAAAATGTCTCTAATAAATCTAAGAAAATCAATTTCTAAGATGTATGGCATCTGTTATTGATGTTCCCATGATTCCGTTCTACCCACAAGCACATTTTCATTCAAAGCTTCTAAGATTAACCTTTAAGATGAGAGCAAACTCAGGCAGGTTTGGCTAGGATCTTTCATTACCCAACCTGCCTGATCAGTAGAAGTCAGCAACTAGTCAGTCGAACGACCAAATTCGGCAAAATATAAAGTTAAATCCTACTTGTCAATTTCCCATATCGATATATAATCGCACACAATCTAATTTCTTATGGTATATAGATGCATGAATATCTCTTCAACCTAGGACGTGGACTCTCTCTCTCTCTCTCTCTCTCTCTCTCTCTCTCTCTCTCTCTGTCTCCGTATGCCCGTCTGTCTGTCTGTCTGTCTCTCTCTCTCTCTCTCTCTCTGTAAGGGTTCTTCATACACCTTTTTACCAGTAAAAAGTTTCAAAGGCAACGTACCTAGACCTCTAGGCTCTCATGGAAGGCCAAAGCGAGGCCAGTGTCCAGGCTTCTCTCTAAGCGTACCCTCAGATTTAGTGAGGAACCCGGCGATCCCTCACAAGCAGGAACCCCCCCTTCTGCCCTCCCTCCACTCATTCCTCGGCGGCGTAAACTGGCTACAGGGCCTAGCAAGAGTCGTCACGCCACCCACTCGGAGGACCCGCCGGCGCCGGCGCTGCTGCCGCTGCCGGTCGACAGGGAAAGCGACCTCTGGCCTACCCGCTGGCGTCGTCTCCAGGGCGCCTCTTGGCGCTTCCCCGCTGTTGGTGCGAGGAGATTAAGGATGAAGGGGGGCGGCCTTATTCTCTGGTCGCAAGACGTCGCATCGTTGCAGAGAAATATTAGCAGACAGAGAGAGAGAGCTGTAGATGGAGATGACGGGTGATTGATCATTTGACAGGGCGGGGACGGACTGAGTACGACGGAGGACAAGTAGCCTACGTCTACGCCGGCGAACAATAACTCCGGCCGAGGTCTATCGTCTTCTTCCTCCGTAGCCTGCGTCAGCAGATGGCTTCTCCGGGAAGGGTTTCCCGTCACGGGATGCCCATCCCGCAGCCCGAGTCGTCCCTGGAAACCTTTCCATTAACCGAAACCATGGAGGGAAGGAGGCCCTTTGCCTGGTTCGGCCTGTTTCCTCGCCCTTTCTCCTTCAAGACCCCGGCGGGGAGGGGGCGCCAGAAGAGCAGCGAATTTGGATTTAACCCGCTCCTCCATCCCCTCACTGCCCACCCACCCGCTACCCAGAGCAGGCCTGGGAATTATCAGAGGGAGGGGGGCGAAGAGGAAAGGCTCACCCACCGCTTTCTGGCATCCCCTCGAGGCCCTCCTTTCTAAGACACCACCTTCATTATTTGCCACAGATGGACTGGGAGTGGAGCTGGGAGGAGTTAATACCAGCCATATGGCCTGTAGAGAGAGAAAGAGAGAGAGAGAGAGAGAGAGAGGGACGTGCGTAATCTTACCCTAAACCTCGGGGCTGTGTCGTTGGCAAGAGAACTGTCACTGGTCCTGGTTTATGCAACCACACATCGCCATCCTACTACCTTCTCTCTCTCTCTCTCTCTCTCTCTCTCTCTCTTGGTGGTTCAGTCTACATGGGGTTGTTTCTTTCTCTATAAATCGTGCCTGTCAAGATATCTATCAAGGTGTCTGTGTCTGCTGCGGCTACCATCACTTTCCTATTTCTCTCTGCGCAAACAAAGCCGCATATTCCCCTTCCCTTCTTCAGCTGTGTTCTCATTTGTGGTGCGGTCTGTGTCTTGGCCCGTAGAGGAGGACGTTAGAAGAACGAAGGTGTAGAGAGAGAGAGATAGAGAGAGAGAGAGGGAGAGAGAGAGAGAGAGAGAGAGAGAGAGAAAGAGAAAGAGAAAGAGAGACGGAGTGAGATGGGGAGGGGAAGGGTGGAGCTGAAGAGGATTGAGAACAAGATCAACCGGCAGGTGACCTTCTCCAAGCGCCGGAATGGCCTGCTGAAGAAGGCTTACGAGTTGTCCGTTCTCTGCGAAGCCGAGGTTGCACTCATCATCTTCTCCAGCAGAGGGAAGCTCTACGAGTTCGGCAGCGTTGGGTAACGAGTCGAGAACGAGATCCCACCCCCCCCCCCTTCAAACACCCTCGCTCAATATCTTTCGTCTGACATCCATCTCCGCGACCTCCCACCCTCTCTCTCTCTCTCTTCTCTCTCTCTCTCTCTCTCTCTCTCTCTCTCTCTCTCTCTCTCTCTCTCTCTCTCTCTCTCTCTTTCTCTCGATCGATCGCTCGATCCATTAGTGTTTGCATGTTCCTCCAAAATCCTGGATCGATCTTCCAGGTCAGGATTTCTACTCAAGGTCTTTGGTGTTCGATTAGGACCGAACGATCATCCCTTTCTCCTGTTAGAGAGGGTTGTTTTCCTGATTGACGAGGGTTTCAGATGCTCTTTTCTCACCACAAAGAAGATCTAGGCATAGAATGGAAAAACAACTTTCAAGACCTAGGAACCTGCACAACTGACGGGACCTGCATCTGCTGCAGGGACCCAACCTCTCTATTTTCTCCCTCTCTGGAATTCATGGGGCGGATTTGCTTCTTGCTGACTTCCTCACTCACCACCAGGCGTCGGTGAGATCAGAGGAGGCCCCAGAAGCCGCAGTAGCATCTTCCTGGTTCGCTTTCTCCACTGTTTCTGAGGTCGGAACTCAATATAAAAGAAGAAGAAATATACTCTTCCTTCTTGTCAAATCAGTATTTCTCAGACAGGAGGTGCTCCCTCGCCCATTAAAATCTCAATAATCACTAAGATCTGGTTTTCTTGATATCTGTTGGTTTTCACCTTGATGAAGATGTTTCCTCCGATTCTCAGGCGCCGTCCAATCCCCGCCAGTTTCCCGCCTGAAACCCCTCTCCATCAGCTCTCCTGTCCGGTTTTCCACTCTCAGAACATTCATGGCGACCCATCGTACATCCTCGGCGTCTTCGCCACCCCCCCTCTGCACGCCGCTGTCTACTCGCCGTCCCAACGAAGATCTTCGACGTGCGGAAGCGGCAAGACAGACATTTCCGTAGTCTAACTCAGGGACAATATATCTGTAGACGATGAATCGTCATCAAAACTTCGTTGATCCATTGAGTCAGTCTGGCTGCACTCCTGTGTCTGGTCCTGCGAGCGTTTACCTGGTGAATCTTCCTTCGTTGTAGACACAGATCTGTTGCTTCCTTCGACCTCTCTTCTTCTTGTACCAAAGACGGCCATGGAAGCGGAAGCCAATCGAACTGTAGGAGGATCTCTTCAAGCTGCAGCATGAACAAAAACCTTCTATGAATAGATATCCAACGCCTTCTGCCAGCTTCCGCATCCATATCCTACGCATGCAAATCACATATGCACTCCCTGACTGATCTAGTGAACGTTACGACCTCTCTAGACCCACAAGTCTTCGATTGTTGCAGACGCTGACCTTCAACAAATTAGAACACTTCATCAACTGATTTCAAAACCTTTAGCTGGGATTTCATATCCTTGAAGCTGTTTCATGCCCGATTGGCTTCCCAAGAAAACTTCACAGAATGGCTTCCCCGATGCCGTCATCATACCAAAATAAGTATCCCATTGGGATCTAGTAGGATTCTTCACTTGTCTTCAAAGTAGTTCTTCGTCCGGTGAAAACTTCCGTACGACTTCAGAATGAGCAGGAATTTTGACTTTTTTTAGTTCTTGGAGTTGACATCGATTGATGCTATGCCGTAAGGAGAGGTAAATTTCATTACTCGATCGTAATAATATATATTGAGCTCGGTATTTTGTAAGTAAATATGAATAATGACTATAAAATATTTACATTTGTCAACAAATAACGAATATCAGCACCATATCACCAATCGCTAAGATTTAGACCTATGTGGCCATGTCCTAGTGATGCATTCACTCATTTTTCTGAGCTTAAGATGGCCATTCATACACATTCATTCATATCTGCAACTCTCTACCTATTTCTAAGATTTATAATGTTAAATTAAGCATAATTGAACATTGCTATAATTATGCCACCTCATGTTTCAAAGTTGTGGTAACTTTTTAGAATCGAGTGCTTGTTCTTCGGTAGCTTCCTTTGATGAAATAATTAAATAAATACTATCATACAAACCATCACTCACTAGGTTGTTTCTAAGCTCATTTAATCTATGAGCATGTTTGGTACCCATAATAGCATTGAATTATCATCCTTGTTGTGTTGTTAGATCCACATAGCATTCTCTATAGTTAAAAGATACTAGTGATGTTCATCTTTGTGACTTCATGACTTCATGACTTATATCATATTTCAATCTGGAATCTTCCATTATAGATGCTCTCAAAAATAAAGATAAATCCATAAATATTATAATGGATAACTATGAGGTTTTCAATTCGTACCACCCATTGGATGCCACCAAAATTACCTTCAAAGTTAATCATATTTCAATATTCATGATAATTTTGTGTCACTTTGGGAAAGTTTTCTAGTGTTGGTTCTTGTCCTCATGTATTATACCACCTTGGCATTTATAACATATCATATCTTATTACGCACTGGTTTTCCTTGGACACTTATTGAAAAATTGTAATGCCTCAAAGAGTATGTAAATAGAAATATTTCATTCATGCTTCTTATTACTTATGAATTTATTTGACCTTTCCAACTACTCTTTATTTTTTTAGAATTGCTAAGACATTGGAGCGTTACCAACGTTGTTGTTACAATTCTCAGAGTTCTGCTATTGTTGACCATGAAACACAGGTATCTGCTCTTCAATAAAGTATGATAATCATAGTTATGTCAATTAATTTATAAATTATCTCCATGATTCGATGCTATTAAATTTTTCCTATTGTCTATAGTCTTGTTTCCAAATTAATTTACAATATCGTTATGCACATATTATCATTAGAAAATGATAAAGTTATTAGCATAGAAAATGTAAAATAATTACAAAGTATGTGATAAATATGTTTCTAGATCGCAAGGTAGTAACATCATTCCATTGATTTATCTTTATTAATTCATGATTTGATGATTGAAACATCATCATATTTTTTATTTTCTATTATATTATATCAATTAAATAATATTTTTTGGAAACATCAATTTTACGTGGGATTGTTACCATTTTATAAAGTTAATTCAACACTTTCCTCCCAATGATATAACATTCGTTTCACTTCATCCGTGCTCTGCACACAATTAACAATAAATTAGCATTACTTGTGTGCAAGATAAAGCTTAACAAGGCCATTCGGTCACTTGACCAAACCACTTTCACTTTAAATGTTATTATGATGATAATGGAATATCTTAAGGCATGTCACACCATTTTAATATGACTTAATTTATGATAAAATCATAAATAAAGTTGGTTAATTTGTCAATTCATTTGCGACTGACTAATAGCTTTGAATTAACAGATATTCATTTTCATGGACCCCTTTAGTGAAGATATTATGAAAAATAATTTCAATAACCACCATCATTAAACCCTTACAAAAATATTACTGTTTTACACCACTCCTATTTCAAATAGCTTTCTGGTCAATTTCAACGTTTAAAAGTGCAACTGAAAAACAAAACATTGAGCATGAAAGAATTTAAATTTAAATTTCATGATTTATGTAGTATGTAATGAACTGTTTGAATTTTTAATGAAATTTCAGGAAAAAAATTAATCTATGTAAATTGTCTTCTAAGTAATCATTTTTATTCATCGGAAATGGTGAATCTGAAAGGAGCAGAATATATAACTTTTTAGCAGGGAATTTATTTTGAATGCTATTGAGTTGCCGTAGCTTCTTAAAAGATTGTTCCTCTCAAAGGGTTACAGAGAGTTTAGCTATCAATATTAGTGAACTGTATAACTTGTTCATACTGTGTGCAGACTTGGTATCAGGAAGTGTCCAAGCTGAAGGCAAAATATGACTCTTTGCTACGCTCACAGAGGTTATTTCCTCTGAAAATCTCTGACTCCATTCAGCTAAGAGCAAACTATTCACATTTGGAATCATTCTTCCCGGTCTTGATGCATTCTTTGGGGCATCAAGTGTGACTAAATTCGTGAAATATCTCTTAAGGCACTTACTAGGAGAGGACCTCGGGCCTTTAAGCGTGAAGGAACTTCAACAGCTCGAAAGGCAGCTGGAATCCACCTTGTTCCAAGCCAGACAGAGGAAGGTAAGCCTTTCACCTTGTTCTTGCTTGATTATTAAGCAAGAACAAGTTAAACAGAACTGCATGAAGAAAGATATTATTAGAAATAAAATAAACCTTTTCTAACTGAAATATTATTTGCTAAATTTGAGCATGGCTCTTACATCATATGCTCTGTTTTGTGCTTGTGCAGACCCAAATAATGTTGGATCACATGGAGGAACTGCGGAAAAAGGTAAGTCTGGAGTGGGGATGGAATAAGGGCTGGGCTTCTGTTCTTTGGATTTGATGATTGCTCACTAAAGTTGCCAGAAAACTCCCATAAATGTGTAAGAAATAACGAAAAGGGATTGAGCGTCCACATCATTACTGATTGCTGTGCTGTCGTGCCCAACGGCTGTCAGCAAGAATTTGATCTAGTCGTCACTGCCAATCCGAACTAACCCCATCGATTCCATGAGCAAGTGGCTTACTCCATGCAGCGAAATAATGATAAATTTAGCAATTACCAGTTAGAACTACTCAACGTTCGTATGCATCATGTTGAGGTCCATTCTTCCCCATCTTCAAACTACATACTGTCTCTCCCTCTCCCTCTCCCTCCCTCTCTCTCTCTCTCTCTCTCTCTCTCTCTCTCTCTCTCTCTCTCTCTCTCTCTCTCTCTCTCTCTCTCTCTCTCTCTCGCTCTCGCTCTCTCTCTCTCCATCTGTATATGTGCGTATGTGGGACTATATCTCGGTCTATCCATCCCATTTCTGATCAATGGCCGAACATTCAGGAGCGCCAACTTGGGGAGATAAACAAGCAGCTAAGGAGCAAGGTCTGGCTTCTTTCAGGGGCAGTCTTTTCCAACTCATTTTACTGCAGGGAGAAGAGTACATTCACCAATCAACTTCAGCATCTGATCTTCGTCACTCCACAGCTTGAAGCAGAAGGAGCGACCTTCAGAGCTCTACAGGGGCCATGGGAGCCCAACGCCCTGTTGCTGGGCAGCAGCGCATTCTCAGCACAGCCTCAGTCCAACGTCATCGATTGCGAGCCCACCCTTCAGATCGGGTAGCTCTCTCTCTCTCTCTCTTTCTCTCTCTCTTATCCTCGTCTGAATTATCTAGTGGGTGAAATCTTTGCCCACTGTTTCTCATCCTACGGCCCTCGTCTACTGTAGCTACCACCACTTCGCCCCACCTGAGACCGCCATCCACCAGAACATCCCGGCGGAGAGCAACCTCCTGCAGGGCTGGCTCCTCTGAAAGCTCCTCAGCCATAGAACCATAGAACAAAAACTGAAGCCGGCGTCCGAGTTCTCATCCATGAAGAAGCAGTCAATCCGTAGACTGTGAATGTGTGCCCAGATCATGCATATGGCAGTGAAGACCCTAAAGATGGAGACTTTCTGCTGATTCTCTCACCCCGCTCAAGCAGGGATCATGCAGCAGTAATGGCTCCTCCGTTGACTTTTAGTTTGGAACGACTTTAATGATTTGTTGTTTCATGCCTTCAGACATTGAGAGGAGTGGAAATACTGAGAGAGCCCTTCTTTGTTGCCCCGGTCACCGGGAGAAACCCACGAGGGTTCTTCCACGTGCCTGCTTTCTAGCAAATCCTTGTTCTCTCCCATTAACTCCACCATTTCTGTTAATTATTTACTAGGTCCCATTTTTAGAATTTTCTTTTATAATTTATTTCTAGACTCCAGTCTTTCAATACCCAGTTGGTTTTATTATAATTAAATAAAATTTAATATATCTCTCTCTATATTTATATATTTACATATATATATATCTCTCTTACTTGCTCGTTCACTATGCATTTGTCAACTATCTTCTCCATTTTAGCTAGCTTGTCCTAAAAGTCATTATTGTCCAAGGGTTATGTTCTTGACTAAATTGGGAAATGGCACTTTAGGGAAAAATAGTGGATCATTTTAGGCCCTCATAAGCCACTTGAATTATCAGCAAGGGACTATGACTACTAGAGTCTTCCTTGGTTAAAACGATAATAACTGCAGGCTGCTCCATCTTCTTTTCCTCCTTTGGGTAAAAACTTTTTTCTCTTTATTTTCAAAAATGAGCAAATAATATTATCCTAGTGATGATACCATTTTTGAAGGATTTGACAAGTTTACGTAGAGTTATTGATATAAATGAAAAGAAATGGAGTCATCCGTGACTCTACTTTTACGAGAGATAAAAAAATAATTAAATATTTTTTAAAAAACATGCCGTTGTTGACCAAGGTCTATGTTATTGACCAGATTTGGCAAGGAGACTCAAGGAAAAAGGTTCGGTAAGCTTATTTCCTCATAAACCACTTGACTTATCAACAAGTCCACCATCTTTCCACTTGAACCCGCAAGGTCAAAGATCTAACCACAATTATTTTGGGTCAACTTGGAATCATATAATAATGAAAGACCAAAGAGTGTGACTTGGAGAGTTTTCCCTTTGTTCAAGAAGATAATAGTGTAGGCTGCTGCTCCATCCTCTTCTTTCCTTCTTTTTTTTTTTTTTTCCAGCGGTGTCCTCAGCTGGTGGTCAGAAGATCTTCTTTCCTTCTTTCCTTCTTTGGGTAGTAAGAACTATTTTTTTTTCCAAAAATGATTAAATAATGTTATCTTAGAAATTATAATATTTTTAGAGAATTTTCCTCACAACCAATGAGAAGTTGAAAAGTTGGCAGCTTTATGTAGAGTTATTGGTCACTTATAATGCTACTTTAATGAGAAAAAAATGATCAAATATTATGAAAAAAGGTGCTCGTATTTATTATGTTAAAAAATTAAAATTTTAAAACAATGATATCATAATTCAATTTAATACTACATTTTCCTATAAATTAGATACATTAAAATGATTATTTAAATACATAATCTGAAATAGAATGGGACTCGTGGGAATTATAAGAATGATAAATCCCAGAAATTCAAATAAATGCTCCTCTTCACGTGAGATTCCTAGTGGCGGCCACCAGCGTTTGGCACCGCTTGTGAACAAAGCGGGTTGAATCGAGGAGGGAGGATCAGGTGTGACGCTTCTCAGCCGTGCGTGCCGTCGTCGGGTGGGGGCGAGGGCATTTCCCTTCTTCTTCTCTCTGTACGAGAACCTCCGCCATGGCCCGGACGGCCTCCTCGCTCTTCCTGGCCCCGTCTCTCTCCCCTTCAGTCGCCGCCAAGCCGGCACCCCTCTTCTCTCGCCGCCGCCTTCTCTCCCCCTCGCCGTCTTCTTCGCTTCCCTCCCGCCCCAAGCCTCTGAGCTTGTCGCCGCGGGCTACCTGGCAGGCGGCGGAGTTGGAGAAGGGGGACGCCGCTGCGGAGCCTGCGGGCCCCTCGGCGCCGGCTCCTCCGTCCCTCCCCTTCCGCGTGGGCCATGGATTCGACCTCCACAGGCTCGAGCCGGGCTTGCCCCTCATCATCGGCGGGGTCAGCATCCCTCATGATCGGGGATGCGAAGCCCATTCTGATGGTATTTTCAGAGGCCTTTCTTCCCCCCTCTCCTCATCAGTGCGCTGCCGCAATGCTGCAGATCGTTGACTAGCTGTTCGGAAACATGCGATGCAGGTGATGTCCTCCTGCACTGTGTAGTGGATGCGATACTGGGAGCCCTGGGGCTTCCCGACATCGGCCAGATCTTCCCCGACAGTGATCCCAAGTGGAGGGGGGCCGCTTCGTCTGTTTTTATCAAGGAGGCGGTGAGTCTCGCGCTCCTTCCTCTCCTCTGGACATGAATTCGTTCTTTTAATCATTGGACTAAAATAGTTTTGCTCAATCACCGTTTCATCATTCGTTCTAAGGACGCTCTAAAATAGCAGAATCATTGACTCTGTCTACAATCTCATCAAAAGCTTCATGATCAAGGGATTGTCAAACATGGGTCCGCGCTGTTTCCTCTCCTCTGGACATAAATTCGTTCTTTTAATCATTGGATTAAAATACTTCTGCTAAAATACCGCTTCTTCATTCGTTCTAAGGACGCTCTGAAATAGCAGAATCTTTAGATCAGTTGAACACAGTTACTCATTATATCCATCGAAAGTTAACGGCTCTTTCTACAATCTCATCAAAAGCTTCATGATCAGGAGGGGGATTATTAAATATGGGTTCCAAAAAATTCCGTTTCTGACCCTTCAAATGCGCATTTTCCATCATTATTCGCATCCTCTTGCACATACGAGAACACGGAATTCATATAAAAAAAAAAAGTGTGGCGAGCGATTTATTCCTTATTTGGTTACCTGGGTAGTGAGCATAATCTTTGCTTTTGAGGCATTTAACTTCTTAAGGGGGGATCCATCATCTTATGCGAGAAGCACGTAACTAATTGATCATAGGATCATCCTTGCATATCATTGCTTCTCTTCACCCCCACCCTAAATGGAAAACAAGAGACAAATTATCACTAGATCTTATCAATTTTTTCTACCAAATTAAGTCGTTTAAATCTAACTAATTGAACATGGTATGATCCTAAAAATATCACTACACACACATCCCCCGTCAAAAAAGGGAAATCCCATCATCATCTGGTTTTTTTCATGAATATTTCTGCCAAATTAATTACCTAAATATAGCAGCATCAACAGAACAAGGTCTAATTACCATGGATGGATGAATCATGGACATGAATGTGTATGATTTATTGATTAGCAGTGTATTATTTTCAATTTCAGGTTCAGCTCATGCACAAGGCGGGGTATGAGCTTGGAAACCTAGATGCCACATTGATCCTGCAAAAGCCCAAGGTGAGCCCTCACAAGGAGGCCATAAGGGCCAACCTATGCAATCTCCTTGGGGCTCACCCATCCGTCGTGAATCTCAAAGCAAAGACCCACGAGAAGGTCGACAGCCTTGGCGAGAACCGGAGCATTGCGGCCCACACTGTGGTGCTCCTGATGAGGAGGTGATGAGCCCACACTGGCTGTGTCTGTGCTCCAAGGGCATCTCTGAAACCCTAGAAGATATTTAAAATGATGAGAGTTGCAAGGTTTCTCAAAGCCTGAGTGAGTGCCTTCCAAGGGGGATACAGAGATGTGGTACTGCATAGCTATGGGGGATGTATAGGGAAGGCTTTTGCCCTTGGAAGGCATCTAACTGGAGATGCAATAAGGTACCCAGCTTCTAGCTCATCGATGGGGCCCACAAATTCATCTTTATTGATATCTTTGTGATTGATCTTGCACTTGGGCATGATCTGTTGGAGTTTTACTGTCAAGATCTACTTGGGTAATTTCATATTTTATTTTATTTTTTGACCTGGGAGTACTAACCAAATAATAATTATTTTTTCATTTATTATTCCCAGTGTCTCACAATACTTCACCAATTGATGTTCTTTCCAATGGCTCCATTTGGTTAGGTTTGATCCATTGAAATAATTCCAAAAATATTGGTTTTTGTAGACTAAAGAATAGTTAATTTTTTTTTTACTTTATAGAGTAAGGAATCTTGGTTTTTCGAGACTAATCGACAGTGCCAAATGATTTTTTAGAAAAAAATCAGTTTTTATATATTACTTTTTTTATGAAGATAAGTATTTTAAGCATATTTTTTTATGTATATGAGAAACTAATCATGTCGTAGCACAGCAATCAAAATTATGAAAATCAATATTATGAAACTACTTGTATTCAAAATTATGAAAATATATGAAATATAAATCAGAATTTCGGTAATTTGGTATAATCCCCCTCAAATTTAATTTATTTACACAAAACATTGTAAAACTCATTTGTCATAATCTGAAGATATATCACATAAAATAATTTATGTATGTATGTAATTCCTCAATTTTACATCTTTAATGGGTTTTTATTGTGGCCCACTAAATAAATTAGGCGCTACTGTGCCATACTAACAGCCCAAGCTTGGTATGTAAGCAGTAGAAAGAAGGATGTTGATGATGGGAGGTAACTACACCGACGGTGCTTGTAAACCATGCCGGATAACGGTCGCTAAGTCGGTCTGCTGTTCCTCTGTCCATTCGTCCCAGCGATTTCGCCGCCATGCGCGTCTCCACAGCTGCCACCGCTCTCGCAGTTCCCGTCTGCCATCTGCCCTGTCGTTCCCCTCTTCGGCGGAGGCGGCGGTTCTCTCCATGTTTTAACTTCAAAGATATCTTCCCCGCTCGTTCCTCTATCGATGTTGCCTCTACCAGGGAAGGCTCGTCGAGTCTTGTTGAAGCCGTTCCTCTTCGCGAAGGAGCAGATCAGGCGGCTGGATGCCGTAGTGAGGTAGAAACTTTGAGGAAGACTTATTTTATGCATCATTGTACTGCTGCTAGTCAGGCGGCTGGATGCCGCTAGTCATGCATTTATGCTGAAGACTTATTTTAGCATCATTGTACTGCTGCATTCATATAAAGAAAAGGTTAGATTCCACTTCGGCTTGGAAATAAGAAGTAAAAAATTCTCCTTAAAATCTTGATGCACAGGTTTCCATGAATTAGAAGGTTTTGGTTGGCGTGCATTTCCTCTATATGAAGCATGGTTAATATACTCTGAGATTTGATGAAAAGTTGATACTTGTCTACAGGTGGAACCATCCTTATTCTTCCTTCCAAGGACCCTTTTGTGTCTTCCTCTCTCATGAATCATCCTTATGAAATATCCTGAGCTTGTATACAGCAACACCCTCTGTGATTCATCACACACGTTCTGTTTTTAACGCTGTCAGCTTATTCAACAACCACTTTATTGAAACTCTTTTCTCCCACCATGTGCACTGAATGAGCTGTCCTAATCATTAAAGTTCTGAGAGCAACATTCAGAGTATATTTTTCCAGCTTTACCACATCTGCTTAGTGATAGCATGTCGACTTTGTTTATCAGCCTTTTTATCTCCATGAGCAGTTTCACTGTAAGCCAATTATCAAGACACTATACATTGTTATGCTGCACTTTACTACATCGATTATGTATAGTCAGTACTTTATCTATGGTGGTTATACCTATTAGTTTATGGTCTACTATATCTGTTGGTAATAATCCCCCCTCTTACTTAATTTAATAATATTTTTTAATTACCTGTTTTTCTGCTGCTTTGATATAAATTGACATTAATCACAATGGAAACGACTTTGTATGGCTAAAAATTATTTTCAATGTGGAATGGCAGAATTTAAGCATGTTTATAGAGAAGAACTTGGATTTAGCTTAGATCATGGAGAGGGGAAACAATTTTCTTTTTCATTGCAGAAAACACAGGAGCCGTCAATAGATGTGCTTTCTAGCAATAAATTGTGCTACCTGGGTATTAGTTGCAATTTGGATAAATTATTTTACACTGGAACGAGAGAATATTAGCTTCTTAATAGAGAAGACTTGGATTTAGCTTAGATCATGAAGAAGGGAAACAATTTTTCTTTTTGACTGCAGAAAACATATGAGCCGTCGATAAATGTGCATTTTTGGCAATAATAGAGGTGCTAGCCATCAAAAGTAATTTTCTCCATTGAAAGAAGCTCTTGTAGACAAAGGAATCATCCAGCCTGACCTTGATCATGTAATTGCAGTATCAAATTCCCAAGGTTGCTTTTGCAACCAATTACCGAGAAGGTCCTTGTATTTTCCCATGCTTGTGATGATGACTGCTAGCGCATTATCTAAGACTTAAGGATTGATCATTTACCATCCTTAGAATTCGCCTTATCTACTATATCAACTGCTTTACTGCTTCTTTTGTTCTTAAAAAACAGCAACTCAAAGTCAAGAATTCTAAAGTCATGTTGGGAGAACTCTTGGCTATAGAGATCTGAAATTTTTCGTACTAGAGATTGCCAACATCATGAGAAGCTATCTGACATAATGATAGTATAGTAGATAGTGACAGCTGAAAGGTGAAGTATTGCACAGTTCATTGACTGACTTGTTTTGGAGGATTATTATTTCTCTGAAGAAATGTCTGAGAGGGTCTGGGGGGTATATAATTCGGCAGGTAAAAGGTGTTTCTATCAACCATTGAGATTTGGTGGTTGTGAAAGATTCTCAAGAGGCATTTCCATCAACGAGTGATGAAAATATCACTTTTCGAGAAATGGAAAATGTCATGTGAGCGAGAGCATCAGGAATTTTTTTTCTCCTATCAGCTAGAGAAAGGGTTAGCCAACGTAGGTGTGCAATTTTGGCGAATCCGATTCTAAAACGGTACCAAATTCTTCTGAGACACTAATTAAGTCGGAAATATTTGGTGAACACAGGTTAGATTGAATGCCCATGAAATCAGAAGAATTGATCATCAAAGACCTTATGTACTTACTGGGCTCCATTGCTGTTATCAAGCCCACATGAAGTGTGACATTAAGACTCCCATCTGAATATCTAGAAGCCCTAATATGACAAGAGCATTTTATCATTAGACCTCTCCTGCAAAGTTAATAAAAAAAAGGTTTTACCAATTCCCAAAACACATATTAGTAGCAGTAGGCTAACTTGCGGAAGGCCAGGAAATGTGATGTTTAGATCCTTCTTAGGCCTATGTTAACACACTCTGTCAAACAGCATGTAGGCCCTCACTACAGCTTCTGCCCATGAGATTCTCTTTCTCTACTGCCTGCATACTGAAGTGTGATCTCAACCTGATGCCCTGGTTTGATTTATGCAGAGATTAGGCGTGGATGCTTACTAGTCTAATTACACTAGAATTAAGCTATGTCCCCAAACCCAGAGGACAGAGTGCATGTGCAAATTTGTAAACTATAGTGTCGACCTTCAAAATAAAAAATGGTTTCTCAAAAGTTTTCTGGTGTCAATTTTGAAAGACATGAAAATCATTGTGCATTTGGTTTCCCAAAAATATCTACTGTATGTGCCTGCGAATGTCTAATGATATAGCATTTGTGTTGAATATTTTGAAGCTTTAGATACAAAATAAACCGCGTAGATTAATAGTCTGTGCAATTGATTTGGGTTGTACAGAGGAAACTGAGATGAATTTCACTAAGACATGAAGAAGAAGAAGAAATTGAGGTGTGATGTATCCCTATCATCTTCAAATATTCAAAGACCCGAACCTTATAGGACTTTGGGGGATGTTTCTTAAGAAAACTCTATCAAAGCTTTACCTCTCTCTCTCTCTCTCTCTCTCTCTCTCTCTCGCTTAGGGGAGTAGATTTAATTCCAACAGTAGACCCATAAATGGTTTCAGTACGTCCCTAAGGAGCCTGACCCTCGTTTGGTCTCTAATCAGTACCTTCCATATGGATTCTCGGGTGAACCTCCCCTCTGGGTTCTCTATTTTCTCTGGTGCCATATGGCGCCTCAGCTAAGAGTTGCCAAGGCCTCCCTCTTACCTGACATACAGTTTAAAATACTAGATGTCAAGAGGAATGCATCTTTTTCCTGTCCAGAACAATCTCAATTGATTGACATCTCTAAGATTTGTTTACGCTTATGAATTGCCAGCAACACTTACTGGAGATAGCCATCCTAAGCCATTGAGATGTTTATAGATTCATATATCCAAGGAGATTGGCTCCTGATGTTGGCATTCCAAAAGTAATAATGTCTTTAATGACCGATATTACAAAATTAGCATCTTCCATGGGATAAAAAAGAGCAGAAAAAATGTTTTCGAGGTGCTAATACCAAGGTAATGCCCAATTGTCGTGGAACACATCAGGCGTGAATGATTTTAAGAGAAATCAGAACTAGGGTTCAAGGGCATCCTATTTTAGAGTTGGGAAACTGTTCCAGTTTGGTTCAGAAGTCATCAAAATTGGATCTAAAGCTGGAAGCATTCAACATCCATCTATTGGTTACAATCTTTCCCTCAGCCATTTCTACCTTGTGCAATTTTAAACTAGGATGACCTGCTCATGATAAAAACTAAGCTGTCTTTTGGTGTTTAGAGGAGATTTAAAAAATGTAAATAATTTCAATTTAGGTATTTTAATCTATATGACATGCTACTTAAAGAAGAAAGAAAAGTAGTTATATATTGATCCATGATGTGCACCACCTAAAATTTGATTCGACTGTGGGGCAACAAGTAAGAATTTAAGATGTCAATACTGGAATTTTTTGCATGATATGCCCATGTTCTTGATCGCCATTATCTTCATGAGGCTGCATCATTTTAATTGTCCCATGGAATTTCTTACCTGATTACTTGCACAGTAAAACCATCGCCACCATTTCCACCCTTTTCCAACAGATAGAAATAATAGATAAACGGAACTCATAGTGGCTGGGACGAATTCCACTGACCACAGTAGCCGCTTTGACCAACCATTTATATTTGAAAAATCACCATTTCACAGGATTTTACTGCAAACAGAACAAATTGTTAGACAAAGGAGAGAGTGTTCTGTCAGTTCTATACAATTTTAATCCCTTGAAAGAAATTTCATGAAAATTTTATATTCTTGCTACCCTTTTCCACCAATTATTTTAGCATTTTCCATGAATGGGTCACTACTTGTGCATAAAGATATTGACCCAGGAACCTATAACAGGAAGCAATGAGGTATCCTCCGGCGAGACGATCACAGCATGCGTTCAGCAGTGCCATGACTAATTGTTCATTGGGTTTAATAGCGTTTCAGCTGCCTCCTTCAGAAGCCCTTGCAGCTTTCATACCAGAAGAAGCAAACCCTTCGTCTCATATGCTGCAGAGCCTTGTCCTGATGGATCTCGACCCAGGAACGGCCAAGCTGGCGATCAGCATTCTTGGACCCTTTCTGTCTGCATATGGTTTCCTATTTATACTGAGAATAGTCATGTCATGGTACCCAAAGCTCCCAGTGGGGAAATTTCCTTATGTGTTGGCCTATGCTCCAACAGAGCCTCTCCTTTTCCTCACCCGGAAGGTTATACCACCTCTTGGTGGAGTCGACGTGACTCCTGTTGTCTGGTTCGGGTTGATCAGCTTCTTGAATGAGATATTGGTGGGTCCTCAGGGTCTCCTTGTCCTCCTCTCTCGGCAAGTCTAGTTGTACAGCCTGTGAATGGAAACTTTTTCTCTTCATGAGTGAGAAATGAAATCTTGACCTGCAATGGAAGGTCAGCCATGCCCTTAAAAACATATGGACTCTATTTTCTTGATGTGTAACCTTGGAACCTTTGGGAGTGAATGACAGAAGAGAGATTTCTTGATTGAATTTTGTGGATGTATCTTCTATTTGGAGGTGTTCAAGAGTTTGAACTCCCTGTCAAGCTCTTGAACTCCTCACTCGATTATCTCTGAGCTTCGACTGCTATGCCAACATTAGAAATGTTGTCAGAGGAAAACAGCTGAAACCCTAAAAATTCTGATTCCAATTCTCACTTAGTGTTTTCTATGGGACTAATATTTTATACGAGCTTGTTAATAGAAAGATGAGCGGACCATCAATTGGGGCTAATTTTATTCTTTATAACAAGAACAAAAAGGTCAAAAATAGAAAGAAAGAAAAATTATATGAAACTATGTAGAAATGCAACTTATTTTGACACTCTCCTCTAGGTTGGTGAATATATATATATATATACATATATATATGTATATATATATATATATACATATATATATGTATATATATATATATATATATCAATCATTTCTAGCTTAGATATAGTGTGATGAAAAATATTATTGTTCAAGCCTTTGGTAAATATATCTACGACTTGGTCACTTGTAAGCATTTGACGTATAGATCAATCTACTCTCTAACTTCTTAATAAAGTATCAATCAATCTCAATAGGTTTGATTTGATTATGTTGAATAAGATTTTGTGCAATGGCGATTGTTGATTTGTTGTCACAATAGTGTCGTAAGACTATCCCTCTCAATTTTCTAGTCTTCTAGAATAATCTTCACCCAAAATACTTTACATATACCTTGAGCTATCTCTTGAAATTATATTTCTGCATTTTCCTTGCCATTTTATTTTGTCTATTGCTTCTCTAAGTAATAAGATTCTCACCAAAGAAGTAGCAATACTACAAGTAGATCCTACACAATTAACAAAAACTTCACAAATTGATCACTCCATTTCTTTTGAACGAATTACAGTTCCTTAATATCCATTTAAGGTAATGTAATAAATTTGTGTTTGATTATAATCTCACTCATTGCATAAACTATATCAAGTTGTATATGAGACAAATAAATCAATGACCGAACAAGTCTTTGATACATTTTCTTCATCACTCCACCTTCTTCAGCTTCACTAAGTTTGGTATTTGGATTCACCAAAGTATTTTTAATTTATATCTAATGTTTCTAGTATCTTGCAGAAAATTCATAATGCATTTTTGTTGAGAGATAAAAATCACTTTCTTCAAGTGAGATACTTCAACTTCAAGGAAATATTTTAACCTCTCTAATATTTTAACATTAATTTTTTTGACTAGACATTGACTTAGATTTCTTTTTCATTTTTTGTCACAATTATGTCATCAATATACACCAGTAATATTGTAACTTCCCTTGATAGGAAGTGTTTAAAAAATACTTCATGATCTTCTTAACATTGTTTGTGCTCCATCATAATTAAAAAATACGTGGGAATTTTTTATGCATATATAAAACTTTCTTGGATTTACACATCATATTGGAGGCCAAATTCTTTTCATACTTTGGTGGGATTTTACACAGATTTATTCTTCTAATCTTGTAGATATTAACATCAAAATATTATAGATCTCAATTAAAGTTAGTTTCTAATGACAACAAGATTCTAATTGCATTCATTTTTACCACATGAGAAAAGTCTCTAAACCTATAGCAACCCATCGATATCTCTCAATAGATCCATTTGTAGTCCACAACTTTCTTTCTAGTTGATGATTTCACTTACTCCCAAGTGGTGTTATTCTTGAAGGTCTCAATTTCTTCATTCATAGTTTGTCTCTATTTTTCACTGCATAATACCTCTAAAATAATGGTAGGGACAATGATGGTGTTTAAATTGATGAGAAGAGATCTATGGAATGGTAAGAGATGATCATAAGTGAAATATGTCAAAAATTATGTGTTTACGATAATTGATGATAGCCACTGCCCACAAAGGTTCAATGATTAATAGAGAGATTTGATAAAGTAAGATAAATGACATAGGGTAAATTATACCTATCATTGAGGCTTTGATATCATGTCAAGAGCTTGAACTCCTTGTCAAGCTCTTGAAATCCTCAATTGATCATCTTCAAACTTTGGCTTCAGCCGCAATAAGATTGATCTGGCAACAAGTAGAAGGGGGGAAAATGGCTGAAACCCTAAAAATTCTACATCACATTTTCACTTGGGGATTTCCATGGGACTAGTATTTATACTAGCCTGTTAATACAAAAGCAAGCCAAATTGGTCTAGAATGGGCCAATTTGGTTCACAATAACAAGCACAAAAAGTTCCAAAATAAAAGAAAGAAAAATTACACAAAGTCATGCAAAAAGTACAACATATTTAGAAATGAGGTATGAAAGGAGAATTATTTTCTTCTCATGTCCCCATCTATGCAATAACAATCATATATTTGTGAAAGGTCTTATACCTATGTATATAGGATAGTAAAAAGTGAATGTCCTTCCACATTGCCAGAAGTAGTTTTGTTGACCTATCCCTAAACATTGGCTTCTAAGAGAGAGTTGCTTTAATCTTGTGTATGTAACTGAAAGTTTTGTAAGCCACTAAAATAATATCTTCTATGCATGACGACTTGAGTGCATCAAGTGAGGGCTTCACAACAGTCTACAAAGAAGCTAAATTTGGGTGAAACTATGGTTTTTCAAATGGCATAATTTAATTATAAAGGAAGTGATTGACCTTCCATATAAAATTTTATAAAATAGGAAAATGAGCTAAATATGCAAAAATAAAAAAATATCTTAATTCGATTAATTATATTAGGCATTGCTCATCTTAAGCTTGTTTTGGCGTAATAAGGCAGATTTTGTCTAATTGTTTTTACTAGGACTAGTATGCCTTAATTGTTATTTAATGAAAATGCAAACTTCATCATATGTGTAGTCAAATTTTTCTCATCTTTGGACTATTGAATTAAGGGGACTAAGGATAAAAATAAATAAATTTAGTAAGATCATAAAGTACCAAATCAACATGAGAATATAGTATTGCTGAAAATTGATTATGCATTCAAATTATAAAGCATATTGGAAAAAATGTTAGTTTCTAGTCAATGAGGATCAGATAAGTAACAAATTCTTAATGCAATAGTTTTATAAATGCAACCCTTGCACTAATATTTTCTACTCTATTATACTCTTTATCATATGCCAAGTATAAGTACAGATGGTATATCAACTAATTTCTTGAAAGCGTTACCCCATGGTTTTGGATTATCCTATTGACATGAGAATGGTCATGGAGAGATCTTTCATGAGCTAGGATTTAGTTACATGAAATCATTTATTCTTAGAACTTAGTGTCTTCAAAGGTACTACAAAGTTTATATTATTAATCGAACATCCAAAGTTCCAATCATTGGAGGTGAAACAATTTATAGATTATCATAGTACAATGATTCTATTGGGCAAAGTGCAAGAAAAACGCTCTTCTAAATTTAAAATTATTTTAAGTACAGATGTATGAGTTTAGCATGAAAAAAATACAACAAGTTGACTAGAATAAAAATCTAATGGAAATTTTTAAAATAATTGAAAAATTAAATTGATATTAATGTAGGGTAGATCTCTTTGGTGTAGAGTTTGAGTTTCATCACTCCAAACATATTGACACCAAATGCTAAAAATTAGATACCTATAGGTAATACTTTTAAAATTGGTATCTTAGAAATTTTGATCATAAAATATTGCTTTTGAGATTCTTGAAGAGAGTGGCAATTTGAAATTTAATGTTGAAAGTTCTCAAGATTCATTCAAGCATTTAGGTCCCTCCAATGAATTATATTACATCTATTAATTTAATACTAACTTTTGTAGCATAATATTATGACTTCTTAAAACATATAAAATTAAGCCCTATTTTACTTTATAAAACATAATGATAGCCATGTTTCATCCCTATTTTAGATGAGGACCCAATTATTATACATGGTATATATCTCTATATAGACCATGAATTTAGTCTACATAATGTAAGCATAGTGTACTACAATTCGGTTATGAAGTAGCATAGATGGCGACTTAGTCCATACCTAGCACATTCTAATGATTCTAAAAATTTATAATAGTCCTAAGGTAAGGCATTGGTTTTTTATGGTTATGGTGATGTAATCTAGTGTATATATGATCTTGAAGTACTCCAATGTAGTTTAATGTAAAATTATTGTGACAATAAAATTTGGCTAAGTAGATTTACCTTCTATAATTTATTTAATCATTCTTATTGTACTTTTCCTTATTGTAAGACTCCATTTTATTATTATTATTATTTTATATTATTCTTCAACTAATTATTTACATAATATCTTAAAAATTATCATGAAGAAACAATGCCATGATGGTAAGGATAATTTTTAATTCTTAGTATTAACACTATGATTTGATTATTGCATACTCTTTTGTATGTGAAATAGTCAAAGTTATACAAAGCCTAAGAAATATCAAGCAATGCATATCAGACACAAAAGAATTTTCTCAAAATTTGAGCTTCTTTGGATGCATGTTACTAGGAGACTATATTTATAGTTTTTTAACAAAGATAATTTCATGAAAATTATCTGAATCATCCTTATGTGTGCCATTGTTCACAAAATGGCTAACTCCTTCAACCTCTACCTATCACCTTGTAATTTGGTAAAGTAAATGACATCAAGATCTCCCTTTTACATTTGAATTATTAGGTTATTGTTGATCCTAATTGAGTCACAAGAGGAACCATTGAGGGAGTAGATTGACTTTTCTTTGGGTTTATGATTAAACTCTTTTTTTCTTCATGATTAATGTAACCTTATGTCATTTTCACATCCTTTCTAGGCTCCATAAACCTTTGGTACCATTGATACATGATAATGATTGGAAACCTAAATGCCTTCCACTTTGCTCAAATATACTTGCTTTTTTTTTCAAGCTATGAATGAAATTGAAAAAGCATAAGAGAGTCCTTTATTTTTTTTACTTGATTATGGATTGAACTCTGCGGTGGAATCTTTGAAATGAATTTGCAGTTGGCTGCACCCATGAGTGAAGACCTCCATAGGGGGGCATCGGAAGTCCACAACCATTAGATAGGGTGCCTCCCAAATCCACATGGTCAAACGTTAGCGGCTCACTTCAGAATCATATTTCCATTTAGGGCAGATTCTCACAGTAATAGTATCCGAGTAAGTCATCATTAGAAACTTAGGGGTGCAACCTTCTCCTTAACCATCAGCATCAAAAACAAAATCAGCTAATGCCAACCAAACTACTCCAGATTGTTGAACAAACCATTAAATGAACTGAAACATCTGCGCGCATAATCACACATTAATTTATGTATATTGGTGTTGGGCTTTCAAGCAAGGCCCCTCCCTTATCTGGTCCAAATTCAGAACAGATCCGTGGTGGGGCCCCAAAGGAGGAACCCCAGTCGAAGCACCTCTTCGTTTCATGAGGAGAGAGATGACAGCTAAGACATCGCTAGCTGAGAGGGAGCGCGCCACATGGCTGGGACAGGATCCTATGAAGAGGGGAGAAGGCGGGTCACTCGTGATCTGTGCCTTCCTGTCTGGACCCGCAATCTTTGGCTATTACGCTGGCTTCCCTCTGTACTCTTCATCCATAGACTCACCTATCGACTGCAGCACTCTATATCTCCATCTCCCGGGGGAATAATCGCCCACAGCAGGCCTTCTTCCCCCGCGCGAGGCAATGGCTCCGACCCGCGTGGCCCTCTCCCTCGTTCTCTGCCTGGCTCTGGTGGCCACCTCCGTTGCCCAGTCTCCGGCCGCAGCGCCCACCGCCACACCGCCGCCTCCGGCCTCCACTCCGCCACCGACAGCCTCCCCGCCACCTCCTGCTGCCTCCCCACCTCCGCCCGTCGCCACCCCGTCACCAGCATCTTCTCCGCCACCAGCTTCCTCCCCGCCACCAGTGTCGTCCCCGCCGCCGGTCTCGTCCCCGCCACCAGCGTCGTCCCCCTCACCAGCATCCTCCCCGCCGCCGGCCGTGAGCCCCCCTCCTGCCGCCGCCTCGCCAGCCCCGGTGGCATCTCCGACGCCGGTTACTGCCCCCGCGGCGCCGCCGACGGCGACGACCCCCGCACCGGCGCCTTCCAGTGAGTCGCCGGCGCCTTCCGGGGAGTCGCCAGCGCCGTCGACGACGCCCGCCGCAGCACCGGGCGTATCGACACCGCCTGCGACTTCCCCAACCTCAGAGAACACGCCCGATGGTTCCTCTGCCCACGCGAGGGGGGCCAGCATGGTGCTCCTGGCCGTCGTCAGCGGCGCCGCGCTTCTCTTCTAAGGAGACTCTGCCAGGTCGACACAGCTCCGAGATCTTCGCGAGTTGACTGTCTAGACAATCAATGTGACCATTGCTCCACGAAATAATCTAGTGAAATGGTCAAATTATCTCTTCCTTCTCGTTAAATTTGTGATTTTCGAGAGAACAAGTGTGACGGGTTCCTGTATTATAGCTCTATTTTTATATGTGCCTCCTGTCATCATCGTCATTTTCTTGCTAGATGAATAAACACCGCCTTCTGTTCAAACTCTCGTCTTCGGTCTCTCCTCCTTCCGTCTGCCTTCTGCCTTCGTCGCCTCTTCCTCTTCTTCATCTTCTTGAGTTGGTCCTCCGCCTTCCTTCTGCTCCTCCTCGGCGGCAGACTAGCTGCTGCAGTACGGAGGAGTCAGCCAGGCGGAGGGACGGAGGAAAAGTGGAACAGCGACAGAACCAGCTGGACGCCGGCGACAGCCGCAACGGGTGGGTAGCTGGCTGCCTTCCTGTGGGGCTTCTTTCCTCCACGGTGTTGTCGGGTAGCCCTGCAACAGCAGCTGCTGCGAAGAGAGAGATAGAGAGAAGAAGCGGAGGGAGATAGAGGCTCAGTGGCTAGAAAGAGACGCCATGGGCATTGGTGGATCTCCATGGAGGGATGTCAGAGCCCATGGTCGTCCTGCACATGGGAGGCCTGGGGCCTCGCCGCAGTGGCCCCCCGCCATGGCCTCATGGCAATGATGGGATTCCCGCCGAGCGGATGCAGCGGGAAAGTTCAACACCCAGATCTTAACCCTAACATAGGGGCCCGCCATGGGTTTCAAACTTCATTGAAAACCATTCTAGATGTCTCCTGTTGACCCACGTCAACTTCCGAAGATGCTCCAATCAGGATTTCTCTGAGCGGACTTGATTGACAAAGGTCCCACAATAAGTCAACCTTTTGGGACAAATTAGTCAACGAAACGGCCCTCTCTTTATTACCCACTGTATTATATTTAAAACAATGATAATTTTACCTAAAGCCTAAAAGTACTCAAGATAAGTTTTCATTGGAGTAGATTTTGGAGATATTTCTGCAATATAATTGTGTTGGAGGTTTATAAGATTTATTTTATGTCCTACCATAGTAGGCCATGTTTATTTGATTAGCCTTACTCCAATGATTCCCTAAAAATAATGTAAATTACTGTTAGCTTTCTCTAGAAAGGTTTAATTGACATAATTTTTTAGAACAACAATTTGAAATAAATTTTAGGTAGTTTATTATTTTTAAAAATTTAATAAGAAACTTGCCATTGGTAGAGTTTGTATAAATTGAAACAATTTATCCAGGTTACTTTTCTCATAAATTTATCAAGAGATTTCATACAATATCTAGTCCTCTCTCCCTCTCTCTCCCCCCCCCTCACACACACACACACACATTTACTCACTCACTCTCAACATCATGACAAAGGACAAGGTCCCTCATCCAAATGTGTACTCCACAAAACTCTAGAGATCAAGAATTTTCTTCGGGACCTTGAGAAATATATTAAGGCAAGATACACCCCAAAATCAAAGAAGGGAATGGATAACATGTACCTCTCCAACAATGCCAAGTTATGATGAAGGATTGGGCATGACCTCTATTGACACTTAGACATAATTGTCAAGAAACTAAAGGAACAATTACTCTTGGGACACTCTCTAGACTACTTGGGAGGCACCCACTAGTACACCATAACAGACTTGATGAGTCATCATTATGATGTCCAAATTCATGGGGGAGAAGAGATGATGCAATCATGTGTAACTTAGTACACACTATACAAACTATACAAACTCACTAAAGCCTCATTAGCATTATACGCATTAATAGACCATCTTCACAAAGAAATTTGACATGTTTGTCAAGTTTACCTTGACAACTTCCTAGCATGTAAAAACGGCTTAAAGAAGTATGTAGAGAATCTTTTAGAAGTATTATACAAGTCGAGGAGACATCAGTTATTATTTGACATAGGAAATTATGAGTTTGCACTTAAGAAATTCTTCTTCTTTAGTAGGTTGTGGAACAAGGTGACATGCAGATAGATGGAATGAAGGTTTGTATCATTCACAAGTGGTATGTGCCCAACAAAATGCCAAATTTGTTGTTGTTCCTTGACCAAACTAGCCAGTATTGGAATTTTCTCTAGTGGTACTCAAGGCTAGTAGTTAGGTGGGTGCTTATTTGCCTTCAATAGCCTCCAAGAACCCATGACTAAGAATTAGTATTATGGTTATCTAACATTAGTCAACCAATTAAGGAATGCATTGATACATTATAATTGATCCTATTGATGTAAGAGGCATATCTAATTGCATACAAGAGTTTAAAATGTTGATGCACATGTTTTTGATAATTATGAACAAAAATTTGTTGCTAATTGATTATATAATATTAATACTTCTTTATATGCGTTATTTATATACTTAACATGTTTAATATATTCAAAAAAAACTTATATTATTTTTTTTATTAAATAATTTTCAGATTATCACTAACAATCAAATCCAAGACTTTAATCCTTGATATTAATTGATTCTTTACCTTAAGACTACCTAAGAATACAAGATTATCACTCGAAGAATCATGTTGAAACAAAAACTTAAGCATATGATTCTATGATATAGTCAACACAAAATGACTATATTAAATTATTGACTACATAATGATCTAACTATATTATACAATATTTAACGTTTTGAAATGATATTAGACAGATTCACTAAAATATCTCATGAATTAAGTCAGCATGAAAATGAGAAAAATATTAGATACCCAAGTTTCAAAAAGAACATCTTGACTATGACACGTCAACTACTTACAAAGACAAAATGTGAAGATGAACTTGATGATTTGGACCTAATAGACACCTAATCATTCTCCATCAAGTTATGAAACTTCAATTCAAATTTAAATATAAATGGATGTGAGAATAAAAATATTTAAAGATTGAAAGGTTTGAACATCATTATTGTGCATATTGAAAACTGGTATGTTTTTGAGTGGGGATTTAGAATGTTGGAAATCTGCTAAAACAAGAAAACCAGTACAAGATGAAGGTTTACATATGAGAGATGATTTTTGATAAAAATTAGACTAATACGTGAAGGTTTAATATTCATCATCAAGCTATTCATGCCACATACATTAACAAAGAATGAAAACACTACATCCTCTTCATCAACTCAATTGGACAAAATGATCAATTCAATTACTATGACTTTGGTTCTCCATTAAGCCATAAGATAACTAAGTGATGAAGTGAAAGTCTATTGAGTGAAGATACAAGGTGCTGGTGGTCATATTTGACACAAAAGGGACTGGGTCTTCAAGGAGATGAACCCATTACATTTCCAACATAATGTTCAGTGATATGGGCTGACACTACTCTATACACATGAAGAAGATGATTGATGTAATCTACTACCAATAAGTGTGACATTATTATCTCTGCAGCAGATAATTCATCATGTACACAAATAATATGTGGACATGCTTTAGTTCACACAAATGAAACTGTTAAGAAACAAGGAGGTTCAAGATACATTGCATGGACTTCTGAGGCCACACATCATCATGCAACATGACATGGCATAAGACATGACACAATATGAGTGACGCATTTATGTAGATGTCCAATGTTGGTGCTCAGGTGGATATAGCCTTGAACCACTTGGCAACCATTTTAGGAGGTTAGTGAACCATTGCAAAGGGTTGGTCCAATGCCCCTTTTGAAATTATTTAGGTTCTCTCCTACAATTATATCAAATTATACCATCCTAAGAGGGAGAAATACACGCCAGTAGACCAAAGAGTGCTTCCAGATGCTGCAAAAGCCACTCAGCATCACAACAGTGACAATTGAGACCAGCACAAGAGAGTAAAAGCAACTATGCCTAGTAAAATATCCTAACGCCACTTCACCAGTTTCTGGTGGTGGCAGCGGCTATCTAATGGTCAACAAATATGAGCTGGGCTAAGCCCAGTTTTCTTTCTGCACTCAATTTGATGGTTAGTGGCCCACAAATTTAGAGTTGACCATTCTGGGCTTTGACGTAGTAGGCCTAACCCATTAACAGCCCTTAGTTGGCAGGCGCCGTTGAGAAAAATGACCGTACACTGTTTATTCAAGAAACTCGCTCCGTTGCTAGGATTCACAGCAAAATGGACAGGCAGAGTAGAAAAGGAACGTTCCGGAATGGAAAGGATTCTCCCTCACAACAAATGGCATGAACTACAAGTGACGACGAGGGGGGATAAGACCACTAGATCGCACTGCCTCTCGCCTAGCTGAGAATTGCGATTCCGGCCAGGGCCAACCCCACCAGGATCACGTTCCTCGTCGGCTGGGAGACGGCGTCGCCGCCGTTCTTCCCGGGGCTCGACGGCGTGGCTGGCGAGTTCGTTGGGGAGGTAGACTCCGGCGGGGAGCCCCCGGCGGGCGTGGAGGGGTTGGCCGGTGTGGCGGGGGTGGAAGACGTGGGGGGGGTGGTGCTGGCGGCAGAGACGGTGATGGCGATCTTCATGCCGCCGAGGCAGTGCCCGCCGGTAGCGCAGATGAAGTAGCGGGTTTTCTCCTCGTCCAGGAGAATGACGGTGTTGCCGTCGGTAGAGCTCCTGAGGGAGGTGCTGGAGCTGCAAGACTCGTAATCCGCCTTGGTCACCTCGTCCACCGTGTGACTTCCACCGTACAGGAAGGCTGTAGAAGACGTCAGGAACAGGCGGCGGCCACTTGGTTAAGAATGACACCCATCCGTGCTGTCGAGCGAATCCTGGCACAAGGCATCGAGAACTTACTGATAGTGTCGCCGACGGTGATGGATTTTCCGGAGGCCCAGCCGGTGTAGTCTACACCGGTGACCCAGGTAATGTCGTAGTTTGTCGCCAGTACCGGCACGGAGGCGACGGCGAGGAACAGGAGCACCAGCGCGAGGAGGCCTGCCATGGATCTCGAGGCCCCAGATGGTTGCAGGGGACTACGGATGGGGGATGGCGGCAATGGAAGGGAAGTCTGGTGGGTGAAGACGCACATCGCCGAGCGTTATATAGAGGTCCACGCTCTGCCGGGGAGACAGACTACCAGAGCTAACCCCTTTTCTTCTTTTTTGTATTCTATGAATTTGATTGTGCATTACAGTACCAATCTCTCTTCTCTAAATATCTTAAAACATGAATTAATAAACGATAAATCGGTTCCGGGTAGTAAAGAGTAAAGTACATTTAAATCTTATCGAGGTGAATAAATTTATATAGTGGACTCCACAATATACGGCGGGCTCTCTCTCTCTCTCTCTCTCTTACTAGCCAGGTGATGGCATCTGGTCTACCTAATGCGGAGATGGCAGGTCGACCAGAAAGATGTAGCGGGTGAGTTAAGGGCAAGGCATTAGTTGCCAAAGCAGATGTTTTTCCCATCTTTGTTGAAAATGCTTGAACATTATCTTACAGACACATCGAGATGTATGTTTTGAGTATGCAACGAGCACTAGCAATTATTGACTGGCGGGCCTCCATCTCCCTTCAGACTTCTTTTCCACAGGACAAGAATACCAGTTTAATCCAAATCTCAAAGGTAGCCTGTCATCACTGGAAAGCTCATCAGAGGTCATTGTCTTACGCGTGTCATGTGCATACACAGGTGTACAGATTGGGAAGGCACCCTTGATGACGAGACTTTCTTCCAACTCATGCCTTCCCTGATCTTGTGGAGGAGGTTAGGGTTAGGTGGGGGTGATCCCACAATTGCGGCCGTTGGCAGCAAGTTGACTTCACCCATCGTCTCTCCACCTGCTCCCACTGCATCTGACGGGGATGAACTAGGGAAGGGGTTATCCTTGTGATATAGATGGTGCCCTCTTGGGCATAAAATAAAGTACCAAACAACTCAAGGGTGTAAGTGCATGGTATCAATTTGATTGTTCTTGGTGTTGCACCAATATGGGGGACATTTATTCAGTTTGACCGAAGATTCCTCTCCTAAACGATCCCACCCACATGACGCATGTATAGAATAACCAATTGGTTTTGCCAAGACTGGTAAACAAACCTCAATTGGAATCCCTTGAAGGGACAAATTAGTAACAGGTGCAGAGAACAGGTTGGAGTGGTCTATTAGATATGAGCCTCTTTGATTCTTAAACCACCTCATCCATGGGTTCTTGAGTTTCCAACAGCTCCAAAGTGTCAGATACTCCCGGAGGGCGCGACAGCCCGGGATGGGAATGATGAGGTCCCCTATTTGGTATTATTCACAGAAACAGAATGCCGCCTGCTCCCATGGGTAACCTAATCTTCACCGTAAAGACAAGAGACTACAGGCTTGAGTCAGAGTAAACCTACCCACCCTGAATTGGCCTTGTTTTTAGCTAGGTCTAGAAGAAGATGCCACTTTCTGTTTAGAAATCGCAGCCTCCCACCCTCCGCCCTGATCTATTTATTACAAGGCAATCGGGTCAACTCTGCAAAAATCGTCGTCCACTCTCCCCTTTCCATGTGTATGGGTTTTATGGGTTAGGCCGAGCCTAGAAATCAGAAAGAATTTTGAGAGGCCGGGAGCAGATTGAGCCTGGGTTGTTGGATTGGACCACGTAGGGCTCAGAAAATTAAACAACATGAAGAATACTCTCTCATTGCTGATGGATGGGTCTTTCATGAGTGCTCTCATTGTGGATAGTTGTTGGGGAAATTAATGTACCAACACAAAGTTAATGCTTAATGACTCGACTAGATATACATCCTTAGTCAAAACATTTAACGAAACATTGTTTCTATTCATCTACTCTAACATGCCCAAGGAAGTCGCATTTAGAGTTGACCAAAAACGTAAGGAATTAATCTTAACAGCTGTAATGACGAGGCAGACCAAGTCTTTTCATCTACGATAAAGGTGGCATGGTTCACCCACGTGAACGCTGACCCAAGGCCAACCAGATTTACGACGAAACCCTAACCAAGACCTTTCTGTCTGGATTTGGTCAACGTCCATCGTCCTCCAAAACGAGACTGACGACGACAATGGCGCGGGAGAAATGACGAGGAACAATGATGGGTAATCTCCCTAAACCAGCAACCGCGACGGTCACGAAGCGGGGAAGGTAACCGAGGTGGACATTTAATTCGTCGTTGAGCACGGGAAGTCTCCAGCAAGGAGCCGTCTCTTCTAGAAGACATATACTCAAACAGAAGGGGAGAGATACAAAGATAGATAGATAGAGAGAGCGAAAGAGAGAGAAAGCGAGAGAGAGAGAGAGAGGTGCCAAAGCGAAGCCAAACCACAATAGAGGAGTCAGCAAACTATTAAACATGCATCTGGAGGGAAACCAGATTATGACACGACGCTAGACCTTACACCAGTTTCATAGGGAAGGCATGTTGATTGGGGGGCAGTCATTTGTATCATGTTATTGTTTACTTCATTCTTAAGGAAATAATTATGGAAGAAATAATTTCAGTCACCTAAGAACACAACGAATTTCACAAGAAGAAAACTTCCTTCAAAATATCATCATGTTGATGGTCAACTGAAGAAAAATGCCACATTTTATGATAGTTGTCTTACATCCAAGAAGATCATGGAACTTTTAGTTTTATTTTTATAGACTCCCTAAAATTTAAGTAATTCAACCCTCACCCCATTGACTTAGCATGGGTCAACATAAATTATTAATACACTTCTTGTCACTATATATATGTAAGTGCATCAAAATAAATTATTCAAAAAGAGTTTTTACCAAAGTTGGGATATTAGATTGATATCAGATTGAGAATATTTATTAAAATTGTTATGGTAAAAAATAAGGCAATACAAGCCAAGGTAGAGAAGACTATTATGAGTAAAATCATAGAAAATGATTGGGGAGATTTTATACATAGTATTTTCTAGGATGGCATAATAATAACTCAAAAGAAACTGTTTCAAGAGTGCTTTATCAGTGAGATGATATAACAACTGGGAAAATTATAAGAGAAAAGTAATTAGTATGATGACAAAGGCAACAAAAGCCAAAGTTGCAAGGCAATGCAATGCCACTCTTGCCAAAAATAAAGGCAGGTCAAAGCAAAATATCAAGATAAGAAAAGACATCAAGCTATTATGGTGTTGAAAACAATGATGAAGGTTAAGCTAACTCCATCTTGTATTTAAGATGGTACATGTAACAACTAAATGGCTACATATACTAACATATTTTCTAGAATTTTAGATTATATGAAATGTGAAGGTTGAGTTGAAGGTGAGAAAAGGATGTTGTCGTACAAAAATCAATTAGGTGAGAAAACTCAATAATTGAAAGAGTGAGAAACAAGAAAGTGAAACACATGGAAATTATAGGATCATAAACATGGAATAAAGACATGACAGAGAGAGTTTAGACATTATAGTTATGCACCCCTTTGAATACATGCATATCACCCAAGACTTTACCTATCATCCCTTCTTCAATATCACCAGCTTGCTACTTTCTTCAGAACAAACATCCTTGAAAACCCTTTAGTCATAGGAGGTGGAATGTTAAATTAGTCTATTTTGCTCACATCTATTGGATGCTTTGACTCTCAATACTTTCTCTCATTAGATTTAAGTCTTCAAATGAGTTGCTTGTTGTGAATTAGGACCACTAACTTGGGTCTCTGTCACTAGCTCTTCATCTTCCTCTCTAATCTTCTCCTGTGCAACTATAAGTCTAGCCCTCAGCACCAACCTAGTCCCAAAGATTGAAATCAACATATCTATCATGAAATTAGCATCTTCTCGACTTTTCTCATTCAATGTCTTCCATTTGTCTCCATCAATCACATTATTCTAACAAGATTCCATCTTTAACACAATTCCAATGGGTCTGGAAACTTTTTCCTCTCACAAAATAACACTCAATTGAACTTTATAACTAGTGTCATCCTTAAAAGATGATTTTACCTCATCTAGTAAAAATGAAGTCCTTGCCACTAGGTATCATTTTTTTGACCCCTTTCAGCCTAAGTAAATAGTTGACAAAAAAAATTATAAACTACAATGGGTACCAATTTTAATGAAGTCTTTTCTTGGTCTTCTTTAGCGAGCTTAATCTGGTTATACCCAGGCGTCCATGAATGATAAAATCTGGTTAAGCAAATTAACTTCTTTATGAGTTAATTTGCCAAAATATAATATATCATTTCTATTTGAGGGTGTTATTCCCTCTATGGAGCTGATTCACACATCTTTTTAAGCTTGAAAACCCATGAACAAGGGATTGAGGATCCTAAGTGGATCAATGGTCCAATAAATATTACATTAGATAGGATTTATACTATTTCACTCATTGTTTTCGTTCTAATTAAAAAGCATGCAAATTCTGCACTGTGTCATACTACCGTACAGCTGGAGAATAGAGTAACATATATTTAGACAAATATATACAACCATTTGACTTTATTTGACTTGGCCATGATATCATTAATATGTAATAAATTTTGCCTTAAAATGTTTTTTTAAATTAAAGTTCTTATTCGGATATTTTTTTTCTTGCACCTGCTCATCACGTGCAGACGTCGCCTTCATTTTAATGCCACTAATTCTATAGAATCCATGACAAATCAAGTGGCCAACCCATATCCTCCAAGTATGATGAGCCATGTGAGACGCTATTGAGTCCGATCTTCTTATGTGTAATTTTGGAGTCAAAGACAAACAACTTGGCTAGCCACCTTTGCTGTGCTCAAAGGATTGTCATTTATGTTCTGATGTGTATTTTAAATTTTTTTCCCATTCAAGTAATGATTTCCCTGATAAAAAGCTACACCAATTGTGCGGGAGAAGGGTTTCATAGAGGGACGAGAGATAGAGAGAGATTAGGGATTTTGAGAGAGAGAATGCTTCAAGTATTGGGTTTGAGGGAGACTAAATTGGCCTTTTAAAAATCAGATTAAATACAAATCATTAAAAATCCATAGTCAACTCCGTAAACTCCATTGGAAAATAAGATGGAGACGAAATAAAGGGAGACATAGTTTTAAGCACCTGAAGAATTCAGTAGAAAGGAGGGGCTCTGCCTTTTAGGTCGAGTGACCTTGTAGAGGCAAAGATTATATAACCCTGATAAATGACAAAGTATTCGTTATACTTGATACCGTATGCCTAAAAATTCCTTCATAAAAAATAATTTCAGCTGAACAAATATTATGGATATTTTAGTATTCACCCGACGGGTCTTTTCTGCGCTTCACCTCTGCAGGGAGGCTCGCCGGGCGAACCCAGACAGACGACCTTGAGTTTAAACTCTCTTCCACATCACCGGCGGCGGCGGCGGCATCGGCGGCAGGAGAGCCGGCGAAATGTCTGCTCCCCAGTTGCTCCGAGCGACCCCCTCTCTTCTCCACACCCCATCTCCCCCGTCCCAACCCCTCTTCCCCTCTCCCAAAACCCTACCGCCCGCCGGAGGCAGCAGCCACCAACGACAGCGGCAGCGACAGCGCCGCCGGGCCCCGGGTGCCGTGTCCTCGGAGCTGCAGTGGAGCCGCAAGCCGCAACTGGCGGGGGAGACCCCGCGCGTGGTGGTGATCACCTCCGGCAAGGGTGGCGTGGGGAAGACGACCACCACCGCCAATGTGGGCCTCTCCCTTGCCCGCCTGGACTTCTCCGTGGTGGTGGTCGACGCCGACGTGGGTCTCCGCAACCTGGACCTCCTCCTCGGCCTAGAGAACCGCGTCAACTACACCGCCGTCGAGGTCCTCAACGGGGACTGCCGCCTCGACCAGGCCCTCGTCCGCGACAAGCGCTGGCCCAACCTGGAGCTCCTCTGCATCTCCAAGCCCCGCACCAAGCTCCCCCTCGGCTTCGGCGGCAAGGCCCTCACCTGGGTCGTCGACGCCCTCAAGGCCCACCGCGCGCCGGACTTTGTGATCATCGACTGCCCCGCAGGCATCGACGCCGGTTTCATCACCGCCATCACGCCGGCGAACGAAGCGGTGCTGGTCACCACGCCCGACATCACCAGCCTGCGCGACGCGGACCGGGTGACGGGGCTGCTGGAGTGCGACGGCATCAGGGACATCAAGATGGTGGTGAACCGCGTCCGGCTGGACCTCATCCGCGGGGAGGACATGATGTCGGTGGTGGACGTGCAGGAGATGCTGGGGCTGCCGCTGCTGGGGGTCATCCCGGAGGACGCAGAGGTCATCAGGAGTACCAACAGGGGATTCCCCCTCGTCCTCAACAAGCCCCCCACCATGGCCGGGCTCGCGTTCGAGCAGGCCGCCTGGAGGCTCGTGGAGCAGGACACCATGAAGGCCGTCATGGTGGAGGAGAAGCCCCAGAAGCGGGGCTGGTTCTCCTTCTTCGGCCGCTAGCTGACCCAAGCCGGTCTCTGTGGTGTTAACAAAAAGTCTTCCCTCCGTGGCTTCGGAGAAGTGGATGGTGGTGTGGGGATTTGGATTTTTGCAGTCCTGTACAGTTAGTTCCGAGGTGCCTGGAGATCTCTGAAGAGGAGCTCTTGTGTTCACTGTGGTTCGGAGATTTTCTATCATCTTTCGGTTTCCTTTTGGCTATTCAGACAGATCTTGATGTGGGATTCCCGGATGAACATATCCTTTCTCTGCCTTGACCTTTCCAATCCATTTAGTTTTCTTCACAATGCTCCGAAGTTTTACCGGTTCATACTTTGTTTCCTTTCATTCGAATAATCTTTTTTGCTGTATCATCTTTGATTGCACCATCACCGTTCATAATAGTTCTATCAAGTGAAAGTCTGGCCTGTTGCTTTGAAAAGAAAAACCAGGAGGAAGTCCAGCGTGGGTGACCCAAATATCAGACAAGCTTGATTTTACACACTTAACCTTGGATTTTACGATGGCTGGTGGGTGAGGTCAGGCGACATTTAATTTAAATCAAGGCAAAAAACCATGGTCTGTGATTTACAAACTCAGGATCTTTGGTCTTCTCATTAAACATCTGGTATATACTCTTTTGGTGGCCTGTGACAGGAATTTGGTTCTGTGAAAACATGGCTCAAACACTTGGTGCGCTATTCTGGCTGTGGATTAGATCACTGCTCCCTGCATCTTAGGATCCCTCATCTTTCATCCTAAGATGAACTCATATACCAGTAGAGCTCCTTCCCTGTAAAAGTCCCATATGCAGGAAACCTATACAGGTTTAGGGTTTGGGGTTCAAGATTTAGAAAGAAAAGCACTATCTTCATAAATAAATGGGTAAAGCTCTTCTAAATAACATGGAGGAAAGGTTGTATTACCTTTATAGAGAAGAGTCATGCTGAGCGACGCCTTCAACCTATAAGTTATGATTGACTTTCCATTCTTGGTGTTTCAGTTGGCATCCTAGTTTAAGAATATCTTGGTCTTCTTTCGATTATGAAGGGACAAGGCCAGGGTTGGCACAAAGCAATCTGCATGTCCAGTTCTTCTTTGGCCATCATCCAACTCAGGAAGTCAACTTTTGATGGGATTGTGGTTTTCTACTGTCCACACTTGTCCCCCTTTTATTAGATGAATGCATGGTATTCATTGAGGAACCGGCTATCTGGTCTGATTGTCTCTATCCAACAGTCTTCATTATCCAGTTTGTCAGAGCTTTCCAAAGGAGAATCCTTGTATATCTATCAACCTAGGTTGCAATTTTCAGAGCTTTCCAAATGCTGCCATATCCTCCCTTTAGAGTTACTTTGTGGTTGTGATCGGTGGGTTTGTCTCCGAATATGACCGTTTCCCTGCGTGTGATTCTTCTTCATTACCTCCTCCGATCAGCACTTTGTTCGAATCAGAATGGCGCCACCTCCATAAAAGGCAAAGTCAACGGTGCGAGATCTCAGAGCAGCTCTTAACCTCTCTGTTTCTGATAATAAGAAAGGGGAGTCTTTAGTTGCTATGGAGGATCACTTCCACAGTGGACCAGACAGTATTTAACCTTGAGAAAAACTATGTGAGACTTTCTGTGCAGTGAGAGAGGGGAGAACAAAATATTCAGAGCTACCTTGTCCAAAAGGGGCTCAGCGTTTTATACCAGTGAACTGACCTCTGCTACCTCTTATATAGTAAATGTCACCAAAAGTCAAGTTCTTATGTGTTCATGGTCTTCTCCGTCATAATGTTACACAGCCTGTAATAACAGGACTTAGGGTTGAATCTTCTTAGGGCATACCCGGTCATGCTCATGGGTGAGTCATCATCATGCCCTTCTTCCTTGCTACAAAAATGGGCCTTAGAAAGTTAGCCATTTCAAGTACTATCATGATTAAAAACAATGATTTAATGTAGAAATGTTGAGGGAGAGAAACTCATGCAGAAAATGATTTTATAGGCTACATCAGTAAATTTCTGCAGATATAACCTATAAAACCTCGTACAGTTGTTCACAAAGGCTTCTGCTGGAGCTTGTTTCTGCATGGTATGGTTGTAGTAGCGGAGACAATCTAGCGTAATCTACATCGAGGCTTGGGCATTGAGAAAGGCGAGAGAGCCAGGAGCTGCTGTTGGATGAGAGATTGAATGAAGTTCAGTACAACTAAACTTTTCATTGTATATTTATTCTAAAAATAAATATTTTTATTACTAATATGAATAAGTAGAATATTTTACATGTGACCTGATCTCTTAAGAACTAATTTTTCCTTGAATACAAATAGAATAATATGATTCTAGTAACCAATAATTATGTTTACTATGTGTTTCTTAGTCATTACGACATGAGCTTTACTTATAGGTTTAAATGGAATATCATTAATTGGGTTAAATAAAACGAGCATATGTTGTAACTCCAACTCCAATATTTTAACATCATAAAAATCAGTAATATAACATAACTACAAATTATGCAGTGTGTGTTAAGTGAAGTGGTACGGTCAGAAATAAAAATTATAATTAAAAAAATAATATTATGGATAAATTTTAAATAAAAAGACTGATTACCGGAGTTCGAATATTCTAGGACTAGAACGTAGTTCATAGTTTCAAATAGAAAATTGTCTCATAATATTTAAAATAACGGCGTCAATGTTCAATATCAGAGTACATTACGAATGAGGAAGAATTAGTCTTTTTATTTAAATATCAGAGTACATTGTGTGAATGAGGATTTTGCAACAAACGCGTATTCCCGCCATTCTGGGATGCCGTTTTCCAGTCGCAAGAGAAATATAGGTTCAGCTTCTTGAAAACTTGTATTACCTCATCAAAACAACGGAAGTCCAAGTGAATCAATGGCCGCCGAAGTTCCGATGGACGTGTCTTTCATGCGGTTCATCTGCTGCAACATTGAATCTAGAGGGAACTCCGTCTCCAACCAGGATGTGATCTCTGCATCCCTCGCCAGCTTCACGCTACGCTTCGCATCCAAGATGGCATCGCTCAGACGCGCGAGCTCCTCCAGCCCGAATCGCTCGATTTGCTCTTCCCACACGGCGGCGTTTTCTTCGTCACGTCCCTCGCCCGACGACATGGCCTCGTCTCTGCGGAACTCCTCGCCGGCAGCGCTAGGCAGCGAGTTGGAAGCAGGAGGCATCTGAACGCCCAAGAACCGGTCCATTATCCCGTCCACTGAGGGATCTCCGAAGACGTAGGGCCTGCCGCCGGGGGAGAAGGCGACGGCGGCGGCCTGTACGCCGCAGAGGACGCAGAGCTCGGCCGCCTTCTTGAAAAGCCCAGCGCGGCGCTTCGAGAAGGTCACCTGACGCGCCTCTCTGCTCTCGATCCTCTTGATCTCGATCCTCCTCCTCCCCTTCCCCCCTCGCTTGCCAGCCTCCATCGCAGCAGAACTTCCAACGTGAAGAAACAATCGTGGGGGAGGCAGTGGACAGTGGGTGGGAACAGGCAAGGAGTCTGGCGACTTTCCAATTTAAGACGATCGATTGCCCACGCGCGTCAGACACGTGCGGCAGGCACGCGACAACCATCATCCTCGGCACTTTGCAAGTGCGTCAGGCGGTGCCGTCGACGATTTCTCACGTGCCCCATCACCGACATCAGCTGAATAGTGAACCCGTTCGGCCATCATTGACAGAAGCAGATATTTATATTATGATTTTCTTAGAATTTTTAAAAATATTAACCACTCACCGTACATGACTTTTAATTCATAATTTAAAATTACACTGCATTTATTTATTCTGTAGAAAAAATAAATAAAATTATATCAGAATTATGTTATTTTCGTATAACCTCAAAATGTCTATTTTTACACCGTAAAAAATAATAGCCTTAAAGCTTATGTTATTCTTTTTTACAATTTAAAACCGCCGAGTACAATAATCAATTATTTTATCGATTTAAATAGAAAATCATGGATAAAAAGAAGCAAAAAATAATGCTCATGGTTCTGACTAAGTCTATTGTTTTTGTCGAGGAACATGAATAAAATTGCAAACCAAGAACCATATTTTATAATTTTAAAATATAATAAAACGTCAGAATTAAAGTAAAACCTTGGTAGAGTCCACGGATGAAACAAGGGGCACGGGGGTAGCCTCCAACGGCTCACAGGATGACGCAACACCGCCTCTCCTCCCTTTGCTGGGCCCCTGCCTGCTGGAATCTGCTGCTGTCCGACGGATTGTATGTGAACTCAGAGGTATCAAGCCCATACTACCCAGTCATGGCATTCACCGGTAGAACAAAAAGTCAACCCAAAATGAGAAATTATCCAACTGGGGATAAACATATATACAATATAAATATAAGAAATTATTGTATAAATTAATTACTGTACCTTTTCCCTCATCCGCTTGCTCCAGGCATCGTTCCTGCTGGGGACGCGCTGATCGAGGCCTCCAGCAACAGGCACCCCGGTGGCGGGGATGTCCTGCCGGTTGACCAGCGGTTGCCTGAGGGTTGACCTTGGGGCGACGATGTACTCATCTTCACTGTCGTAATCTGCCGGCAGGTTCACTGATCTAACTGTAAGCCCGAGTATGAAAACCAGCGTCTGCGCCCATAAAAAATGTATTACAGATAGCAAATGTGAGCTGATCATAGAATCTTTCCAAGAAGGGCAGACAGTATGGACTTCTGAGAATGGATATATGTAGAAAGATGGAAGCATAAGCAGGATACTACCAAACTCTGAGCAGAAAAAATAATGAACAGAATAATCAAAAACCAAAAGGACTAATTTTCAGGCCAAAGCATCAGTCGTTTACTTTTCTTTTCTTTTCTTTTCTTTTTCTAGAAACAGAGAACGAAAATGTAGAAGCAACAGGAGCTATGCATACCTCAAGAATGACAACACCAAGAGCAATCCACTTTACAATTTTCCAGTTCTCCTTCAAGAAGTTATAAATCATGGCGAAGTCCCCTGTTTTGTCCTCTGGAATCAGCTGTACAGAGCATTTCTGTTAATGGCGCAGGCAGAAGGAACATATGTAAGCGGATGTTGTCGAGCAACTCACATCTTTCCAGTCGTGATAGAAGAACATGAGGGCAGCGCAGCCCAGCTCCACAAGGATCAATAAAATCAACAAGAAAGAGTACTGGCAGATCATTAAGGAAACCAATGGAAAGGGAAGCGGTCGACATAAATACCCCATCAATGTCTAGATGACAGCGTCCCTCAATCATTTTACTGGGCGGAGAAGACGTTCCTATCAAATACTTGTTTTCTTATCACGAAGCAAGTCAGGATTGAGCACAGATCCGACAAATGTACTGTCTAACAATTGCGCCAAAGGTTTAGTCACAGCCTAAACCCCCAGAACCCTGAGATATTACCCATCAATTACGACTAATGTTCCCCACTTACTTAAATCTGGATGAAACATACCATGAAATAAGGCAGACTGGATAGTCTGTCATCCAATGGGTAGACTTTAATAGATCTCTGACTCCCCTATTAGGCCTCTTCCTCTCACTTCGTTGGAGGAAGACAGGAACATAACAAAAGTATTGTGCCTATAAATACCAGAATGACGATCGACATCCTGGATGAGAACAGAATAACTGGGGATGGGGCGGTTAGAAATGCAGTACAATCCTTTCTTGGAAATATGGATACAAAGAAGCACCTAAAAAGATGAGGCATTATTGATCGGTGACGTCATTCCTGAAGTCATTAGGATTGTCACATAGTAACAACAAAATATTCAGGGTAAAAATATCAGAAAATAGAGAAAAGAACAAATATGCTGCGTTTATGAGAATCAAAGTAAGAATACGTAATAGGGTAGAAGGAGAATACTAACAGCAACAATCACCAGAAATGTGGTTAAAGAGCAAAAACTGACCCTGACTGCCCAAAGGGAAAAGAAATAGCCAATTCGAACTTAGATATGAATCATCTAATTAGATGCCTACTCCTGGTATAGATATCCGTTTACTTTCATGTTGCCCACAGGAATCTCCCTCAGAGCCCACGTAAGACACCTAGGAACATAGGCGGAGACCTCCAAGCAGCTAGAACCATCGTGCTTATCTATCCATAATTATCCTGTGAGCGCATTCTATGGACGACTAATTCAAGGATAGATAACTAACTACACAGCAAGACTCAATTGGCGATGTTTCCTAAACATTTCATCATGTACATAATTGCAAAGAGTTTTGCGACAAATACACACTGCAGAAGTCTTTGCTCTTTCAAGACAATCTACAGTTTTCAGAGGGTCGAAATATGAAAAAAAAAGTTAAACATGACATTGCCTAAAATACAAAACCATTTTAAATTTCCTCCACACTCTTTTCATCTACTACCCTGTACTCGACTCCCGTAAGAGTCGAAAATATGTCCACCACGGAGAGATCTCCTCCAAATATTGCAAAGACAAAACCCTCACAAACAGTACACATGAAACACAGATGCACGTTATAAAGAGGAAAATAAGCAGGATGTCAGGATACAAAAGACAGACAGCACCCATTCCTTGTAGTTGCTCCAATGCATCCGACACAGGATATGAAAAAGAGAACAACTCCAATCCCAATAAATAGGAAAATGAACCTGCCCAAGATAATCCAGCAGTAAGAATAACACAGTAAGTACACGCGATTGCAAGGAAATGCACCCCCACCATGTTAAAATTTTACACTTGAACCAAAACAACCGCAAGAACCGTTTAGCTAAACAATGAAATATTCGAGTATCAAAAAAATCCTCAAGAAATTAAGCTTTTTCCAAATGCTGATAATCTAGAACACTGGTTATCCAAAGAATACCATTCCCCAGCCCAAAAGGAAACGCATCCCTTCAAAGTGAAACTTTCTCTCGTACCAAAACTAAACTTCAAGAATTACTCACCATGGACAATCCGAAATTGAATTTTAGAAAAGCCTCATAAAATTGAACTTTTTGCAAAATCTGGTGAAATTAACGACTGGTTTTCCAAACAATGCCAATTCCCTTCATGCAAAGATACCCACAGAGCTGAATATTTCAGGTTGGGAGACACAACCTTTTTAAGATTGATTTCAGATAGAGAGCACAATGATGTTCAAGCTTTTAGTCTCATGCTGACTAGGGCATCCAAAGGGATAAAAAATCAAGGTGTCAGACCAAAGTTGTTTGAGCAAGGTGATGGCAATAGCATCAGCATATAAAACAGGAACTTGTTACGATAAATTCCTGACGATAAAAAATCAGAAAAATGAAAATATCTCAACTATTACATAGAGCAAGGAAAGCAAGGGCATATGGGTTACAATCGCCAAATCAGCATTTCATTGCATTTGGTCAGCTGACTGTGACACCAGTCAGTAATAATAGGAGTTCAAAAGTAAAAGTAAAGAACTGAACAAGAAAGCAGAAAATAGCCAATGGCCGCGTTTATGCATAGCATAAAAAACATTACTCCGGTGATTAGATACACGGCAGACAAATAAATTAATCGACTTCAGTCCTACAACCCTTGAAACAACTATTCGCTCAATCGGCACAAATAGGAATGACCACCCATGAGACCAGTTATTTCTTGCCTACACTTCACTCCGAAGAATAATATGAGGCTGCTACCTTTAAAACAAGGTCATGCGTTCGTCAATATCAAACGGCGGACGTACCCACTAAACTGACAAACCTTTCCAGGGAGAACTCAATTTGTCATGGAACCTTCTCAGTTAAGGGATCCAAACAAGACAGAACGGAGAGAAATAAAAGAGAAGGCAGGTAGGAGCATACCAAGCTCTGGGAAGATAGTCGATAATGCTTTCGGACAGCGATATAACAAGAAGCATTGGCCGCCCGAGCTCCAGTATGTCAGGGTTATAGCTGAGGGGTGACATCGCCTCAGGTGGCAGCGACTGATCACCGCCGCCGCCAGAAATAGCCCTCCTCCACTCCACAAACAGATAGATCCCGTAGCCCACCATTGCCAAGCCCGACACCGTCAGAAGAAAATTTACCAGCTTCAGAATGCACTCCAAGAACCCCCGACACGCCATCCCTTCTCCACCAGGACTACCACCACAGCCTCTCCCTCTAATTACTCACAACGACGAAAATTGTGCCTACTCTTCCCTCACGCCACCCTCCGATCAGAAACCTGTCCCCACGGAATCGTCTCCAAATCCACCTCCCAGCAGCGAACCGCCAATCTCACTGACACATCCGCAAACGAGGGCGCCTCTCCACCAGAAACCTGATCGAAACAAAGAACATACCGTCAGCCTCAAGGATCGTTTTCAAACCACTAGTCCCTCGGGTTTCTCCGATCGACAAAATCCGAAGAAAGAAATGAGAAATTCGGAGTAACGATGCCCCCTGCCAACCGAAGAAATCGCAGCGATTAGGATCAGAACGTCGAAAAGGAAGAGGATCCACTAGAAAGCAGGACGATTTCACCAACCTATTCTCTTCTATTACGCCGAAGAAGGCGATAATTTCCGATCCCAAAACGGGGGGAGGGAATAGCTTCGTGGGCCCCACTAATTGGATGCGGCCACCTGTTCGACCACCATGATGCGGTAATCTAACCTGGCGTCGCTCGCGGCCTCGTCTGTTTTCTCCTCTCGGCCAGCGGTAAGCTTACTCGATGATGCAAAGATCGCTCAGAAGGTGGCGCTCTCTCGTACAGTGGGCCCCGCAACTCCGCTGGAAATCTTTATCCGGTGAGGCGCACGTGTCGTGTAGCTGATCCCATCATCTGCTATTCTACGACGAAAGGAATACTTATTATTCTCCACTATTAAGAGTTTATAATTAAGTCGAGAAAAAAAATAATTAATTAAATAATTAAGCCCAATTTGGATAATCCAATTCTGCGACTAATGGTTCGGTATAAAAATATAAAGAACTGTACTTTTTAAATTGACGATATAAAATATGATTGGTTTGGTTTGAGTTGATATAAAATAAAATATATATATTATAAATTACTTTAAATTTTTAATTTATTTTTCCTTCAAAATGTCACGATATATGTACTTTTAACTGAGAATAATGGAAAACTGCAATGTTTAGATGATAAACATCTAACTTATGTCCAAAATAAATTAATTTAATTTACCATGTATACAATTAAAGTAATAAAACATAATATCTCACCACTACTTTTGAACAACATCCCAACTTTAAAAAAAAAAATCTTTAAAAATTTATATTATCATGAAGATGATTTTTTGGGTTAAAATATATAGTCAACGTAAATCATTTAAAATAAAGAAAGAAATAAGAATTAATAATTCAATGAGGGTGGACTCTAAGCAAAATATCTAGCATTTATTTCATTCCAACTATCAATTCCATACATAAAAACTTATGGAATGCTAGTTACCCACATATTACTAGGTATTGTCCATGTTCATTATGGAGCATGGATTACTTTGTTAGACGACATAAAAACCAAATTATTCAAGAAAAATAATACGTATCTCTTAGTAATTGGTCTCACCAAAACTTATAAAGTATCTCACATAAGCATGATTTGATTTGGAAATACTTCGTTCATCTGCATTTAATAAGAGCTTTATATAGCATAAAAGGTTATATCCAACAAATACAAAAAAAATTAATAAGTTGGAAATGATATATTTTTCCAAAATAAGGAAACTCAATAGGAGTCTTTAAACAGGAAAATGTCGATATTACTCACTAATTTTATTATTTTAAACCTCACTTCTCATTATGTGTAATATTTTTTGTTTGAGGGTATAATAAAAATATGTCAAACTATAGAGGACGTTTTAAGAAAAGAATGTGAAGGACACAAGAACACACGCGGTCTTCACCCCTCCACAATATCGTTTTTAATTAAAAGGTTTATGCTTTAAATAAAAACCGAATATAAAGCAAGATAATTGGGAGAAATTCGTTAATGATTTGAGATATATAGAGAAATAAAATTATTACACAAGTAAAGTTATTATTTTTCCCTTGAGATGACAAATTCGCAGAAAACCGAATTTAGACGATTTATTACAAGTTTTTCGCTTGGAAAATGACAACGAATGTATAATTATATTAATGTAAAGGTGAAATATAGATACATAATTGTTTTTGGGTTTTTATGTAATTAGGAAGAACAATACGATAATGCCTGGTTCTAACGCTCTATTACTTCCTCTCGGCTTGACAGTCCCGGCGGCCATGGCGACGTGCATCCCACGGCACCACGGCGCACAAGCGCCCCCCTCCGCCCTCCTGCCATCGAGACCTACGCGCCATCTTCGACTGTTCCGGCCTCATGCCTTCCCATCGCCTCCTCTACGGCGCGTGTCCCTTCGGGCCTTTCGGCGCGCCGACTTTGACGGCTTCGCCAGGAAGGTGGCGTCCGGCGATGCCTTGAGGGACGCGTGGAGGAGCGCCAACAGGGGTTTCGAGCAGCTTTCCTACGAGTCCCGCAAGTTCGCTGAGCGTATGGACCGCCAGTTCTCTGTCTCACGCCGATTTGAGTCGGCTGCCCGGACCACCCTTGAGCGGGTGCGCGAGCTCGACTATGAGCTCGGTATTGGGAGGAGGTGGAGAACGCTCTCTATGGATTTCTCCCGTAACTGGCCTAGGGTTGGTGCTCTGACTTGCGACCAAGTGGCCCCAATCTGATCCCTTTCCATGTTGCTCTTAAATTTGCCTTTCCGTTTATATGATGCTTATTTTGGATAATTATTGTCAAATTTTACGTCTCATCTTATTATTTTTGACAGTACAGCAAGGAGTTGAAAAGCTTTGCGGACACACCACTTGGTAGGGCGTTTGTGGTGAGTATATGGTCAATATTAGCTGATTTCGATCTCAGATAGTGGTAGTATTATATTTTAATTTTCTTCAGTTCCGTCGGATGACGTGCTATGAAAATCATTAATGATGTATACTATCATTTACCACAATTGTTCATTTTTTTTTCCTGAAGAAAGAAAGAGAACTAAATGAATTTTGTTACGTTCTTTCGGCTTCTGGTCGCTCAATTATAGTGCTTCTTACCTCACCATCAATGTGGGAGATTGCAGAATGCGGGTGGGTTGTGGAAGTAATTAAGAAGTTTTTGAAAGTGACAGATTAGGATGGATTAGATGTATGAATTTTATTACTCGCCTACTTAGGACGCATCCCACTGGTATCATTCGAAGTACCGATCGTAGCAAGTGCTGATCCCACTGGTACCAGGGTAGGCAATAAGGCGTCCATGAATGATGATGGCATGTGGAGGCTGACAACTTTGCTCATATTCCATTGTAGATGTAAAGAGAAATCGCTTCCATCAAGAATTTTCTTGTCTAACAAGATCCATGTCAAAAGGTGGATCATTATGGAAACTAAATCAAGGAAGGAATCCATTAAAAAGTTCCATGTCGTTTCTCCATTCTTGAAAACGATAATGCTCGATTTTTTCTTTGATACTTTGCAAGTAGTTGTCAGGCGTTATGCACAATTCTAGTGGTAGCACAATTCACGGACCAAGATCGAGCTGTGTTGATTGGTTGCAAAATTGGACATCCTTTTATCAAGTTCTAGCGGTAGCTTTGTCAGATGGATCCTTGTACGGGTTTGGAAGAACCTGGTCTGTGAGTTTGACTGGAGAATGGTGGAAAGGGAGGCCAAAGCGCTCAAAGTTGATGGAAAATGTGTCCTATTTGAGTCCGTCCTTTCAAGCTTGCTACCCTCGTCACAAAATGAGGAAGCATAGAAAATAATCAACGTCATCGAATTCTGTTCTCTTGAAAGAATAATGCCTTGTGTAATGGCTGTATCTTGTACAATGGGATGGGGTCTCAAATACAAGAAAAAGCTGAAATGGGTTTCATTAAGATCATATTTTAATAAATCTCCTCTTGGAAAGTTCCGTTTTGAATGGGGAAGAGGAAGATCCCCTCCGACCATAGATCCTGAGGACAAATTCCAAAGGAGTAGGCAACAATGGAGATGGGAAATCAAACCCTGTTTTCAGTTATCCAATACATGAAGAGCAATAGTGATGGAAGATCCACAGTTCTGTGGAGAAAGATGCTATTCTTTAGAAAGATGCTATAGTTTAAGCGATTGCTGAAAGTTGTGGTTTTTCTCTGGAAACTGGCACATAGAGATCTGTGAGAAAAACTTGTGCCTATTGCTAGTGCTGATGGTCTCGTAGCTAATCTGGCTGGAAAGGAATAGGACCAGATTTCAAGCTTAAGAAAACTGTAAAGTTCATCATTAACTTACGACAAGCAGCTTGTCTATCTACATTTCGAAGATATGTTGGCGGTTAAAGCTTTACTTGACAGTTGGTGTTGCTTCTTTATGTAGACCTTATATCATGTCTGTTTTGAGGGAATCGTGTTTGCCACTCATCCCTTTGACAAGAAACCAAAATTATACTGCAGAAAGTGGGTTGCAAGGGACTGCCTACATGAAATATAGTCGTACAATTCAAATGATTATTCAATTAAATATGTTTTCTTTAGACAGACCAAGGAAGCCATCAACTGTACGTTTGGAGAATGTGGGATAATGGAAATTCTATCGAAATATGCTTTCAGGAGTCAGATCAGATGTGATGTGATTAGTGAGAGTATGCTCTTGTAGAATCTGGTGGATGAAAAATATCTTGGCTGTAGTAGTTACCCATGTTGAATTTCTTCGCTGTGTAGTATCACATCGAAATGGAAAAGGCAGAGTAGCTATAGCTCAGTATTGACTGGGGTGTTTCGACCTTGGGATCTAGCAGTTGTTGCTTATGTGGCTCGTGGAAAGATAGAGCTTTTGGTTTTCTGTATGAGCTCCTTCTACCTAAATCCCAGTTGAAGCACCCGAAGGAGAATTTCGTGCCTTTCTAGTCACTAATGGAAGTAGTTGTCCTTACCGTCTTAAAATAGGTTGGCCTGGCTCTGCCCTTTTACCTGTAGTGTTTTAGGAGACTCTTTGCTGGGTTAACTCCACCTATTATAGCAGCTGCAAACTAGGTCACGATGGTTCAACAAGAAATCAAGGAACATCTGTACCGGATCCTCACATGATTTTATGTTGTAAGCTATCTGGATAAGCTACCATGTATATCTGTCTGAGGTTCTCATACTGCCTTTAGTTAATGGGTTCTTGGTGGTATGCTAGGCAAATATCCTTCAGCATCGGGTAGGTTTCTGCCAAGTTATTTTGGATTTATATGCACGTATAATGTCATTTGCACATCATAAACCTGTCAGGCCTCATGGATATTCCAGAAAGCCCAAGAAACTCTTCTCAGACATCTTGGGCGTTACACAAAAGTTTGTGTGGGGTCCCCTGGATGGGGGATGTGTGGGTGGGTGGGCTGCTATCTTCCTGCCACTTGACTACTCCTATGATCTCTATGCGCCTGCTGTTGGATCATGCTACTTTTGCTTTTTTTTTTTATTTCGTCTATAAACTCTTTGAAAAGCAACCTATAACTTTTCAGATTCCTTACTTTCAAGTAAATGGAGTTGTATTACCATTGCTGTACCAGTTTTATTGAATCCAATTATAAGAACTTAGAAAGTCTTCATATTTTTGCCCTCTCTCACAATCATCAATTTTTAGTAGGCCATGTGTGAGGCTTATTTTGTATGCTTGAGTGATTGTACGACTTCAATGGTCTTTGTTGTTCTTATCATGCCTTTCTTTTATGTAGACAATTTTTTTCCTGTGGTTTGCACTATCTGGAGGACTGTTTAACTTCTTAGCACTGGCGACACTATTGATCCCGGTTTCCTCTTTCATCCTGGGGAATATTGCCAATAAATTAGTCATTCAGGTAATCCTTTATCAGCTTCGTGACTATAATTGAGTTCCAGTACTTCTCTTTCTCTTCATACAGATGTAGTGTGTTGCCTTGAGATTTTGTCGACTTCTGCAGTGATAGTGTTTCTTTGGCTGCTATTATGTAACAATATTTCTTCATCTCCAAAGTGTAATGTAGATCATTCATTAGCAGATACAATCACTGAGATTTATATTTTGTAGAACTAGGACAACTAGTATCCGGTAGTAGAATCAACCTCCTTCATATGATGCCATATAGACTATTATGCAAGTACTTGATATTGATCTCAGCTTAATCAATGGCGACATTTGCTTTTCCATCTTACCAATACAGTCCACATTAACATAATAGTTTTCATTTTTCTCTCTTTTCTGGAGGGGGGACAATGTCTTCTTTGTTTGATATGCATTGTCCTTCCCAATAATGGCTTACCAAATTAGATCAGGTCCGTAAGTCAGCCAAATCCTCTTATCTCAGGAAGGCAACCTAACGTGGCTAAAATATAGAAACAGTATTGGTTCAATTGACAATTTATGTTTATAAGTAATTATACTAAAATAGAGCAAATGAGTGTGAAAGGGCCAGGTAAGCCTAAAGCCTGGCTTGATATCTATGTAGACTGGGTCTAGACTAAATAGAGTCAGTGGCTCTCTCTTTCTCTCTCTCTCCCTCTCCTCTCTCCATCTAAACTGCAAACCCCCGTCTTCCTTTTTTCACGTTCCTCTCAGTCAGGTGGCAACTCATCTTATTCTTCATTCATTCTTCCCTCTGAGTATAACCCCTCTCTGCTTTCTAGCAGAAGTCTCTCTTTATTGACTCTTCTTCCTTAACTCCCTGCAACTCATCTCCACCCAATCTGACTGCACATCTTTCTTTGGCAGTTGGGCTCCACCCCCTGCTCTTCCTCTCCCCATGGGCCCCCTTGATTCACCATCCCTCTTTTATTGCTCGATGCATGTATGCCATTTCCACTTATAGCCAGCGTTCCAGAGTTTTGTCTTTCCTATGCAAGCCATGTTTAATATAGCTGTCTGCCACGTGTTTTACAGATCTCCTTCCTGGACCATTCAAGAAGAATGAAAGTTGTTTGTCAAGCTTTTCTCCCGAGCATACAGACTTTTTCGTGTTTCCCGGCCCCCATGTTCAAACCATCAAGTCAGGAGATTAAGTCCCTATTTACGTTAAGTTCCAGAAATTTCAGCTATTCTGGAATCCCGAGTCAAACTGCAGACTTCATTCTGTCAGTTCCAAAGAGAAAATCATACCTGAAGGTTGATTATCCCATCAAACGTGTTCTTGTTCACCCCGGATTATTTTATTTACCAGAGTTGCTGATCATAGCTCACACCTGGGGTGTGAGCTTTCTACTGATCTCGGAGTCTTTTTTGTTTCATGTTTCCATGAAAATTTAGGTTATACCTCAGTGAATTCTCAATGAGAGGAAACAAGGATTATTCTTTCAGTTAGATATGAGAACAAACCCTTATCAAGGTGCATCAAAAGTTAAAGAAAAAAACAGCAGGACAAGAAAATCTAACGCAATTACCTCAAATAACATTAAATATGATAGCTTTAGTAATCTACAGCAAAGCTTAATAATGTTCACAGAGTGTTGCAAAAGAAAGCATTGCCAACAACACCAGCAGCCATTGGTGACGGTGAAACAATACCAGCCGGGGAAGCTACAGACTGCTGTAGGCTAGTAGCTTCAGAAACCGGCAGGGTAGCACCTCCCACTGGCTCTAACGGTGTTTCGTTGGGTGCTGTACATCAGCTGCAGAAGGTCCTTGTGGCTTAAGACGAACTAAAACTCGGTCAGGCAGGATGATCAGCACCACGCAGTCCCAAAGCTGAATAAGTGGGCAAGATGAGTGTCTTATTAGATTTCTTGGCTCGGTGGATCGGAGATTTTGTGTATCTGTCTTCCTTGAAACTCAGTGACACTTGGAGAACGTAAAATAGGAAGCTGAAACCCTTTAACAAGATTCTTTTCTTTTCTTCTTTTTTTTTTGTGAAGAGGGCTATGAAGCACTACTATGATAGGAGAAAAAAAAGCCTAGGGAGAACAACGTACCAAACAGAAGAACAAAGTACAGGAAGGTTTTTTTTAAAAAAAAACTGCGAAAAAATAAATGTAAAAAAGGAAAAAAAAACACCATATGAGACCTCTCTGCCCCTCAACACGTTTTGAATGAGAAGCCTTCCTGTGTAGGTGCATTACTGCTGAGGGGAATAGCAGAGCACAAATTTGAACGCTCTTTCCGATTTTAACAATCAATTGTTTCGTGGAATCCATGTTTTTGATGCTGAAGTTTCTTGATGCCAGCTAGTTTTTCCTGTAAACGGCAGATATAATTGTTTCTGCAGTGACCTGTCATCATCTCCGTGAAATTCAAAGCATTGACAGAGGACATGAAATCTTAGAAACTAATGAAATTATATATAGTTTTACTTGGGGCATCACACCCAACTGATCATTCTATTTATTGTGTTTCGCTTGACTCGCCTCTGGATGATGTTTCTGGGTTAATTTTATGACAGGGGACATGTCCTGCTTGTCGGACTCAGTTTGTGGGCAACCGAAACCAAGTTGTCCAGTGCAGAGGCTGCGGCAACATCGTGTGGCAGCCAAAACAAGACTTTTCACGGGGAAAGGGAAACACCAAGCGGTCCTCAAATTCCGAGCCTGACATCATCGACATTGAGATTGAGGAGAAATAAGGCCATTTCTAACTACCCGTGTTGAGCAAAAGAAGGAAAAACGAGCGAGTACATACAAAACCCCATTTTATTTCCCTGTTTTGCTGTAGATTCTCTCTCCTTTTTTTCACTGGCTTCTCCTGTATATTCAAGCAATGAGGACTCACTTCCCTTTTTCTACCAAGATGGGTATGGTAGGACTAGACTCTGCTAAAGCTCTTCTATGGGCACCGTTTACAAACTATCCAACACATCTTGTCCAAGATTCCTGGCAACACTCTTTTTTTTTTTTTTTTTTTTTCTTCTAATTTAAAGTGAGCACGGTTTTCCTTATCTTTTGCCTGTTGACAGAGATGGTGAAAGAAATTGCATTTATTGTCACTGAAGCTGTGAATTGGTGGTACCATCAACAGCAAGGCAATATCTTACTGAGCCAAACATTCAATTAGGTTGATTTAGTTATTTCCATGCACAAAAAGTTCATCTGATTAGTAGTGTGAAAACATGACAAAGTAAGGCAAGATCCCCCCCCCTTTTCCTGTGCGGTGAGAATTCTCTCGTCGGATCTGAAGATGTAAATTGTCTTGGATTTTTTTTTCTCATTCATTTTCTGGAGCATAAGCTAAAGTAGCATACTTAAGTTCTGGTTGTTTCTTCTGCCAATGCTGATGGAATCAGACCTTGTGTTTGGGGTGTTGTCAGACAAACCTACGGTGCATCCCTATCTCACCACTTTGTTTCTTAGGGTTCACTGTTAGAACTTTCCCATCTAGCCTATGGCTGTGGTGGATGGGTAAATATTGTTTTGCAGTGACTTTCAAGAATTTGAAACTCTTAAGATTGAGGTATCGTTTGGATGCACCTCTGAAGCGTTCCTGACTCTCCGAGTTTTATTTCCAAATTTGCGTCAGTTTCATCATAGGCACCAGAATACTTGAAATATTTCAGCATCTCTTTACCAGAAACTAGTTCCTCTATGTTCTATTTCCGGTCATTCTGTGTGTATGTGGGAGGGAGAGAGAGAGAGAGAGAGAGAGAGAGAGAGAGAGAGATGTTTGAAAATACTTGTCTCCTAAGGACGTAGTATCCTGAACTATCTGAAAGATACTTTCCAAGGAATTTCGAGAGAACACAAATTAAAAGAAAGAAAGAAACAAACAAACTTGGTTTCCCCAAGTTGTAGCCTTAGAGCCATCAGCATTTGCTCTAGACCTTGAAAAGAAAATCCTTTGAACACTATCTCTGATTTACCACATTCAAACTTTCTCTGCTTCAAGGTGAAGAGAATAATAAAAGAAATAGCTGTTCAGTTTAAGGGGATATCAAAAAAATAAATTAAGAGAGGGTATAGTTACTATTGAATTATCATATCTGGATACTACTAACTTACACAAGATTAAGGACACATAATTGATCAATGAGCAAATTCAACCCCACTTGAAGAAGAAGTTCATGTTACGAAGCAATGTAAATAAGTACCCATTTCGAGGCACACTAATTTTATTTGAACCAAGATACTGCACACGAAATTTTATTTGTTTAAGTGAGAAGTTACTTGCAGATTTTGGTTCAAATAAAATTAGTGTGCCTCGAAATGGGTACTTATTTACAGTACTTCGTAACATGAACTTGTATATTGGTTTTCTTCAAGTGGGGTTGAATTGGGTCATTGATTAATTATGTATCCTTAATCTTGTGTAAGCTAAGTAGACATTATACTATAAAGAATATTAAGAGTTTCATATTTCCACCTCTCTCTCTCTCTCTCTCTACCTCCCTCCCTCTAAATGAGAGATAAAAAGTGAGTGAAATTGTGTGGCCTTTTTGCAAAAATATGTACCTTAAAAAGCATGTTTATTCTAAAAATAGTATTTTAACTAGTATTAATGCATTTATGTTAAGTCTACAGGCTTTTCTTTATTTAGCTTCTAACAAACTTGTCTAATTAAGAAAAAGCTCACCCTTATGCCAAGCATATAAACGCTATCAACTTCATTTTTAGTCTTTAGAGTCAAGTATGCGAAGTATTATTTCAATATCACGTAAATAAAGATGGTCTTACCTTTATTATTGGTCGAAAGTACATTTCCGGCCATCAAAAACATTTAAATCATTTAAGGGGAAAACAATCTCATTATTGGTTATATTTTTAAGGAAACAAACCTACCACATGGAAATAAGATGTTGAAAACAATAGCAACTATAATTATATCACGCCAATCATACTAAGCTACATTTATCATCAGAATATATTGTCTAATGTGTGCAGTATAATGAACCTCCTAAGTGGGGGGACATTAAAACACTCTAAGTGATTTGCGTGCTATGTTTGCTCCCAAAGTGCTTAGGCCATAGTAAGGGGCCGTAATCTCCATTGCAGAGAACTACAACCCCTTATTATTGGCCATTGAGGGAATGAGGTTCAAAGAGCATTGGAGTCATGAACCTAGGGATGACGCATAGAGTTTGGAAGAAAGAGTTGCAGTTGCAGGTGGAGAGGTGATGTGTACAGGCGTGAAGAGGCTTTTCTGTAATCATGGGTCAAGGGACTATGTCCAAAGAGGTAGCGGAGAGGCATATAGTTGTGGGCAAAGCAGCAACACAGGGAGAGCCAGAAAGTCAGATGAGACAAACGTTAACACAATTCTAAGGGGCATTGTCACGCCCCCAGCTCAGCGTATCCTAGTCTTGGACATAGAACCTCGCCGCTAATGTAAAACCAAGTGGTGATCTGTGTGGGCTCTCAGTGTGTGCATTTGACGCGGCATAGCACGGTGGGCCGCCATGCACGCGACATGCACAGAGGGTTGCGGTGTGCCATGAGGGAATGACCTCATAAAGGCAGACGTACGCAGAGCTGCAGGCACAGGCGCAGATGGCACAACGCGCGCGGGCATTGGTGGCCCGACGGACACAAGCAGCATGGCGGGCGCGGACAGTACGGCGCGTGCGGACAGTATGGCATCGCACAAAGGCGGCACGGCACGCGCATCCGGCACCGGCACGACGGACGACCATGGTGCGGTGCGGGCAGGGAGCATGACGCGCACTGACACTCCCGCATAAGAGTGGGCAGGGGCACTCACGTATGGCTCGTTATTGCGCAATGGTGGGAATGCAGATCCGCACGCAGGGGGATGTGCAACAGGCTGCGCGGCATGCGTAGCGGTCCCAACAGTCAATTGACATCCCCAGCGGTCCGGAGACGGCCCTACTTGAACCATAAAAGAGGACGCCGACCCAGTAAAAGAGTTGGACAATGAAATAGAACATCGACTATCTCTTATGGGAGGATTCCTCATATCTCCACCACTAAAGGGAAAAGGAAAAGAGGTCGTCTGGGAAACGAGGAAAGCAACCCGGTGCCACAAATTTACTTGTGTGACATCGTGCACATGATTAAGGGCATCGAGATAGTATTGTCTTTTAGATCTATTGTTAATAGTTCATTTGAGTTAAAGTCACTAAACTTTAATATCTATGATGGGATTGCACTCTATGACTAAACATAAAGTCGAGGATTTTGTTGGGAGTATTGAGAATGTGCACAAAAGTGAGGGCTTTATGGGTGATCACCTTAGCTTTTGAAGAGTTAAACTCAAAAAACCCTTTTATTAGAGTAAAAAATATTATTATGTATTGACTTTCTATACAAAAGTGGAAACTTGATGTCAATAAATAAACCTTGAATACCTCAACCTAGAAATTTACATGAAAATTTGAAAATAGTAATAGTTAATTTAGTGAGTATGACTTCCATGTGTATGCATTAAGAAAAGAAATGGTTGTATAATTTTATTACTTTCCATGCTATATGAACTTCACACACACCCTCCTATTAATCTTTGTTTTAAATTGTCTAGAAAAAAATGTGACAATCAAAAAATGGACGTGGGATAATATTTCTCCAAAAACTAAAATTAATGATTTTATCTCGTAATTACTATAATATTTTTTTTTAATTTAGATTAATGAATATTTTCTGCATTAACTTAACTTTACTGATTTCATTTGGTAATTAATTTTAATAAGGGGAAGAAGTAAAAAAGATTGTACTCAAGAGAATATTAATCCAACATATTAAAAATAATAGCCCCACGACATATGTTAACGTAAATATATTAAATGGAATCATTGATTTTTCTAAGCGATGGTTATGGCCTAATAACTTGCTCATTGTTTACTCTTGATTTGTTAAAAATGTTGCTAGCATAAGTTGAATCCTTTAAGATAGAGTCTACCTAGGTATTATAAACCGTTACCTTTCACTGTAACTATGTAATGAAATAACAGGAGATGATCCCCTTTCTTTCTCTTATCACATTCCTATTTTCTACTCCTTCCTGAATTATTCGTCCTATCCTTTCTCCTGTCTAGCATTTTGGTTACATATTGTCAAAGGCCCAAGAAGCCATTAGGCCCAGCCCACTATGGCCCAGCCCCTGCATAAGAGGCAGGAGGGGAAACACGAGAAAGGGGGCGCATTTTTTATGAAGGTATATTAAGAAAATTTTCTCTCCCTCTCTGTTGCCTCTCCCTTCTCCCTTCTGCATATGACCTTTCTTCTACCACCAGGTACTCGGACGAGTCTGGCGGTGTCTCTCTCTATATCTTCTGCTGAGACCAATCTCCTTTTCCTTTCCTTCCTCTTTTCTTCCATTCGGATTCTTCTTCCTTGACTTCCGACCACCTGTAAGGCTGTGGGACCTTATCATTGGTATCAGAGCTACCTTATTCCTAGGTTGATGTTCAAAGGGCTTATTGTGGTCAGAATGGAGCATTTGGAGGCCAAGTCTGACAACTCTGCCACCCAAGATCCAGCATCTAGAAGACCAGATCATGTCCATCATCGATCTGCTCTCCAAGCTGGTCCTGGGAGGCGCCGGGGTGGGCCAGCAGTGGCCTTCTTCTTCAGCCCCCCCCAGGGATCGCCACCTCTATCCTCCGGTGTCCAGACGAGAGGGCACCACCACTAGACGTTGTCCAGCGGGAGCAACCCTTCACGGGAACAGCCCCCTGCCCGACCCACCGACTGCGCCACATTAGGTGCCGTGCACGCTGCCAGCCGCAGGGCACCGCTCCTCCCACGCCGACCTGGCAGACTTGGCCGCCCCACGTCGACCTTGCTCCTCGATTGTCGCCACCACTGCATCTTGCCCTAACCCCACCGAGGCCAACGTTCCGTAGGGGTGCTAAAGTTGGCTTAATACGGGCCTGAGCCGGGGAGGGCCCACTCTAACGGGTTGGATTATTATGAAGCGCCCACGGGTCCTTCCCCAATCCTAGATCACTGGCCTGGGTGAGTTAGGCCCACCATGGGGCCCTATTTTGGAGGGCCATGGGTCCCCACTTGCACAAAATCACTAGGCCCGATCCACGGCCAGGCAGAATGGGCCGATCAGCAAGCATAAGCTCCACTGGCAGAAGCACTTAACGAGGGCCCCCTTATGCACAAAATTACTGGAAGGATGCCTAGGGGAGGTCACCCCCAGCACCGACACAAGACACATATCCACCTAGGATGCATGGTTAGTGGCAAAACTAGGCTGATGGACGACCCCCCGCCTTTCAGGTGTGGCGAGGCCTAGGAGGACCTTCAGAACACTCAGCCATGGCCCGAGAAAGAAGAGGATTTTGAGGAGGATCCTTGTGGCAAAGTGCTTGTTGATCACTGCAACTACTAAGACACCATGTGGGATCGACCACAGGCTCTTTGATTTCCACAACATACCTTAGCACGCTTAAAAAAAAGGAGAGAAATCTCTATCTTCACAAGGGTGAACCCAAAAGGTAGTCTCCACCTGGTGGAACAATTATTTCATCTCAACCTCATTGATTATGACGAGAGGCTTCAAATAATCAAGACATATTTGGACAGTGAGGCACTCTCGTGATTCAATTATTGTGACTGTCAATTTGGATTCAGAAATTGGCAAGACTTCTATTGCCAATTAGCCCACAACTTTGGGTACACCCAAGACAATGACTATTAGTATTTATTGCACATAAGGTAGACTAGGTTCATTGAAAAACTTGTCACAGAGATATCAAGCATTTGGTAGGGTTCATTCTGCACCCCTATTAAAACATCT